CCCACCCCGCCCTCCATAAGCGTTGCACCCGAAAGTGATGTCCACCATTTCTGATCTCAATTAATAGTCTTTGGTTCTGTTTCTGAAAGAAAAAAAACAACAATTAAAAAGACTAATAGCAGAAATATTATCGGAAATAACAGCGGCTCAAAGACATGCTTTAGAGACCTTCCTTAGAAAACGGTTTTCTCTTGTGGTTTAGATGCTGATTGTGATTCTCAACTTTATGGATAAGACCACTTAATAGTAATTGCTTTTTTTCTTCAAAGTTTTCAACACAAATACCTGCAATGGTTTTAGTTTGAAAGTACAGCTGAACCATTAGATCTAACATGATTATAATTTCTTTTATTTGAAAGTATTGAGATAGCGATACCTAGAAAGTTCGTATATGAATACACATTATGTAATATCGATACACGCCACAGGACTGCTATTTTTTATCATTGTGTTCAATGTTGTGAAAATGGCTTTCCTACAGGTAGGCGTTGTAGGCCAGAATTACTTTTACAATGATACTAAACAAAGCATACATAGAGAATTGTGTTGACTCTTTGAACAGAACAGCGTTCAGCAAGGCTCTGGGAAGGCATTTCATGCACAAGACTGAGAGGGACGAGGTTCTAGATTCTAGATTCTAGATCTAGATCTAGAATCTAGATCTAGATCTTCTTCTAAAGTCTAAAGTCTCAAACTCACTCAATAAATGAAGAATCAGTTCAGCTGATGATAGCCTGCTTTAGTATATTTACTTTACAGCACTTGACTAATCTAGACCTATCTAGATCTAGATCTAGATCTAGATCTAGATTCTAGATTCTAGGTCTACTCTCTAAAAGTAAAAGCCACTAGATCTAGTAAAAGTAAAGCGTAGTGTGCGTTTGATTCGTACTGTTGGCTTGGACCGGAGGCCGGAGTTGGTGGAGTGTGCTAGATTCTAATACTGCTAGTCATATGGTTGGTTTAACACATATATCTAGATCTAGAATTCTAGATCTCTAGATCTAGTCTAGATTCAAACTTTTGTCCTGCGTGCGTCTTGTGCTGAGATGTGAATCTTATGAGTAAGTTATGAGCAAGCTATTACGTCGGACGTTCCCGGCGGGCCGCCGGGGTCACTCAGCGTGACAAGCGGATTGATCTAGATCTAGTAAGAGAATGTTAGGAGTACACCATTGGCCGATATTTATAAGAATCTAGATCTAGACTCTAGATCTAGATCTAGTAACAGCCATCTTTTTTGTGTAATAAAAAGTATCTGTGTTCTTCATTCTGACAAAAGACAAAAGAAGTTCCAGACCTACTGCCTACTGTCTCACTATCTTTTTTTTATATTGACACAATTTAGATCTGTCTCACTGTCTAATCTGAAAAAAAAATGTAGAGTAAAAAGAGAAAGCTTTTTTTTTTCATTTTAGCAAAGTGTTATGATAATGCTCATTATATTATGTAGGCTTTGTTTACTCTTGTAAACGGCCCTGCGTCTGTGCTGAGATGCAAATCTTGTCAGCAACCTATTACGTCGGACGTTCCGGGCAGGCCGCCGGGGTCACAGGGTGTACTGTTGATGTACAGGGAGCGTGCCTGGAAGTGTGTGTTTTCGCCATGATAGTCGCGAAAGTGTGTTAATCGATGATGAAAATAACGCTCTATCTCTTAGAGCTTTCTATTTTTATAAAGTGTTACGAAAACTATACCCCCTTTCAAGTTGATAAGACATTACCTTACGAGTAGTTGTAATGCCCTTTTGAATAACCTTTCTAGACGCTCTTGTTGTTAAATTATAAACTGGGGTTCGAAAGGGGATAATATGGTATAGGTTAATTTCCTTGTTTTTCACTCAACTTGTTCTTTTTACCGGCACAATGGTATTCTCAAAACTATCAAACAAGCTCATTTTCTATCAGATACAAAATCAAGCTCATTTGAAAGATTTTGTTTAGAAAAATGAAAGTCTCGTTTCCTGACTATCCTTTCGAGCTCCTCATGTCTAAGTGGGTCAATTTGTTCTAATTTCAATGGACGAACATCTAGAGCTACCAACTTGGCGTGTTTTGAATGAAATGTATGCCTCGATTACGAGCCAACGCAATTGGTTCTAGAAGTAGGCCACAAACGCATTCAAACTCAAGCAGACTGACGCACACACACTTGAACTGCGTGAATGCGGGTCCAACGCGGGACCCGAATAGAATGGAGATGATGCTCGGCACCCGTGCGCTGAGCCAGGAGCCGGACTGATGCGGGACCGGAACGAAGGCAAGGTGTCGAAATGGGCTTATGGGCGACATAAACCCGGCCCCCACAGGACGAGGGTTAAAGAATCTATAGGTCAAACAAGATGACTGTTACTATAAATATTGGCCAATGGCGTACTCCTAACATTCTCTAACTATCCTCTTGTCTCAGCATGACAAGCGGATAGCTAGAGAACGACAACTACACGCCATTGGCCGATATTTTAGTAACAGCCATCTTGTTTGACCTCGCAAGGGAGATGCCCACCGCGTCATCTGATCGTGATTCGAAAAATAGTGATGATTTTGCGTAGCGCGCTGTTTGTACTGGCAGTTTCCAAGCTCCTTCCCCTCAGTGTTCTTCTCCATTTGCAGCTCAGCATCCTATTAAGTCAAATCTCTTCTAAGTGATTACTTTCTTGTGCTTACAAAACTTTAAAAGAAACGATCTGGATCGAAATGGTAGATCATTTGCACTGCATCGTTGAACTTTGTTGGAACTTGTCAAGTTGAGGTAGGCCTACTCTTAGTCTTCTTCTCAGTTTACGTAGTGTACAGCATCAGAATCAATCTGGGCGGAAGAAGGGTGCTGCGCAATCACAGACTACCAAACCGAACAGTTTTGCAAGTTGCAAAGAAAAATTATAATCCGAATTGGTAGGCTACCGTCTTGCGGTCATGTTGCCACCATGACTGACAAAGTGGGAATCCCTCAATGACGTCTAACAAGATGGCTGTTACCATAAATATTGGTCAATGGCGTTTAATTGTCGTTCTTTAGCTGTCCTCTTGTCTCAGCGTGTACTGTTGGTGTACAGCGAGCGGCACTGAAAATGTGTGTTTTCGCCGTGAATACCGAGGGGATGTTTTATCGATGATGAAAATAACGCTGTATCTTTTTTATAAATAGCTTTTTAGGTATTTTGTTTTGGTTCTTAGCGATCCAGTAGCATCTGAGCGTTAACTCTTCTGCATGATTCCATTCTGTAATAGCTGCATGTCTGTTCTAATTGTTGTCTTGAAGAGTAGAGACAGTTAGATGTGTGGGGTAGCTTGGGAAGAAAACCTCACCTTAAATCAGTTAGTTTTCTACAGAAGAACAGTGATGTTCCACTGTCTCTCAGGGGTAGTCACATAGTGGGCAGGCAGCAGACTGCTATACTCCAATTCGGTTGAGATGTTGATTGAGGCGCACATGTTGTGTTCTAAGTTGGAAGATTATGGATTGATCTCCCCTCCTCAACTCATTGATTGGATCTTTGACCAGGGGTATATTTTTGTGGCCATACATGGCTTCTTTCCTGTCATACCTGTGGCCCATTCGTTCATCCAGTCTTCCTTGAGGTTTGACTTGATCATTGCTTTCTATTCTAGGTATAAAGTGTTAAGACACATGAATGATCTGGGGTTCGAAAGGGAGTAATAATATAAGGTCAATTTCCGAATGTTTTGCTCTCAAATTGTTTTTTTTACCAGCACACTGGTATTCAAAACTGTCAAACAAGCTTATTTTTTATCAGTTAGTATCATTTTATATACAAAATTAAGCTCATTTGAAAGATTTTGTATAGAAAAATGGAAGTCTTGTTTCCTGACTATCCTTTCGGGCACCTCATGTCTAAGTGGGTCAATTTGTTCTAATTTCATTAGACGAACATCTAGAGCTACCAACTTTTGGCGTGTTTTGAATGAGACGTATGCCTCGATTACGGACCAACGCAGGCGGTTCTAGAAGTAGGCCACAAACACATACAAACTCTAGCAGACTGACGCACAAACACTTGAGATGTGGGAATACGAGACCTGGTCATCACACGAATGATGCTTGGCGTGTGTGCACTGAGTCAGGGCCAGACTGACACGAGACCGGAACGAAGGCGAGGTGCCGAAATAGGCTTATTGGGGAACATAAACCCGGATCCCGCCGGACCAGAGTTAATATTCAGATTGATAATGATGTGAAGATAGTGAGACTGATAAGTAGTGATAGATGTATAGATTCTCTAGCCTTTCACTAGCCTACACAGAACTTACAGTCTGCTGATGCACTGCTTTTGTGGGCTGAACTTCTGTATTTTTGGCTACAGAACACAACATGACCACAATGAATAATGTATTGACTCCGTATTGCAGATCAATTGTTTTCAAGCTTTACTGCTTTTAATTGCAAAAGATCAAGTTATGATTAAGATCATGATAATGAATTAATACACTTTTAACCCTTAAACCTCCCCTACAAAGAAGAGGTTGTAAGTATAGTTGTGTGGCTGTGTTGTGCAGTGTCATGTCTTTACTTTCCTTGACCACTTTCCCCTGCTTGATGACATTTTTATTTTTGGTTTACTTTGGTTGCCCCAAAGGTTGGCAAATTATTAGGTCATGAATTTCTTCATGCATGACACGAGTATGGCCATTTTGCTTTATTGAGTGGTTTTGGTTTTTTTAGAATACATTTTCATTGCTTTTGATTTGTAAACTTTTTTTTTTCCAGTGGAGGAGATTCAATTTTTTTGACAAGGAGCCTGTGAAGGATCCTTCTACTGATCAAATTTTTGATCAGCTCAAGGTAGGTCTGTTTGTCAGTTGTTGCAATTTTCAGCAACTTGAATAGTGTATGTCCCAAGTAGCACTTTCAATCAGTTGACTTACAAACTACATGCATCATATTTCAAACCTGTTGTCATAAAATGAAATTGTAAAAATTGCAGTTTTGTTTCTTTTAAGCAATCATTTTTCCTCCAGTTTAGCAATTTTTATTGAAATTTTATTTTTTGGCTAAGCACCTTCTATGTTCATATGAAAATACATTTCCATATAGATTTTACTGAAAAACCTTGTTTAAAAGACACAAAGTATGTAATTTTCAGTTTTTAAGGACTCTTAAGCTTTTGAAGTTACCAAACTTTGGAGGCCATTTTCTCATTAATTTAGCCACTGAAACCAGGCTACCCCACCTTCTTCAATCGCAAATATCTCAACTTCTATTTGAGCTAGATGGATTATTTTTTTTACTGAAAGCAAGGGTAATGAATAAGCTTTCAGATAATATCAATAACTCCTCTTGCTCGAAATTTAACGAGCGCCTGATTCCACCACACCATAACACATATATGTTTCCAAATGGCTGCAGAAAAGAAAGTGAATATTTTTTATTTTTGACAGGATGTCAACGTTTCTGCTTGCACCAGTGGTCGTGGGCAGCTGGTGGTGGCAGACTTTGAGGGCAACCTGTACTTCATCAACAGGCAGATGGAGCTCACTTCATTCAGGGCGTATGAAATAAGAGTGACTCATTTACTTCAAATGAAACAGCACAGCATCATTATAACAATTGGGGTAAGCACATTCTACGCATAGATAATGTAATAGGCCTTTGTGATGTTGCAAGTAAAGCATTGTGCTTTGCATTTTTCTCCCACCATGTAATATGTAATATGGAAATTCAGCCTTTATATAATGTGCTTGATTGTTTTTTTATGTAATACATAATCCCCCCCCCGAATCTCGCAATATTCAACAAAATAGGTTCTTGCAGACTTCACCAGAAGCCCGGTGACTTTGCTGACTGTGTTGTTCAAATGGTCCTTCCTCTTGAATTCCTGATGATCTCTTTATGTCCTTTTTATGTGACTCTCACTATTAACATCTCTAATCTCTGGCACTTGTTTTATGACCTACTTGTTTTGAAAGTGCTGTAAAACGCTTACTAAAACTAAAACTGAGCTACAAAGACTTGTATCTCAAAATGTCTTTCCCTCCTTTGTGTCCATCAACAGGAGGATGAACAGGGCATCAATCCTCTGATCAAAGTATGGAATCTTGAGAAGGTAAGTTCAGTTCATGTAGCTGTACATAGTATCGTCATTCTTAATGATGTACAAAGCGGTGGTAGGTTTTTTTTCCTTTTATTTGATCAAGAAATTTGATTTGAATAAATACGACAGCACTTAAAACTAACTTACCATCCATCTCACCATAAGCTTATAAAAAATAGAGTCAAATCTGTCCAAGATGACCTTCCATTGTCAAGGAGAAACGGGAAATGTTAGACAGGTGGGCCTCTCAGGTAGAATCATTATAAATATATATATAAAAACGCAAGGGAACAAGTGACAAGGGGGAAATAGTTATTTATACAGGTGTTTGTCTTGGATGGGTGAACATTACAACAGGTTTGAATGTATGTTGAAGGTAAAGGTTAACTTTCTTTGCTTTGCTGAGGAAAATGTATATAATATGATAAAAGAAGTAGTTGTGAATATGTACTTTCTGTCTTCGAGAAGTATGATAACCACCAATGCGAATTTACAAATAATATTTACAGATGGAAAGGGGGATTCCAGCTTGCACCAGATTGACTAGAGCCATTCCTGGAAACAAGCCGACACCGGTAAATATGTTTTGCTATTGAACTGAGTAGATGTTCTTGGATTATTTTGCCTTTTGTAATTTCAGTGAATATTTTTAAACTAATGAGTTTTACTGGCTTTGTAGTTCGTTATTATTTCACACAGTATTAAATTAAGTTTATGTTTCTGCTTCAGATTTGAAACATTTTAGCTTATTTGAAAGTGCTAAGTTGTATCATTGCTCCAGTGTGTAAGAACATTCTAGTATTGCGGTTGTTTGTTGTTTTTTTCGGTCCTAGGCCACTTGATGGTCTATCACGATATTGCAGTGTACGGAAAGTCCCGGCTGACTGACCAAGGCCTGCGCCAAGTTGATTTATATGGTCATTCTCACACCCTGATGTATTACTTTCAAGAAAACAGGGGAAGCGGGAGACACTGCGGACAAACCAACTACAAGTTTCTGGACCGATGGCAGTTCCAAGCTTGTATGAACAAGAAGAAAAATATTTAAATTTGTAGATTGTAGCAGACTGGTAGTAGACCGTCAAGTGGAACAGTCATCAGAATCAGACTGGTCTGATGGTTGCCATCAAGTACAACAGAAACATAAGGATCATCTAGTATCCATGATGACTGTGGATCTAGTGGACCAACACCATATTTTCCATCTGAAAAATTCAGTCCCTTCACCACGAAGAAAGAATAAAAAGAGATGAAAACAGCTATTCTAGCTAAACAGTAGACAAGTTTGTTTAGCTGTATAGACTGTCAGATGATTATTTTATCTTTCCTTAGTTTTCAGTTTGGTAAAAGTTTTACGGCGCTTGCAACTGCAATCTTTCTTTAGTATTCAGATAGTTCCACCACTTATCATTTTCAACGTCTTGAATTTGTTGTCAAAAGTACTTTGGTTATGTGTTCTTTATTTACTGGTTTCCTTTATCGTACCATTGCCATAATTGTTTTAAATTGGGTTGTGGTTGAATTTTACATTATGTTCCTTTTTTTACTAGATTTTGTATTTTCAAATGTCTTTACAAGAAAGTTTAAACACCTTAAGAAAAGGGTGTACAATTTGACATCTGCTGAATAAAAAGACTTGAATTTTATCTACTTTTCACTTGAAAGATTGAACCCGTGCACAATTTGATGATGATGTACAGATTTTTCTGCTTTCACCATTATGCGTGTGTCTGTCATAATCTTTACACCATTTACTTGATGGTACTATAATTTGAACTGTAAATGTGCTATATTTTGATGGTACTTGTTAAGCCAAGACTGTGTTCCTCAGGTCTCCTGCTTTACTGTCCATGAAAATTTGAACTTCCTGGCTGTTGGATTTGAAAATGGAGTAGTGCTGCTGTTTAAAGGGGATGTGACCAGGGACAGGTAATGACGAAAAACAATGGACTCCCAGTGAACTAAGTTTTTGTTTTTCTGTTTGTGCATGGTCAGTGCTTCTACATTGTAAGAGTATTTGTCTTTAAATACAAAACATGTATTGGTGAGCCTGAACCATAGCCCAAAATTTGTAGGCAAGCTTAATGTAAATCTGTAAAAGATTATTTGTTTTATACTTTTCAGTATTTTTTTTTCTTTACTGTTGGCTTACTTCTTCTCCGCTGTGGAAAATTATCATTACTGTGGACATTGTTTGGCTCTGGCAATCTCAGTTGCAGTCTGCTGTTGATGATGTCTTTGTGATAATACATGTTAAGTTGTTATTTTGTGAAGGGGGGGGGTTGCTGCCAGTTTAGAATTAGTTCTGCTTGATACATCCTTCTTTACTGTCTCATGTTATTTGTGTCTGTCTTGTTTTTTTTGTTTTTTCTGCGACAATGACCATTATAGTGTCGTGCTTCTCAATTTCATATATACTTTTTTGCATAGCCCTGCAGCCTCATTACTACTTTGTCATTGTCCATAACCATTATTAACTGTTTAGTAGGATGATTACACTGCAAGTAAGACAGTTAATCTTGTGAGATGTCTAGTAAATCTGCTCTGCAAAATGTTCTTGAAATGAGATCACTGTGTTTGCTCCACAGGCACAGCAAACCACGGACTGTGTATGAAGGAACAAAACGTGTGACAGGACTTGCCTTCAAGACTCAGGGTAAAGATGTGTTCCTGTTTGTTGTGACAGACAACTCAACCTTGTCTATCAACCTGACAGCCAAGGATCAGCAGGTAAAAACTCATATGTCAATATGTACTCGTATGAGTGAGAAAGTGTGTGAAGAAAGTCAGGGGAGATTTTGAAAATGTTCTTTTAAGTGCTACATATATAAATGAATATTTTCATAAATTCTTTACTCTCCCAGAATAGCTTGGTTGATGGGCTCTTTCATGTGTTTGGCATCTTCTTCTTCTTTTCACAACCACTTTTATGCTGGCTTATTATTGGCAGAGCATGGTTGTTAGTGTACCACCTCAGCATAAACTGCAACAGCTTGCTGTTTTTAACCCTGAACAGACTGAGTAGCCGTCACTGTCTTTGTTTGCTTCAGCTCATTAACTCAAGGAAACCAAAGTGCCTTTTGCTAATGTTTCTTTCTGTTTGTCTCAAATTCTTTTGTTTGCCTTGCTTTATCTCGCCATTAGTTGATCCATACTTAGTGTAGCTGACAATTGTTTTTATGCTATCTGCTCAGTCTACCTCTTCTCTCAGTTTCACCATTGTCTTTATCTCTTTCCCTGAGAAATGTGAGCACCATTGTACTGGCTTGCCGTATGTTTCGACTTGACAGCTCATTGACTATTGTTGTGTCTGTAAAAACAAACAGACAGGACTTGATGGTATTGCTTTCCTATCTCTTTTTTTCTCAAAGGCTGAGCTGGAGAACAAAGGGGCCACCCCTGGGACTATTGTGATGAGTGATGCCAGTCAGGACAATCAGCTGGTTATTGGCAGGCAAGATGTGAGTTCATTCAGCTTTTTTAGTTCGGTTACAATAGGAACTTTTGTTCTGAACATGTCGCGGTATTTATGTAAACAGGAAAGAACTAATGGTGCCCCAAAGTGCTTGCTTATTTGAGCAGTCGTTTCTCTTGACACAACCCCTGACCAATAAGGCCCTGCTTGATTCCAAACAAAAGTATGTTTTTCTCTTTGCTGCTATACCAAACATATCCTAAACTTTTTTGTATTTCAGGCTGTGTATTTCTATCAACCTGATGGACGTGGACCATGCTTAGCCTTTGAAGGGATAAAGCTACAGCTGCATTGGTTCAGAGGCTACTTGATTATCGTTGGGAAAGAAAGCAAAACTTTACCCAGGGCTCCAGTGTTGTAAGTTGTCCACTCTAATGTTAACATTGAAGTGTTTAGCTTCATTATTAATTACTCTGTTCTGTTTTTAAAGATTAATGGGAATTTTAATTGCATTGTAACCGATTCCTTTGTAATACAGTACAGAGTGAGTGGTTGACATCATGTATGGTTTTTTTTAAACACCTGTTGTTTATAGATATTCTTGCTGTAATTCATGTCTTGGTCTTGGTGCTCTCATGGCATGCTGTCTTTCAAGAAAAGACCATCAAGCAGTTGCTATTTTAGTTAATATAGGAAAAGACTGTCTTTGACCCTCATCTTTTCTGTTAAGAAACAAATAAGACTGCATTGCAGTGATACTGATTTTTAATGGGAGTTTCATTTCATCTTGTTGCTCAAATGTCAGCCACCCATAAACAGGTGCTCAAAGTTTGACTGCTCTCTTCAACATAATGGATCTATGTCTTTATATCTGTGAAACATAAAGTGAAAAACTTGTTCACCTGATCTGAGTAAATGGGTTTCAGATGCTTGCATCCTCTGCCAAACATTTACATTTCTGTACTGAGATATCAATAGCTCAGTGTAAAATTCTGAAGAGATCCGATATTGACTCTATGATTCTTGTTATCCTCAGAGGTCCACATGGTATGGAAATGAACACAGTGACTGTTTATGACATTCAGAACAAGTTTATTGCGTATTCTGCTCCTTATCCAGAGGTCATTGATGTCATGTGTGAATCAGGGTCCATCTTCATTTTCACAGGAGACAGAAAGGTGCCTTATTTAATCTTTTTAAAATGCTTTTTCCTTTATTACGATCTACATGACGCCTGCAAGGCACTTTGCAGTAAGAGTGAGATATAAGCACATTTCTTTTGAAACAATGGAAACATTGCTTTTTCGTTTGGTTGTGTTACATGTTACATGGGAAAGATTGCAGTGAATCTGCTGAAAAGTGAAAGTGGGGAATAGAAAAGATGTACTGAAATAGTGAGTGCTTCGGCTGAGTGAGTACTCTCTACCACTACCACTGTTTGAAGTGTTCCTCCTTTAATAAAGTGACTGTTTTGTCTTGAAGAATAAGTCGCGAGAAATTTGTTTCATCATTTAGAGTGCCCTTTGCTGTACGAATGGTAAGTTTTAGAATATTATTCTCATGACATGTGAAGAAAGACAGGATTTATTTTTTTGACTTTTTAAATTGAAGGTATTACAATTTTTTCCCCCTCTTTTATAGTTTTATCAACTGCAAGAGAAGGACACACAGAGCAAACTGGAAATGTTGTTCAAGAAAAACAACTATGCCTTAGCTATAAGGTAAGAAAACTTTATCGTTGAGTTTTGCAAAGAATTTCCTTTCTTATTCTGAGTTATGTGCTAACCTTCGTGATGAAACCATGTTTATGCTACTTGTCAATGTATCTTTTCATATATCTCTAAATTATCTGTATTTTTATTATTTTCCCAAAGTTGAATTCAGGATCAAATGTTGGTTATTGAAATGTCTTATTCCAGCAGCGTTTTTAACGTGGTACGCTTATTTAATATTCATCAAATTTCAGGTCTTGTTGTCCATTTATTTGTCCTGTTAGTTTTTGCTATCCCAGATTTTTTAGCTCCTTTTCTGGTCAATAAAAGACATGTTTTTTAAAGGCTGTACGGGGGGCTCTCGTGGCCTAGAGGTTAAGGTGTTCACCTCTCATTCAGAGGTCCCAGGTTCAAGTCCGAGTAGTAACTAAAAAATTTTCTTTTCTAAAATTGTCTCCTTTCACCACCTTTCCTGCTCTCTAGCTATGTTCTGTCGTCTGTTTTCGTCTCCTCTTTCTGCCCCCCACCCCCTCACCTCCTTTGCCCCCTACTCTGGGCTCCTGACTCTTTCTGCAGCCTTTCTACTGCTACTCCTTGACTCCTTACTGCTGTCTTTCTGCCACACCCCTGATCTTCTGGTAAGAAAGGTCTACACCTAGCAAAAAATCTCAGAGATCCCGTGTGCAAGTTGAGTTGCCAACGTTAAAGATCCCTTGGTGGTCTTTAATCGTTGAGAGTAGGCTTCAGCCGCCACCAGGCAAAAATCCAAATTTCCTACCGACTGAAAATGTTTAATGTGTCCTGCACACTCGTATGACCTTATGCTGTTGCGAGTGCCGTAAAACTCCTTCCAAATATATAAAAAAAGGGGGGGGGGGCATACACAATTCTGCATTTTAGGGACTGTCTAACTGTTAAGGGATGCCACTGGCAAATCCTTCATCTTTATCATTCATTAGCTGTTTCTGTCTGAGTTCCTTTCATCTTTTTTTCCTTATCATTGCTCTAAATGGCTGTTGTAGAGGTGATATACTTCACTTTAACTGAAACAGAAAACGAAGTTAACTATTTTAACTGTTTCTTCTTTTGTGTAGCCTTGCCAAAAGCCAGCAGTTGGACCAGGACGGTTTAATCGACATTTTCACTCAGTACGGTGACCACCTCTATAGCAAAGGGGATCATGATGGGGCTATTGACCAATACATCAAAACCATCGGAAAACTTGAAGCCTCCTACGTCATTCGCAAGGTTTGTGAATATTTTGTTGCAAAATGTAGTTCTCTCCGAGGTCAAAATTATAGTGGAGAACCCTTATGCTTACTCTTCTTTTTTCTTGGAGACTAATCTCAGGACTGTCTTCTATTTAAAATGTGCATGATTTTGTTTGGAATCATTTTTTTTATCTGTTTTTGTTTTCACCTGTTTTTCATTTTTCATTTTAGGTTCTTTGCTGTGGTGGGCACTACCTGTATATCTTTTAAACATCATCATCCTTTTTTGCTTCTGGGCTTGAGAGAATGGTTAGAGAGCAGCATCCCTTTTCTTTCCTTCTGTTGTTTCTGGCTTACTGATTTTATGGATTAGTTCTTTAATACCTTATTTTTTTACAACAGCTGGCAAAAAATCAACTTCTCTCTCTGTAATGAGATTGTTATATATCTTTATGAGTTTTGAAAGTTCTTCTAATGGTGGGGGGGGGGGGGGGGAGGTTTGTTTCAAGGGAAACTTGATGTAAAAGATTTTTTTTGATTAAAGGGGAATCTCGGAACTTTCCCACTCTGTGTCTTAAATCATTAATAAAGGATATTGTTGGATATTTCCTAACCATGTTTTTAGACAAAATTTTCATCCTTGACGTTCTCAGCAAGTTTCAACAACAAAGTAACTTTCTGTCTTTACCCTTTTCATGTTGCCAATGTTTCTGATTAATCCAGACTGGTGTGCCATTTTGTTTGCGTCTCTAGTTTTTAGACGCCCAGCGTATACACAACCTGACCAAGTACCTCCAAGCCTTGCACAAATCACAAACTGCCACGGAGGAGCACACTACTCTATTGCTCAACTGTTACACTAAACTGAAGGATGTCTCCAAGTTGGATGAGTTTATCATGGTAAGCTGTACCCACATGTCTGCCGTAAGCTGACAAAATACCTTTTTTAGAATTCCCAGCAGTTTTGAGATAAAGAGGCTTTTATCAACGTAACCATTTAAAAAAGGCGTTCCTCTGAGATGTCAGCGTTGGGCAGCTTTTTGGCCAAGAAAATGAACCCTGTTGGAGCAATCTTTTCAAGGGGGCCTTTTTTCTTGCATGTTTTAGCAGATGCAGGAACCAGTATCACTGTTTGCTGATGTCGTGATACTGGAATTAGTCATTGGGTTATTTAGTGTGTCATGATTGTCATTCCAACAGTAAGAATAATTTTTTATGAAGTATACACACAAGACAGGAGCTTAATACTGTAAAGTCTGAAAATGTGGGTTTGTGTTGTTTCACAAGAATATTTTGTATAAAACTTGTACACAGCAGCAGCTTGATTCTGATAGACCTTTTTCAGACTTCTTTGCTTAGTTCAGGCTCTAAGTAGTCTTGGCTTCTTTCCAATTCCTGTGACATGTTGAATGTTTTGTTTTATGACATTTCAGACAAAAGACAGAGAGGTAGACTTTGATGTGGAAACGGCCATCAACGTTTGCCGTCAGTCCGGTTACTCTGAGCATGCTCTGTCCTTGGCAGAGAAGCACAAGAAACACGAGAGCTACCTCAAGATCCAGCTGGAGGACATCAAAGACTATCAGCGAGCCCTCGAGTATATTGGAAAGCTTGACTTCGAGGCTGTAAGTGTCTGTTACAAAAGGGGAATATTTTTGGATTTAAACATCTTTGAGTAATAGTAAAGAATAAAAGTTATTCATTAGTAGATTTGTGTCTTCAAAAAAATGTAGTCTTTGTTTTTTGCAGTATGCACAAATGTTAATTTGTATTCAGTTTGTTGAGATAAGGCAGATAATCTTCTGTACTTTTCTTTGTAGTTCACCTATTGTTATTGCAAAAGGGGAATCCTGAAAGTTTTCAAGACTGGTTTAAATCAAAGTCATGCATATTGTTCAAAGATATAGTTTTGTCAAATTGTTTACATATGAATCTCCATCATAGTGTGTAACTTTTTTCAAAGGACAGCATAAACAGTGGTGTCTAAAGACTTTCGACAAGACTTTTGATTTGATAGATCTGTTGGCAGATGAGCTCTTTCAACAAGCTCCGTATTAGGTGCCTTAATCATAAATTTTTAATTATGACCTCCTATAATAGCTAAATGTCTAACTTATTGCACATCCTTGCTCTGCTTTTTTAAAAATTGTAATATTGGGCTTGACTCAGAATGACTTAAAATTGCTGTCTTTGCCATATTTTATCCAGAAATCTGTTGGTAATGTGCTTTGGAAATATTGTCCAACAGTGCATTAAGCTACACATCTTTAGATACTGTGTTGCTTCTCTACTTTTTAAATGACTTATTCATGTTTCAGGTAAAAAAAAATTTGAGATTGCTGCACTATTCTGTTATAGGTTAGAACAAAAAAAGTCATCTTTATAATCATGTCCGAGAGATGTCTTTCTTTTAAAAACTTGAAGTTTTCAAGCAGATTTTTCTTACGTTTTGTTCTTTAGTAAAAGTTTAATGGACTTTTTTTGTGTGTTTGATACGTTCAGGCTGAAAGCAATTTAAAGCAGTATGGCAAAATCCTGATGAGTCAGGTCCCACAGCAAACCACAGAACTGCTCAAGAGACTTTGTACAGACTACAAACCAACTGACAGTAAGTTCATTCATTTAGAATTCCTCTGCTGGGTGAGGGTTTGCTTATTTCACACTCCTTATGCATTCTAATTGCATATACACTAATATATATATTCATTATATTTGGTTAGTTCCATGCCTATAACGAATTTAGTATATACCTGTACAACCATGTCTCAGTTTTTAAAGCAGTTTTGTATAACATGAGATAATAATTTTTGAGGTAATAGTGTGACCTCCAGCTACAACTTTTTGCTTCTCATCCCGAAATTAGTCATCATCTTGTCCAGTACAAAGGAACAAATTGAAATAATGTTCACCCTTTACATCCTGACATCTTGCCAACATGCACATTACATAGGCTATTGAACTGATAACTGCATAATCAATATATAATTTCTAAATCTCATAGATGCACCTTACATACTTCGAATTGTATTTTTGATTTAGCATGGAACTGCCCAGATACAAGTTAATCTTTTCTTGGTTTTTCTTTTTCTTATATTCATATAATGGTGTGTGGTATTGCCTTTGCATAACAAATGAGTCTTTCAGCCTTGTCTTCCATAACATTGTGTGGACCTGAATTAACTCTTTGAAGACGCATCAACAGGGGAACCTACCGTTGTCCCAGTGTTAGCAGATAATCCGCTGATGATTTTAAACGTGTTTATTTGCTAAACTAGTGGTCTAAGGTGGACAACCCCTATATATGTATAAAGCTCTTCCAAAGCCCTATAGTTTGGTTGATTACTTTTATTTGCTTTCGAAATAGGATTGCTTTGCATGGTGTTTGCTTTAGGCCCATTGTTGCGCACGAAATGTTGCAGATTCTAGCCAAAATGGCATACCCATGTGGGAACCCCATTGCAGACACTGTGACTACCACGAGGAGACCGTTGAACATCTTTTCCTTCACTGCCCGAACCTGGCAGTTCTTGGACATAGGCTTCTACACACACCTACAGACTTACAAAGCCTGCTCTGCTCTGGCATTGACCAGATGACAAGGACATGTAGTTACTTGAGGGAGGTATTGCTCTGCCAAGAGCTAAATGCTCGCAGCTAAAGGGATTTGAAAACAAACAACAACAACATCCAAAATTGCGAGCTCCTGGCGGCATGGTTAGATGCGGAGTGAAGAAGCTTTGGAGTTGTTTATGAATGATGGCAGGGATGAGGAGTTAGATTTAAAGTTACAAGAATAAAGTTCAGATAATAATGATGATGAATCTGTTCCATGGGTTGGTAGATCTATGACATACTGGACCCCTTAGTCTCATTTAATCAATTTTTTTTCTTTTAAGGACAAGACTGGTAATGTGAATGTATAATTGATTGGTATCGAAGAAAAATAGAGAAATTTTAATTTTAGTGGTGTAAATGTCATTTTTGTACTGTTGATTGGAAAAAAATAGTGACCTGGTAAAAAAGGGCAAAAAAGGTGTGTCACAAGGTATCGACAGACAACTAAAACTCTTTCAGGTAGGTTCAGCAAGCTCTCTCTACCAGTGAAAGACAAAGAGGGAAAGACTATTTTCAACCCAGAGGGGCAACTTAACCGATGGAGAGAACACTTTGATCAACTCTTGAACAGACCACCTCCCGAAAACCAACCAGAAATTCTTCCAGCCAGAAATGACCTCCCAATAGTTACTGAACCACCTTCAAGAGAGGAAATCGCAGCAGCTATAAAAGCACTGAAGTCCCACAAGGCAGCTGGTTCCGACCATATACCACCGGAAGCCCTTAAGGCACATGAGGATACGTTGGTGGAAATTCTCTATGCTCTATTTGAAAAGGTTTGGCAAAAGGAGGAAATACCATCAGACTGGAAGGAAGGCCACCTAGTCAAGCTGCCAAAGAAAGGAGACCTCAGCAATTGTAACAACTACAGAGGCATTACACTCCTGTCCATATCTGGGAAAGTCTTTAACAGGATACTCCTGGAGAGAATCAAGCTGGCAACAGATGAGAAGCTCTGAGGAAACCAGGCAGGATTCCACAAAAACCGATCATGTGTGGACCAGATAGCTACCCTGCGCATTATTGTTGAGCAATCGCTTGAATGGAATTCACCACTCATGGTCAACTTCATTTATTATGAAAAGGCGTTTGACAGCATGGACAGGGAAACTCTGTGGAAACTCATGCGGCATTTTGGAATACCTGACAAAATCGTCAATCTTGTGAAGTCCACCTATAATGGAACAAACTGCAGAGTCTTCCACGAAGGACAACTCTCAGAACCATTCCAGGTACAGACAGGAGTACGACAAGGGTGCTTGGTCTCACCTTTTTTATTCATTCTGGCAATTGACTGGGTCATGAAAGAAGCCACCAGAGGCAAGTGTAATGGAATACAGTGGATCCCTTGGCAGCAGCTGGACAACTTGGACTTCACTAATGACCTTGCACTGCTCTCTCACACTCATGCTCAGATGCAAGAAAAGACCAAGGAACTCAACAGCCTATCAAGGAGTGTTGGCCTACGTATACATCCAGGCAAGTCAAAAGTAGTGAAGCTAGAAAAAGTTTCAAGCCCTGTCGTGACAGTGGAAGACACTCCCCTGGAAGAAGTGGACTCCTTTACCTACCTTGGAAGTGTCATCGATAGTAAAGGTGGACCCGAGGCAGATGTTAAAGCAAGAACCGCCTAGGCAAGGTCAGCATTCAATCAGTTATCATGTCTGGAACATGTAACGACGCTTAAACATTAAAGATGTATCTTATCTTATCTTATTAGTTATCTAGTTTTAAAGTGCCCAACAATTCAAACATTTTCACAGGTAGCATGCAGGGTTGTACTGGGGAGGGCTGTACTTTTAGGAAGTCTAGGGGGGCTTCCCCCAGCTAAAGTGGATTCATTGTATTGTGATGACTCCACTCACCCCAGGACGGTGAGTCGTCCAACAGGTCAATCCACAAGCCGTGGTACTTATAATTTTCGATAAGCAATCCGGTTGAAAACCATCCGTGAGATAAAAGTATACTAAACAGGGTATGTCCAACAACAATCAATGTAAGTGCACACATATTAAGAAAAGACTAAACATACAGATGCAAACACTTAAGAACACAACCCCTCTATTCAAGCAAAATTTGTATCTCTTTCTGTTCCCTCCTACCAACTTGTCTTGGCTCAGTAGGTTAGATACTAATACTAACAAAATCACCACATTAGTATGAGACTTCATGCAAACTTTCGGAACCTTTGGTGACACGGTAAAGATGACTCCACTAGGGAGCGATACAGAGGGTGCCCACCTCGTGACTCGAAAGAGCTGAGGAATGTAGGACTAACATGATCTAAACAAACTACTAACCAGTTGATGTAACCATCTCCAGTTGGGGCTATGGCAACACTTAGACTAGTAACTTACTAAAATAACCCTATAAGAGTGATGAAACCTATTTTGTTTTACTTATTTACTCATGTATTTATTTATATGTAAAACAATTTCCTGTGTGTTTACTTTAAGACTAACAGCTAAGTCCAAAACTCAAAATGCTGCACAGTTGATTGTTATTACTAAACACAAAAGCGCCAGATGATAGAATTGGGCGGGGTACAAACAACAAAAAAAGTCTGGAAGGCAAGCAACATCTCACTGCGCCCCAAGATTCGACTCTTTAACTCCTACGTCAAGTCTGTGCTCCTCTATGGCTGCGAAACTTGGAAGACAACAAAGACTGTACTGAATAAAGTCCAGACTTTCATAAACAGATGTATGAGGAGTATTCTAAGAATTAAGTGGCAGGATAGAATAAGAAATGGAGAGCTGTGGGAAAGGACAAGACGAAAGGACGTAAAAGTAGAAATAGGACTAAGAAAGTGGCGATGGATGGGACACACCTTAAGAAAGCCCAGCGGAAACATCACAAGACAATCACTACAGTGGAACCCATGAGGAGCACGAGGCAGGGATAGGCCACGGGAAACATGGAGGAGATGCGTGGAAAGGGACATGAGAGAGAAGAAGCTCACTTGGAACGAGCTTGGAAGGGTGGCCTAGGACAGAGATAAATGGAAGGAGCTTGCAGGTGGCCTATACCCTGCCAGGGGTGAAAGGCATTGATGATTGATGATGACAGGGACTCGAGAAAGGAAAAGTGGGTGCGTCTTCAAAGAGTTAATTAGAAAATACTAATAGTGTTTCTCATACTTACATACTTTTTTTTTTCGCGATATTTAACTCCATTTAAGCTTCAGATGTTTCTTTCTCTTTTGCCACTTACTTCTAGTTTCTTTCTCCGTTGCCACTTGTATCAATACATTGGCAGCCTTGGCACAGCTATTTTCTTGCTTGCCCAAGTCCCACAAATAAATGGTTGGGCAAATTCAAGTGGGCTCTAAATTTTCCATATCCTTCCTGGAATATTTTTCTCACAGCACTCTGACCTGACTGGTTACCTTGTGCTCCATCGCAAAAATGACGGGAGCTCATGCACAACTGGACACCAAACATCTCCATTTTTCATTTGTTGAACTTTCTCTTTTTGTTTTCAGAGCCTTTGATTGACCAAAGTAGTCTTGATGGTAAGATTCTGCCCCCTTTAACAAAAAGTGTTTGAAAAAAAATAAATTATGTGAATAATTATGGCGTAGTTGATTTTTCAGTTCTTCTTAGTTCACAAATCTCTTTGCTGGCCTTTTCACTTTTGTTCAACCAGTTTCATATGCTTAATATAAATTTGATGGAATTATGTTGTACTCAGTCTTTTCCGAATGTGTTATCATTTGTATATTATTATATGTCTTTTGATTTTGTGTACACCTTTTTTTGTGTGTGTGTTGACTATAAACATGCTCTGGATTTTAATTCTTGTATGAAACCAGTAAAATGCTTTCATCTTTACTGTTTAAAAAATATGTATTATTTAAATGCAAACATTAATGAGCAGTAAGATGATGTAGTTTTGGCATGCCAGTGCCCTAGAACAGAAAGACAGCAATATTAATTAGCTGATGTTGTTTTTATGAAACTTTAAAGACTCCACATAAGTGCACAAAGAATTGAGGTTGGACAAACTCCCATCAATGACTACAGTTTACCATTATGTAGACATGAAACAGAGCAATAAATTATGCATAAATGTGTCAGGGATTAGTAAGAGTAGATCTCAAAGTTCCACACTCCCGCTCAGTGTTGTTTTTGTTTTTATTAATCTTCATTTATGATAGTGGGAGCTTTTGTGTTTTTGGTTGTTGTCATGGCTGTTTTTAACCTCACAGTAAACCTCATGAATTGGTGTTTCTGCATGAACTATTTCAGGAGTGCTCCCTCTATTTGCATCAATTTTACTTGACTCTAGTGAGTACAGGCTTTGAGATTTTGGAAAAAAAAGAAGGTTCAAGTTCAATCAACAATGACGATGCATTCTGCTTTCTCACAGAAACATTATGTGAATTTACATGCGTGAAAAGGGAAGAATTATGCCAGTGTCTTCATATCAGAATGATCTTTTAAAAATTAGAAGAGTGATATTTATCATCAAATATGATTCATTCAAGTACAAATTAGCTATTGTGTCTTCAGAGAACAATTGTTCTGCTCACTAGAAATTGTTCCTATGCCTGCAAACATTAAAACTTTTCTTTTTTTGCTTTGAAAGCATAAACACTGGTAGTGGGATAGAATACCAGTCTTGGTACTTAAAGCAACAATTTTATTACACAAACTAAACCAAACTAAAAGTTTGCCTTTTTAAAACTAGAGAATTATGAAACTGATGCTTTACATATTTTCAGTACACTGTATTGACCGTAATGGAGCTTAATATTTACTTTCCACGCATGTGCAGATGGCTTGAATATGTTCAGATTTATTTTAGTTTTTCTTTTTCACCCCAGCATACACATTCAGTTCATATTTTATTATTAGCTCAATCCAATTATTTTTTTTGCTGCGAAATACTGCATTTGTTTTTTGTTTTTTTCAGTTGCTTGCCTTTCTTTTTATTTGCTAGGGTGAATTAATTGTTTTTACCCATTCTATATATGTGAATACATACTTCAAACAGTCCCTTGGATTTTACTTATTGTGTCCTTTTTCATTTGCAAGAAAGTCATAGCAATTCCCCTGATTTGGATGTCATGTATCTTTATTCTTTATTTGACAATGGGTTGTTTTGTAGAAGTGGTACATTCTGAAGGTTCTGTTTATTGTTATCTATGTAAGATACAGTAGGGTTGGATGTTCGAGTTTTGTAGTATTATGTATCAGGGGAGTCACTTCATTTCTTACTCTCCCATGCTCCCTCTATTAAATGCAGTAATTATATGTAATAGTTCCGGAATACTGAAAATGAATAGCCAGGTACCTATAACTATGTTTACTTACTTCATATCTTTTTTTAAAAAGTTGACTTTTGGTTTTCAAAATTTTAAGATTTTTCCTAAGCATTATATAATTTCAGTATGGTTGCCAGTGAAATTTAAAAGACAAACATTTTTTTATGGAGGGTACTGCATAGGCACTATTTTGGGAAAGTGTTTCGAAGATGTCTTGAACTGGATTTGATGATAGATGGTCATTTGGGTTTTTTTGTCCTTTTGATTGGGCAGAAAGCTGGGTTTATTTCAGGCAGGAGTTGGAAACAGATCTCTGGGGGTGTGTTGCGACTCAGTTGGAACACTGACAAATTTGGACCACCCTACCCTATAGCTTGTGGGAATATTTGTCTGATGCTTATATGTAGAATGAAATAAAAACGTTTGTATGAAAATTACATTTTTCTTAGAATAGTAAAGCCTGTTATATTGACTTAATCCACAAAATGCAATACTGCATGCTGATTTTTTAATCCTATTGAGCTACTTAGATGAAATGTCTGATTTTGGTATGAATACTATAGGAACCTATTATCTGAAAGTGCAAAGTGGGGAAAGGGATGTGTAAAAAACTCCATGCATATATATATATATGAATCTTTGTTTATCATTCTAAGCAACTGTCTATATTCCTCAAGCTTATGAATTTTAAACAATGTACAATTCTTTCACTTAAGAAAATGATCGTTCAATAGATATCAAGAATAATGTAAAGAGTTTTGTTTTGTTAGCCGTATGTTAAAGGTCATTAATACATTCATTCATTTGACTATTCCTGGATCATTTTCTGCTTATGAGTCTTTTTGCAATGGCTTATGGAGGGGGCTGTTTTGATTTTTAATGGGTTCACATTCATTGATGTGGAGAACCAGGAATTAATTCATAAAGATAAGGCATAGTCTTTAAAGGGATTTCTTGTCAAATGAATGCTAGAGGGCAGTGTAAAGCTTTTATTAAAAATGCCTATTCTCTCAAATTACTTTTTCAGGCGGCATTGGCAGAATCCAGAAAGCAAATGCTGAAGAGTTCATTCACATTTTTGTGAACAACTCTGCAAGACTGACAGAATTCTTGGAACATATGATTGAGGTGGGTTATACAAGTGGAAGTAAATGTAATTTATCATGGAAATCCCTTTTTACCATGTTCCAACCTTAACATGTTTTAGGTGAATTGATGATTGTGCACAAAAATTCACCATATTAACACTTTTTTATAGTCTGGTAAGCTTAGGTTAGTTTACAAAGGAAGACTGGCTTTTGTGTCTTAAGTCTTAAGCATTTGCTCGTGCTGCTTTCTCCTGATTTAGTGAAGACAAGGTATTGTTAATATAGTGTCGAAAAAGCAATGCTAATTCCGCACAGAAAATACACTGCTAATACAATGGATAGGAAAAGTGCGCCCTGGCATTCGAACCTGTTGAAATGTGTTTGATTATTTGTTGTTATTTTCTGTTTACTACTGATGTCATTTTATTTCCAGGTGCAGCCAAACTCATCCAACTTGGTGTACAACACGCTGCTGGAGCTCTACCTCCATGATATGGTTCATGAGAAAGGGATTTCGGTGAGTGTGCTTATCTACCACCTATATAATACTTTAGGATCTGGAAAGGAAGGGAAAAGAAATAAAGGGACATGTGTTTTATTTATGTTCTTATTATGCACAAGAGCCCTGCTTTTGCTTGACATTCTGTTGTGAAAAGGAGCTTTCATTAACACCTCGAGCCCTCAAAGTGACAGGGTTCCAACTCCTTATATACTGCACATTACAGACACAAATGTCATGCACACTGTATGAAAGGTCGAGACAATCTGACCTGTATTTTTTCAGTTTTACGCTTTAACGAGTAAGGTGGTAAAAAGTACTTTAGCTAAAAGAATGGGAATCTTTGAGTTCTGTTTTCTCAAAGCTATGTGTCGTGTAGGCTAGTTACAACCCTGTCATTCTATAGGCATGACCTACTTATGCATATATAGGAATGTTTTGGAGAAATCCTGAAATTGAAACACAGGGGCTTGTACTGATGTGTACCTATGAGATATTTTCTTTGTTTCAAAGGCTCGTGTGGAAAGAGAGAGAAAGACCTTGGAGCTGCTGAAAAACCCTGATGTAAGTAGCGTAAAATCTATGACCTATACATTTTGGTTCTTTTGCCAGTTTGTAATCATCATGAAGCTAAGATGATCACTTTCTTCAACAGAAGAGTTAAATCCAAACTGCAACTGAATTATTGACTATTCCGTTTTGCTAGCTCTGTATTTGGATTGACTTCAATTTTATTACTAATCCGAGGTAAACTTATTCAGATTTTCTGAGCATTGAAACATTTCGATTTGGATTTTTTAAATTTCTTAAGAAGAAATCTAAGTGTTGGTGAAGATAACTTTGCTCATGTCTTTGGAGCATTCCCCTCCATAAATAACTACCTCACTTTGTTTGCAGGGTCTACTTATAAATTTGGTAAAGTTTAGAGGCTATATGTTGGTGAAGAATTCTTCCAACTATATTGTCATATATTATGCTCTAAAAAATAATTAGTTGTGATCATAAATGCTCTCGTTCGATTTTCAGGCCAACTATGACATAGACCAAGCCCTCATTCTTTGTCAAATGAACAACTTCAAAGCTGGAATCTTGTTCCTCTACGAAAAGGCACATTTGTGAGTAATGTTCTGATTGCTTTTCCTCTGTCAATGTCATTTCATCAAACTTATGCTTACTCTCTGTGTCGGTACTTGACTCATAAGCAGGGTCTCTAATTCCTTACTATCCCTCTATTTCTGTCTGTCGTAATTTGAAACAGTACTAAGGCATTGCTGTCAACTATGCAGGGGCTTTTTGTTTCAGTATCTCTCTACAATGATATTCGTCAGTCAACCAAAACAGTTTCTATTGCTTGAAAAAAATGAGACCATAAACTTTCCCTCTAAAAGTAACAATGCTTTTTTTTCAATTATACTTTGAGTGTGCCTTTTTTTAAAGGAAACGGTCATTATAGATCATGTGCATACAGTACAGATGTAAAACACAAAAAAAGAAATGAAACATGACTGCTGACACTACTATGCTTTATGTTGGTCTTTTTATTTTCTGTGACTGCTTGTCATTTTTTTCTGAAGTTTCAATATAGATCTGTCTTATCTGTACAGTAGGAGGGGGGTTCAATAAGTGTTTGGTCTGGGTATGAAGGAATCAGGGTACAGTAATGAAATTTCGCCAGCCTTTAGATAATTTTTTTTAAAAGCACCATGGTAATTTTCGGGAAAATCCGACAATAATAAGGCACTAGTCAGCGTGTTAAATGAAACCATGCACAAAAACATTTGCTTTTTCTTTGCTGAAGCTGTGCCATGAAGCCTGTTGAATATCGCTCATTTATCAAGTTTTTACACTTGCAAGGAAAATCCTCTTCAGACATTTTTCAGGAAATGGTCCAAGTTTATGATGACAAATCTGGATTCCTGTCAGTGATGGGTGAAGATAGTAAAGGGCGCCCATCTTTTTTGGCAACTGAAGAGAATGTATCCATAATGAAGAAACTGGTTTTACAAGACCGACGTATAACTGTTAAACGGCTCTCAAGTGAAACGGGAATCAGTGTAGGGTCCTTTGAAATGATTCTCCATGACTGTCATTGCATGAATAAGGTGTCTGCGCGGTGGGTACCCCGCCCTTTGACAAGTGAGCAACAGAAGCAGAGGGTTGAGTCCTGCAAAACTCTCCTTCGAATTAAGTCCAATGACACAAATTTCTTTAAAAACATCGTGACTATGGATGAAACATGGATTTATCATTTTGATCCAGAACAAAAAATGTCCTCCATGCAATGTCCTTCTTCTCCCTCACCAAAGAAGGCAAAGGTAACACCGTCAAGTGGAAAGGTCATGCTGTCGTGTTTCTGGGATTGTGAAGGAAAATGGAAAAACAGTCACAGGGGACTACTATTCAGGTTTGCAGATTAAAATTGCTGTCTACATGACAATGCCCCTGCACACAGGGCAAATAAACAGTCCAGACAGCAGAACAGTGCGGCTTTGAAATCTTGCCACACCCAGCTTATTCACCAGACCTAGCCCCTTCAGACTTTTTTCAGTTTCCTAATCTAAAAAAATCACTGACTGAAAGGACGTCATTTCCATGACAATGAGGACGCCATTGAAGCTGTGGAAGATTAGTTAGGGGCGCATTCTGGGTCATTTTTTCTCAAGGACTTTTGAAGGTCAAAGAGAAGTGGCAAAAATGTGTTACTCTGCATGGTGAGAAATGAAAGTATGTGTGCCAAGTTACAAAGCTCTATCTTTATTTCTTCATATTTAGACCAAAGACTTCTTGAACCCCGCTCGTATGTCCGTTTGAGTTTGCATGTATGCACCTGTTATATTCAAATTAGTAAATTCCTATCAGGAAAGACAATTGTTTTGATGATCTGTGTAAGGCACTTTAGGCCCACCTGATGGCCAGTGGGCAGAACAAGTGTTTTGTTGTTGTTGTTGTTGTTGCTGTTGTTGTTGTTCATGTTCTTTGTATGTATTGTTACCTGTCATGTTTATCCTTTATTACTCTCTGTTGGCTCTCCTGTTGGTCTGTGTCTTTGTTACTACAGTTTCATTCTTTTTCTTTTTCAACATTAAGGTGGACAAAAGTACTTGCTTGTTACTGTTTGACTCCTTTGTAGACTCAATATAGTCTTTCAACCACACCCCTGATCTTCTGATAGGAAAGATCTACACCTGGCCTTCTCGGACAAGGGTGAAAAATCTCGGAGGGCCCGTGTGCAAGTTGCACACGTTAAAGATCCCTTGGTGGTCTAAAATCGATAAGAGTAGGCTTCGGCCGCCACCCGGGCAAAATTCAAAATTTCCTACCAACTGAAAATATTAGGTGTGTCCAGCGCGCTCATAATATGACCGTATGCAGTTGCGAGCGCCGTAAAACACTTTACAAAAACAAACAAACAAAGACTCAATATAAGTCTTTTCTGAAGCAGACTTTTTGGTCTCCTGTGGGAAGACTAGGTTGAGAGGCAGTATTCTAGGCAGGAAAATAATATAAATTGGACCATACTTGGATGCGCATCTTGAAAATTGTAAATTGCGATACAAGTTTGTAATCTACTGTGCCGTCGTGTCCCGCGAAAGACAGCCGACTGTAAGTCAAAGTTTCACATGTTTTATATCAAGTCAAGCATTTGTTCCTGGATGGGTCATTGTGTGTGGTCACGTTCATTTCTTTTTTGCGTCACTGTTTAATATTGTTTTTAGTTTTTTGACAGTTTTTGATATTCCATAACTACTGTGTTCCATACAGGTATCAGCAGATTCTCCGTTATCACATGGAGCACAGGGAATATGTGCATGTTATTGAGGCATGCAAAAAATTTGGGTAAGTAGGAAACTGGGAATGTGAACAGCTTTCCAGGGTAGGTAAAAAATGTTTGTGCTTCAATCTGCTAGTTTTGTATGCCCCTTTTTCTTCTTGTTGATGTTACTGTAGTCGTCCTCTTCTGGATCCTGAGAAAATATTGCTTTGTTGTGCCAGCCCTTTTATTGTTTCATTTTAATTCTTGAGGTTTGAAAATATCTAGAAAGGCTATATTGTGGTGCTTGTTTTGGATGCCTTCAAATAATTGGGGGGGTTTTTAAGTACAGAAGTATACCCGACATTTGCAGCAGTTAATGAGTCTCAAATTTAAACTTGTTGTATTTACTTATTTTGACAGAAGTTACTAATTGTCTTATGCTATGTGCTTTATTATTGCAACGAAAGATCTGAGTTGCTGAATTTCGCGCGCTCATATGACCTTATGCAGTTGCAAGCACCGTAAAACTCCTACAAAAAAAACAATGAGTTGCTGAATTGAGACGACAAACGTTTGTGATAGTGATGGAAAATTGTTGAGACTGTAGAGCATTGTTATAAACTGGTCCAAATTGATCGGACTCTTCTTCATTTTTCCTTTACAAAAGTCCTTCTAAACAAGGGCTGAAATATGAGATATACTGTTTCTTATCTCTTTTAACTTTTTCAGCCAACAGGATCCCCAACTGTGGGTGCAGGCTTTGTCTTACTTCGCAAGCAAAGAGGAGAACTGCAAGTCACAGCTCATGGAAACCTTGTCTCGTATCCTTTTTCCTGGTCTAGATAGTACCGTTACCTATCAGTGAATTATATCAGTATTAAAAAAGCACTAGATACTTTCAAATAATTATGCTGACATGGAAAATTATTGTGTATCTGTGTCTGAGGCAGAGTGGCTTTGTGTTTTGACCTGACTCTACTTGTTTGGTGAGTGAGACACAGTTTTCTCTTTGAATGACTGATTCTTTGTCTCTTCAGGTATTAGTGGTGGCCCCACATTCTGTTGTGACAAAGTTTTTAGTCTTAGCATGGTCATTTTAAATGTGGATAATAATCATTGTTTTACTATAAATTTAAGATTATTAGATTATGATTTTTAAAAATCCCAATGATGTTTTGCAGAGAGTAAAAATGTACAGATTTATTGTAGTGTTGAGTAATAAGGCAAATTTTTAACTATTTAGGGAAGATTGTAAAATGAGCAGGGTGTTAGTGAGTGCCATAGTAAGTCTTTGATATTATTTTTTTTGTTGTTGTTTCTTTCGTTCTGTCTTTCTTTTACTTATCACAAAATGACTATCATCACGTTAATGTACTTCACTTGAGTCCAGCTGTAAAATGAAGGACTGCAGTGAGTTTTTATAAAACATGACAGGCTCAAATCAAAGAGCTTTCTATTTTCACTGTGCCAACATAATTTTCCTTGATGAAAAAAAAATAGATATTGACAAGAAAAACCTGCTTCCGCCGCTAATGGTCATTCAGATTTTGGCTCACAATTCTACTGCAACGTTGTCAGTTGTCAAGGTAATGACCAGTGCTGTACTTTTTATGAACGGTCGTACTTGCCTTCGTCCATTTGGTTCCCCACAGCGTGGCACCGTTTGAGAAGAGGCTGTGCGGGAGGGGAGTCTGCTGACAGTGGTACTGTCTTAACTGGCACATTTCAGTTTGCGCAGAAATACTAAAATTGGCTTTGTTATGGAGTTCCCTGCAGTGCCTGTTTAGCCATATCAGATTTCCAATTTTGCTCTTCAGACTGTTTGTACTTAACACATTACAGTAATTACACCCTAAGGGTGTGGACGAGAAGTCCATTGTTAGATCCTAAGCAAGGGGAAGGAACCCACCTCCGGTGAATACAAGCCTTTAAAAACACATTTTAAAAATACTAAATGAATTCCGAAATTCCTGAAAAAATTGACGTTAAAACGAAAAATTAATGTAGTTTCAGAAAAATATAACTTATGTATGCGCAAACTGTTGGAAATGTTCTAACTTTAGTTCAATCGGGGTGTCCGACCCATCACTCTCACTCTCAGCCTCGCGGTCAGGCCCAAGATCTAAATTCTAGATTTTCTACATTTGATCAATCTGAATCACCCCAAACTCTTGCTACAACGTTTTCATCAAAATATGAGTCATCTGATTTGTCATAAGCTTGTTTTTGCTGAAATCCATCCTTATTTCCTTTTTCGAACTCAATTGTGTCGCCCGAAAAATTTCGTTTCAGTATCAAACGAAAGAAGAAACTTTTTGCAATAACTATGCAAATCAGAATCTCGGCGCCAGAGTCTCGTCAAGGCGAGACTTCGTTTCTAAAGATGCTAGGTCGGCGCGGGCAGTTCCGCGCGAGTCAGGGTGGAGCGCATAAGGGAATTCTCGGGCGAGTTTGGGTGTAATCTGTTAAACATTATTTTCTTGAGTGTCTCCGATTTCCTTCCCCCCCCCCCCCCCCCCCCCCCGAAAAAAAATAAAAAAATACATAGTTACAGATGTAGTTGGGAAGAAAATAGGGGTGGGTCTGGCTCGTTTAAAGAAGATTCTCATTGCAAGGGGGGTTGATGAATTCTCATTTGAGAAAAAAAATCACCGGGGGAACATTCCAATTATTTGCATTAAAAAAAAGCGGAGCTTTTTTTTTAAAAGATTTGGTTGGGGGGGGCCATTTCCCCGCGGTCCAGGGGGGGGCCCATAGGGGATTTTTGGGGGGGGTTGGGGGTTATTTTTTTAAACTTTTTTTTCTGGGGGTTCCCCGTTTTCCTCCCCCCCCCCCCCCCCCCCCCCCGAATAAGATTAAATAAGTACATAGTTACAGATGTAGTTGGGAAGTAGATAGTGTTGGGTCTGGCTCGTTTAAAGAAGTTTCTCATTGCAATGGTGTTTGATGAATTCTCATTTGAGTAAGAAAATCACAGTGTGAACATTCAGATTATTTGCATTAGAAAAAAGGGCAAATGTCTTTGAAAGGTTTCAAAATTGCCATCACAGTATTTGTTCTTCTACATGCTCAGAAAGATAATTTGGAAAAAAGTATTTACTGTCTATGTCATATAGTTGTTATTCACACAAAAAAATCACAGGTCCCCCCCCCCCCCCCCCCCCTCCCAGCTATGACACATGCATGATTGATGGGTAAAGTAGTTTTGATGCAATATACATTTAGGTAACCAAATTCTTTAATCCCTCAAAAATAGTTTACTGCAGGGTAGAGGTTGTATGTTTATGAAACTTCTTTTTCTCTATTCTTAAGGACTACATTGTCAGAAGACTTCAGATGGAGAACGATCAAATAGCAGAGGACGAGCGACTCATCAAACAGTATCGAGAGGACACTGAGAAAAAACGCAGCAAGATTGAAGAGCTGAAAACTTCGTAAGAGGATTTTTATGTCCGTGTCATTACTGTTTCAATGTTTCTTTATTCACATTTACCTCATCCTCTACTTTGCAGAGCATCATAAATATGGCTCTATACTCTATGTATTGTGTTGCACAGACCGGATGGAAGAAAATATTTGGTAATCACATTATAAAGTTTGATTTCAGTTTGTGTTTTAAGAGACCTCTTCATATAAACTAATGTATGTATGTTTGTTTCTCATATTTTTCTATGTTAGAAGTTATTAACTGAGCTAACTTTAGTGTTTGCTTTTTTTCCACAGTGCAAAAGTCTTTCAAGCATCAAAGTGCAATATTTGTAGCCATTCACTGGAGCTTCCATCAGTTCATTTCCTGTGTGAACCACATTCATACCATCAACAGTAAGTATCTAGGGCCATCTTCCGTAATGACCTGACTAGCTCTGATATAATAACAGTGAATTTCACTTCCCTAGTATACCTACTTCACTTAAGAGCATAAGTAGATTTGTCAGGTCATGTTGCTTTATTAAAAGATCTTTATATTGTGATTATGGCATTTGTTACCCCCCTCGTCAAAATACCTCTTTTTTAATTTTTAGTAAAAATAAGTGTCAAATCTGGTGCTCAAACAGAGAGTCTGTCAAGAGTGAATGAGCTGAATATCTTTTTAATTTGTCCTGTTGTCGATAAATGTAATCAATCCTTAGAGTTCCCTGTTGCCTGCTCCTACTCACCAGTCGTAAACATTGAGCCTATTTGATATAAACTTCTGTGATCAATATATTGAAGAACAGTATCAGCGTAAATAGTTAGTATGATTTTTTTTCCTCTGTTGTCCATTCTTTATTTCTATCTCTGTCCTTACTTTATTTCTGTCTGTATGAAGATATACATGCACATAATTAGTATGATTTTTTTCCCTCTGTTGTCTATACTTTATTTCTATCTCTGTCCTTACTTTATTTCTGTCTGTATGAAGATATAAATATCTTCTTGTGATTCTCTTAACAGTTGTTTTGAAAGCTATGCAGAGAATGACTTGGAATGTCCAGTCTGTGCACCAGAGAACAGGTTAGTACCAATATAACCATAGCACATTCTGCTTAGTGTCTTTGTGTAAGCTTTTCTGTCTTTATCTGAACATTTCTTTAATCTGTTTTTTTTTTAAGTTTTAGTAAGAGTTTTACAGCTTTTGCAATACAATTAAGTTATATAAGCACCAGAGTTTAAAGGTGTTACAAGAGAGTAACATAACAAAGAATAGGAGGAGGAGAGATAAGGACGATACATGTTTGATAGAAAAGAAGGAGCAAATCACTCCACAGCACCCTCAAACCATACACCTTTAATCTGTCACGTCTTACTGACTGTCAGTGTCTTTATCAAGTTTAGAAAAACAGTTTTGTTGTTCCATTTTTGGGTTTTTTTAAGTTTTAGGGACACATAATGAGTTTTCTGACGGAGTGTTCATGCATGCACATACACTTCAGATGCACACATGCAGGCACATATACACATGAGCATGCACACACTCTCACACACACACACACACACGCACTTGCACTCATACACACGCACATGCTCATACACACACATGTATATTTATATATATTATATACTTTTGTATTTTTATCAATTTATTGGCTGCCTCAAAATCTGATTTTGTAAGATTTTTGTTGTATTTGCTCATTTACTATTGTACTTTGTAATCTGATTCATAAGATTTGGTATTTGAGTCTGATGATAATAAATAAGTATGCTTTAAGATTTCATTCTTTTTTCTTTTTCCACCCTCAGGAAAATTATGGACATTATCAGAGCACAAGAACAATCAAAGGATATCCATGAATTTTTCCATAACCAGGTAAACAAGAAAATGGATTTTAAAAAAAAACTAAAGTAGCTAGAAGCATTTTCTTTTAAACATTTTTTAAAATAAATGATTTTCATGGCCATTCTTACTTTTTGAAAACATTTTTAAAGTTTTACACTGTATTTCATATTTGCCGTTCAAGCACATTCTTTGAACCTGACAAACAGGTCAATGAATTTTGTTGTTTTCTAGAATATGAAAACTGTTGTAAGGACCAGCTATCTAGGCTGTTGGCATTATTTCATGAGTGTTAAAAAGTCTTGTCTGTGCCATGTCTTTATTCTGTTGAGTCAAATTTATTGTGCAATTTAAATTTTAATCCTCAGTTCTATGAGCACATTCCTGTGACCCTGTTTTTAAGAGACTGTAAGGGAGAGCTCTATTAACTTTTGTATGCATGCTTTATGCAGAGTTTGAAATGATGGCTACCATTTTGTTTGGTCTTTCCTCTTCAGCTTGAAAGAGCCCCTGATGGTTTTTCTGTTGTAGCTGACTATTTTGGAAGAGGTGTCTTCAATAAGGTGAACTGAATTATGCGTTGGTAATCATCAACAGTCTGTTCAAGTGTTCTGAGCCCAGAAAGAAAAATTATTTATATTTCTTGAGCACACGCTACCTATAGCACAGATTAAGAAACTGAATAAGAATTATTTTTTAAATTTTGGGCTTAGTACATCTGAACAGCTGGATGACAAATATTTTCTTTCTTTCGGGAATGAACTAATATGTTTATTCAGTTTCAGGTTTAAGCTGAAAAATTAATTCTATACAACCCAAAATTTTTTTTGCAAAAAATAGGTCTTATTATAAAGTCTTACTCTAAATATATGTTGATAACGAAAGAAACTGGTTCATTTACAGGACGCAGTAAATAGTAACTGTAAGCTGTGACACAGTTATCACACACATAAGATGGGGCAGGGGAGTGGGGTGTTATTAGGGCTTGAAACCTGGAATTTTTTCCAGATTTCACCCTGTTTGATGATCCTTTTGCACTGAACTGCAATCTTTGTTATAGTTTTGTAGTCTTGGCTGATGTGGTCTTCTACTTCTTTTTGTGCGCTACTGTAGAAATGTCCTTTGTCAAGTTCCTTGTTGAATGTGGCCATCATTGTCCTGATTTGCTATTTGGTGGCTTTTATGGACAAGCGATTAACCCAGATTTCGGGGGTTGCCAGAAATCTTTACCTACACCAAAAGTGGGCATTGCCCTACCTATAGGAGAAGTTTGGTTTCATTGGTGTGTATATTAATTTGTTTGGTTATAGAGAAAACTCTCCTTGTCTTTTAAAGAAACTGAACGAGGGGCAAAAACTTTACCTTCGATTTTCTCAAAAGGGCATTTTTCGGGATAGCCCCCTTGTGCTTAGAAGCGACCCTTTACTACAAATTGTCTCCCATCCTTAGGTGACCCTCATCACCGACCAGGGAGGAAAGCCCAGCAGCTCCACGACCAGGTGAAGGGAGAACACCCTGTAGTGTAGAACACAAGCTCACCGAAACGTCTCTGCCAAAAGTCTGGAGGTCAACCAAGTGCACATTTCCCAAATTCTGAGTCTAAGTAACGTTCCTGACTGTATTTTCTTTTTCTATGTAAGGCTGTTTATCACACTACACCTCCCGCCCTGCCCACCCCACCCCCTCAATCCCGTTTTGTATGTGATGTGAGCAATTGCGTTTTGTTTACAGCCCTGTATTTTTGAAGATAGTGCAATATCTAGATAGATCTCTTCGCGGACTGACCTGTGGCAGAGCAGGACTGGGCTTGTGTTTCTTCAAAAGAAATTTTGATTCATGTACAGAGAAAATTCTTTCTATATTTGTGGTGGCAAAGAATGCTTGAGATTATCAGCATTCCTTGATATAAGTGGATGTTATTACGCTCACTCTCATTTGAGTATAACCAATGATCATACATAACAAGATGGTCCACTCCTCTCTTTGAGCCAATTAAAAAGGTGTCCTCAAAATTCGGTGGCGCCCTCTTCACAAATGCGCACCTTTTGCGAACAGTTTTACCCTACTTGTGTGAAAAAAAATCGAAGTGAAAACTAACAAGTTTTTGAATAAATAAGAATTCAAATTTTGGAAGAACGCTATTTTAAAATGGTTACGCTGACAAAAAACCAGAAGAGGCAACTGTTTTCTTCGTTTAATTTGACTTTAGAATGAGAGGCGAGAGGTCATTAAAATTTTTTAAAAACCTAAAACTCCACACTGAACGAACCCGAACAGCTGAGGAGCAGCAGTCGATCTGCCCAGCAAGGAGGTGCTATTCCTATTCTTCTTCTGGAGAAATGAAAGAGAGCTTCAAAACAGACTGCAGCGCCATCTGAAGCAATGAGCGGACTTCTGACGGACACTTTTTTGGCTGAGTGGACCAACTTGTTATGTACGATCTTTGGTATTACTCATCTTGTTCCACTATGTTTGGGCTTTTTTTACATTATAATTTCTAATATGTTTTCAAAATGTATGTTTTCTTCAATAGATTAAAAAGTGGAATTTTGAAAGAAATGGGAGGAGGTTTAGAATTTTGACATTTAAAAAAATGTTGCTGTAATTATGTAAGTGCAAACTTGAGGTGCTATTGGAATGCAAAGTCATAGGGACTCATGCTGCACTGCATTTATTATCAGCAAGTTCAGGATCTTGACTATCTTCAAACTGTATACAAATGGTATGTTGACATGCTTCGTCATACTTGATTGAACGTTTCCTGTTTTTTAGACTGGGGCAAAAATGAAATGTCAAGCTTAATTTTTTAATTGACCATGTTGTATTATGTGAAATACCTTCACCTCACCTCTTAAAAGTAGCTATTGATTAAACTAGAAAGATGGTGATATACTATCTGTGTCTCCTACAAGTATGGTTAAGGGACACTGTGATCCTCCTCTCCTTCCTGATGAGCCACCAGGTACATGATTTGTGTGTTGTACATGAAGGTGCTGTGACTGCCGCACTGTGTGGGAGTATAAGGGTCAATCAAATTCACCTGTCGTGAGAAGTACAAAACAGGGTAGAGATACTTCCCTGGTGCTACTATAGAGGGGATAGTGTGTTCAGCATATTACTCCTACATTTATTTATATATAAAAAAGGGGTGTTTATCAGGTGTGGAATATTTATGTAAATGTCGATGATGTCCGACTCTAACTGTATATGTGCATGAACGTCGATTTTCAGAAAAGTGGAAAAAAAACATAGTTTCTTTTTTATTAACAACCAAAATTGCTCACAATTTTTAGTTAAGTTTAAAAAAAAAAAAATTCTATATATTATCACAAGTTGTAATTGTGGTTGTAAATGACATGATTTGAGACCAAAAAAAAGCATTTGGCCTAATTGTACGGATACACAGTTAGAGTCGGACACTGACGAGATAGTAATATTGATATTTAATGTTTTGACCCTGTGAACGCGAGTGGCACCCTGAGGGTGATAGTGCTCCGTGCAGGGGTTAGGCAGCCACAGGGCGCCAGGTGCTGGTGCTTGGATGCCACAGGGGGCCAGGGTTCAGAGGGTTAATGACATTCAAACATTCACACAATGTCTGGCAAATGACAGTATCTCTAAATATAAATGCAATATCTCTGAGAAGGAATCAAGGAAAGTTTTTATTTTATTTTAACCAATTTCCTATGTTATTGCTTGTGAAGAATTACCATTTAACTAACATAAACAGTAGGCCTACTTTTGAAAATATGTGCACCTGTATAAATTAGTTTCAAATACTTACATTGTCAAAGGGGGACTTGACCAAAATTTCAAAGTCTCTGGGAAGGTACTGTCTTTTTTTTTTAGTCGTAGCATGCACCACGCGGGTCATAGGCTCAAATCATGCATTATCCTGTAGTTACTGTAACAAGAATGTGACTAGTAAATTTTGAGATGTCCAAAATGACTTATTAGAACCACGTGTAATTAATAAAAACAAAACCGTGTGATATGTTATTGAGTCTTAGTTTAAGCACTGTCTTGTAATTGTTGGATTCTCAAAAGAGATTGTGATTACTCTGGTGGGTTGGGTTTTTTTTTCATAGAATTTGCTGCTTTGAATGCTGTAATCGTTCTTGTGATTTTAAATAGTCAGGCTTGTCTTAAGAGTACTGTGATGTCAGGTCATAGAAGAGGATTTGATTTTTATTATAACTATGATCAAAGCATTCCACAGTCATGAGAAATAAACTCTGTATGTCAAGCTTGGCTCATTGTTTCTTTTCTGGAGATGTTGATTCCTTGAATTGTTTGAGTTGATGAAAGGGGTGGATGTCGTGTATGTATCTGTCATATATATACATTTAAACCTGAGTAAGACAGCCATGCATTATCGACGAGAAAAGTGGTCAATGAGACAGGTGGCCGTCTTATGCAGGACTGATCAAAATGAAGAAAACATCATTTCCTTCTGAGGTCTCAACTGAAGGTTTATCAAGGCTTAAGACTTATTACGAAGGCTTAAGACTTATTATTATTATTAAGATTGCCGTAAGGCTAATTAAAATGTTGAGGGGGGGGGGGGTTCTTTTGTAAGGGGGAAGGGGATGGAAGGTTTTTGTGGAATTTTTCACTGTTAGTTCAATTTTCTTCTAATTATGATAACATGCAAGGTTGAAATTAAAAACTAAATGTGTCTGACAAAGGAGACCGACTGCCATCGTAAAAGAAATGGTTCGCCTCCACTCAGCGAATGAGCGACACTTTTGTCACAAGTTCATGTTGACGTCTATTGTTACTGACGACAGGGTAAACAAAGCGACTGCTCACTTATGATTAGTGTACGAGTTGTGGGCGGGGCTTAAAGTGCCTCCCCCACCAGCAGCTGAAAATCGATTGTTACCGACGGGTCATCATGGGTAAATTAAATAGTAGGAGCTCATTCATAAGAGAGACTAACAATAACGACAGAAGAATGGATTGGGACGGCTTGCCCACAGTGTCGGTACTGTCAGTGACCAATATGTAATTTTTGACAAAGCGTCGGACAATGAGAGATTTGTGCGGCTATCTTAGACCGTTTTTGGGGGTATTAGTTGATAGAATATAGTGGCTGTGGCAGGCAGATAATCGTTTAACAGTGTAATTATATAGAAAAAACACTATAGGGAAATGGCAAGTGGCCGTTTGTATTATACACGTGGCCGTCTCGGCAGGTTCACTGTATTTGTTATGAAAGTGATTGGCAGAAGATAATGTTAACTAACTAATGGTGTACCTGCTTTAAAGAGCAGACTTTCCTGGTTTAGCTTCCATTCCAAGATATTTCCAATTTAATAGGCTCTGATCCATGGTTGAATTTGAAATTCTGCTTATAGATTACTTCATGTGTAAGAAGGATTGTAGTTCTGTTCTCAGGACTCTTTGTCAAGTGTCTTTTGACTGGAGTTTTGCTTTTGCTTCTGAACTTTTTTCTTCTTCTCTTTCCATTTGTGTCTGTGACAGCTGAGACTTAGAGCGGCAAAATAAGTAATGTACACATATATATGCACACTTTATATTTACCTGCACTTGACAAGATAGATTTTGTGTTCAGCATTCATTTGGTAATTTGGTACGGTATGTTTTGGGTTTCAATGCCCCTTTAAAACACTGTGGTTGTTTAATAATTAATAGGGAGGGAATGAGGAGTTTGATAGGATTAAGCCATGAGCAGAAAGCCTCGAACACTCCTGGACAATTACAAAAAAAAGATAAGGGCAGTGCTAAACTGCATTCACAAGCCGTAGCTTAGCAATACCAGTGTGTCAACTGTCTCATGATGCAGGACTGCAAGACATAAGAGTAACAATCTTGAAAATCTGCAGTTTTCAAAAGACATCCTTACAACTTGACAGTAGTCATCTTACACCTGTGGTTGTTGCAAAGTCATGACAGCTTAAAAAGATGTAGAAAAATCTAGTAGGAGCTAAGAACTATCTAACCACAAGGACAGTAAATGAAACAATGAGGGTAACCACTACCATACACACATATGTATAACCAAGCTTTATTTATTCAGCTGTTACACGGTAAGAAAACAATCCAAAATAATTTATACAAGTATAATCAAACAACCATAGCAGTAGACTGAAATTTCCAGCCAAAACTGAGATGTTTACACAACACCATGCCAGACGCAACCTTTCTCAGGGAGGACTAGAAAGTGATAAATGTTCCGGTAAAACGAATATCATATTCAGCGAGCAGTTTGTTATACACTGTTCCAAGAACGATGTATAGGTTACCTACGCCTACATGTAAGTTGGAGCCATTTTAAACAAAGAGCCGATAAACAACAGAAGAGAATAACATGAGCCATAGAACTACACAATGTGTAATAACACATGTAATAAATTGGTTCAGTGCAAATCCACAGATAATACGTGTGTGTGTGTCTGAAGAAAGGCACGAAAAGTCAGATTTTAACATTTTTGGGGGGATTAGGGAGTTTTGTAATTTAAAAAATACAATGTTGAGTAGGCCTACAATGTTTTTGGCTGTATTTTTTTAAATATTGCATGTTTTGTGAGGTAGGGTATTACAAATATGATTTCAAGAAGAAGGGCTACACAGTACACTGTCAAAACAGCAAAGGGTAAGGATGTGTAATTAGTGCGGTTAGTTTGCAGATGTAGATATTCATGTGCATAGTGAAGGGAAAATTCATTGAATATTTTGGAACAAAATGTTCGATTCTACTGCACTGATAGTTCAGAGCTGGGAATAGAAGAAGACAAACCTCAAGCACCAATTTTTAAAGTCTGGTTTTAATATCTATTTAAATTTTTTTATAGAAAACCCTACCATCAAAGTAATTCCTGAGATACTTAGAAGTCAGGTAAAGTAAAATCCTTTCAAATTATGATTGAATTTTTACTTAATCAGTAGTAAGCCTGTAGTTCGAAACGATATGGGTCAACTTTCTCAAGCCACACACACATATAATATTTTAATTCAAAAGTTTGCACAATAAAAATTTTTTTTTTAAAGAAATCCAAACAAATGCCATGGATATTTTCAGTTTCCTGCAGAGGAGTTGCATGGCATTGGGTTTACATCACAACTCAAACTATTTTTACTAGTATTTGAAAATAACTATTTCAATCACTTTGAGCTTCAATTTATCCGCACCAAATACTCAAACATGACCATTTACTCAAAACAAAGTACAAAAATGGCATAGAAACTTATGGAAAATCCTTTTATCTTAAATTAATATCCAGAGGCCTATGAACTGCATTGGAAAATGTGAAAGGAACAGTTCAGCCACATACAACCCAATGGCCAGACATTTTGTGGTACATAAGTTACTAAATCTTGGACATTCACTTCAGTGGAGTCCGCTTAAAAAGAAATCTGTCAGACTGCCAGATTTTTTTTTGTTTAGCCACATTTTTGGCTTAGATAGGACACCGAAATAGATGGGAAAAAATGGGGATTTTATTTTCTTCAGTTTACTGCTGTTTTTGGATTAATAGTGTTTGAATTAAGAAGACTCTCCTGTACTTGATATTCCAGATGTTCACAGAACTGAGACCTCCGAAAAATCATAAAAACCTGAGTAGCACTATCCAAAAATCCAACAAAATAAAGAGGGAACAAGTAGAGGATTATTCTGGCATACTATTGCAATATAACTGATCATGTATTCATGTATGGTCAGATACATCACAAATGAAAGCAGAAGTGGCAGCATTTCAAAAAGACTTGCTCATAGAATAAAATACCAACTAACATTGTCATCTTCACCGAATCTGTCTGCCTTACAAACAATGGAAAACAGTGAAGCTGACAGCAAGGAAGACATCCACAGTCATAGCAGTTGACAGAACACTCGTCCTTTGCTGTCAGGCTTGCACTTCATTGGATATAAGGACAAATAGACATACCATGCAAAAAGAAAGCACACAGTTGTGCAAAAAAGCAGCTCTTACTCACACTCAGTTCAGCTAGCCAGAATCATTCACTTAAGTGACCAAAAAAATCTGTAAATAAATCTAGAGAGGAATGACTGAATATTGGGGCATGGCCAACTTTAAGGAGGTATGTTATGAACAGGACAAACCCCGAGCACAACATAACATCCTCAAACAGCACTACAATTTTCTATCTTTGATCCATCATGAGTACCCCAAAATCCAACCACCAGGTCTGATATGTGATCACCCTCATGAAACAGTCCACTATCTGTTCTTCCAACCTATAGGAGATGTAAATCAGTCACTTCTTACTCTCACTCAGCCCTTACCAAAACAAACACCCTATAATACAATAGATAGCAGCTTTACCAAGACTTCTATCATCTACAAGATGACAATTTCCCTATGACTGCTAAAATAACAAAACAAAAGCTACCTACTAGCCACCACATGGTATGAGCTCCGGTTCTTACCTTGTCTTTGTGAGTAAATAAAGGTTACGAATTCACTAGCCCAGAGTTGAGCAGTTCATTTACAACAATTAAAACAATAACTTATCAAACAATCAGACTTTTTAAATTCTGGACCAGAGACACTTATGGCTACTGAACAGGTTCCCATTTCAAATGACTGGGTACCTAGCTTATTTCAGACAATTTCAATCAACTTGTATAATTCACGGATCTGCTCATAAATAACTAATGCATGAACAGAATTCTGATTTTAGTAATGATGCTGCTTGTCGTACTCCCGTTGTTCAAGATATCAGCAAAAATCTTGATTTTCTCACGACTGTGATTTCCGACTCCTCAACTTCAAGTAGCTAGGAACCAAACAGCTAGACCAAACTAATACTGCTTTCACATCTTTATAGGGCTTGAACATTTCTTTAACTCCTTATCTCCGGGAAGCCGCTCCCAGTGTCAGTGCACATTCCTTTACGATGACTTTGACATCAAATTACTTTTCGGCGCCTCTTTTACCGGGAGTTCATTCATAAGATGAAGAACTATCAAAATAGGTTCACTTGTTTTGATTTGATGACCCATTTAGTGACATTTTTGTCATTTTCAGATTTAGTACCAAAAAAGGCCCCAGCATAGTGGGTTTATCCCCCTCAGAGATAAAGAGTTAATTTGATCATTTGAAATGTCAAAAAACGACATGTGCTTCATTTTGTCCCATTGCGACATATGTTGACAGACCTTTACTCATAACTCATATCACTATTTTTAAAATGATTATTTTTAAGTAAGCCTGTATAAATTTATACTGAACTAAAAAGAAAAAAACCCTTAGAAATAAACAATGCCCATTCAATAAACAAAGGAACATATGTATAGTATAAAGTTACATAATTCTTTCACTTAACCGATACTTTTCAAAAACAAAATGTATAAAAAAATTGACACTTGAAGGACATGGATGAACCGTGAAAGTCAGCTTAGTCAGGTGATTTTTACAATTTTCAGCTATACCACAGAGTGTTTTTGACAAGAGAAAATTATTCCAAACAAATCTCTTGTCATTTCCTGCTTCCTGTAAAAGCATGCTTTCACAAATAAAATGATTTTCTGATCAAAGCCTTACAACAGGTAAACAAAACATGCTGACAATGTCATTAAACACAAGCTGAGTAATTCCAAAGGGTACTCAAGAGTCTAACGGGCCATAAAATTAAATCCTGTTGACAATGAATTAATCAAAATGCAATGACAATGATTATACTAGCACACTAAGAATCCGAAATAATTTCATAATGTTCACCTTCTGCTAGAATCCTGACTCCAATTCTAAGATGATATTGCACAGAAACATCCCTATTTACAAATAACGTTCCTTCCCCTGATCAAAACAATGCACATATCTGAAAATCTACGGGTATCACCTCCATAAATTACTGGTGCTGCATGTAATCTGAATATCTTAAAAAATCCAGACCCACACAAATGTATTTTACTTTACAATATTGGTCCACCAGGAATTTTGCTAGATTGCGTCCGCTTTAAAGTTACTATTACATCTGTAGAAAAAAGGAGTGTTTTCAAAGGACAAATATTTTCTCACTCTATATTGAGAGTTTTCTGCAAAACTGGCCAGGAATAAATCAATATATACAAATTATTGGCAATACTAACAATATTTAATATCGACTTATGACTTTCCCCAAATAAAAACAGTCAGTGACACACTGCATAACTTTACACACACTTTCATAACTCACCCTACACTCTGAGTGAGAGACTAGATCATCAAAATTTCACCGAGATCATAACATCGAAAGTCACAAATTAATAATACCAAACAGTGTAGGCACCATTTTCAAAGCATCATTTTGCACAATCAAGGAAGACGTAGTGGAGGTGAGAGTTTGAATTTCTTCTTCCAGCTTTACTTGAAACTCCTGAATTGAGAAAAGGAAGAATAAGTTATCGACACTTCGCAATGATAAAAAAAACATACTTTTATAATGTAAAACTTTGATCTGTGATTTTACAGACATAGTCTCTCTGTGACACATGAACCATATTCTGAGATGTTCAAGACAGAGATCTAAACAACAGTTTTTAAAATCAGGGAACAAGGCCCTGTCATCTTGACATACACAAGGAAAGAATGGCTCTTGTCGGAGTTACATTATGCTACTCTGCCATAAGCTGACAAAACGCCTTTTTTCCTTTTTGATACCAGATTTTTTTACTTGCTAAATCGAAAGCCTGATCATTTACCCTACTTATGAGAGAAAAATTAAAGTGAAACTGCGACTAGTTTTTGAATAAGTTAGAATTCAAATTTCCGAAGAACAATTTTTTATAATAGTTACGTTGACAAAAAGGAAAAAGCCTCTTTACCTCGAAACTGCTGTGAATTTTAAAAAAGGCGTTTTGTCAGCGTACGACAGTATTGTAGTTTAATGATATAAACTTCATAATATGCAAGGCAGATATCAGCACCCAGGAGAGCAATGTCAGGAGATCTAGACTGCCAACACTCTCTGGCATACCAACAGCAGTGCCGCATCACTGACAGGTTAGCCCTATTCATTCACCATATCAAAACTAAGAATTTTAAACAACCTCAGAGACGATAGAAAAAAAGAGACGAAAAGTACACAAAAACATACAAAAAGCAAATTTGAATCTCACTACTTACTTGTAAAGTTTGAATCTCTTTGCACATGGCAACATTATCTTGCAATGACTTGTTCAAACATTTTTTGAGCACTGAGATTTCTTGTTCCCTCTCTGAAAAAAAAAGTACAACAAGTAGCCATCAGTTCAGCTGTGGTCTATACAATACTCTACAAAGTGATACAAAATGGGAAAAAAGAAATCTACCAAGAAACAGAAAAAGGCATAAAAAAATGAAAAATATCATAAACTTTATGACTCTTTATCATCTAGAATTTGGAAAGATTTTCTGAGCATGTGAAAAGTAAACTGCTTAGAATTAGGAATTAGCTAACCCCTTTGTTGCCAGGGGGCTATGAACTCCTTCTGATAGCACTGATTTTCAGCTAAGCTCGTTAATCAGGACAGCAGTCTCACATCTCAGAGTTGTGAACTCGCTGTCTAGATTGAGCTCACTTGTGACATATATTTGGACGCCGGGTCTTTGATGGTATCACTTTCCTCATTCCTTATAATCCCCATAATTTTTTTAAACTTGCAAATCTAAGACATAAGGTGAAATTTGCTTCAATTTTTAACCATTTAGGTGTTTACTATTTGCCACAGCACAAGTTCGACCACAATAATACACCTGTGTTAATCACTCCCTTGCAAGCCTTGCAGTAAATTAATACTTGCAAATTTGCTACCGATGTGCACATTTTCTTATATTCGAATAAGACCCACAGTGCTTGTAGCTAAATCTTTGTAAGAGGAATTAGAACCTGATGATTAGTGGGATGTACATATAAAGTCAAACAGGCAACCAGGCACAGCAAAGTTTGCCAACTTCCATGACACCCATGGTATGGCACAAAGCTAAAAATTTCACATTTTCTTGTCGTACTAGATACATCATAAGGCAATGCAGGGGTTAAGAATTAGGCCTAACAAAAATATTTACATTTTTGTAACAGTGACTCCCCCGATTCCTTCCCACATTCACATAACCTTCTCCATGTGTGCAGCCCTCGAAATAAGGAAAAGATGAATGTTCAAATTTTGAGAGCACATTTTTAACATGTTAACATGTGTCTCCTCTTTTTTATCTTTTTTTTTTGTTGAGAATGGTCTATTGGGACCAGACTGTAATTCGAAAGAAAATGTATTCAAAGACACATGAATATAACTCTCAACCATAGGAATTAGCTCACCATAATTCTTCTGGATAAATTCCATCATGAAACCATGGATATCCACTGGTCCGGAGCTGGTACTTGCAAAGCTGCCGTCATTACTATTGCTGGTCTGTAGCGCAGGGTGGAACTCGTCCTGAGTCTCCTCGGACACGACCAGAGCCCCGTCCATCATGGCCTGTTCCTCTTGCTGCTGCCTCAGGATTTCTTTCTCAACAGCACCTGTTTGTGGAAGTTGAATAAATGAGCTTTCAAGGGTAAGTATTATAAAAGCAAATGAGACTTTGGCAGGGAATGAAACAAAACAGCAACACTGCAGGACATGGTGGCTGCATCATTGTAGCACACAGAGGCATGTTTGAGCAGACACAAGTCCTACGTCGACAAAGCAGTGAAGGGGTTTACAGAAAAAATGATGAATTAAAATATATCGAATTCTCTGCTCTTCAGAAGTTAAGTCAAGGACTTTTCTGTCAAAGCAAAAAAAAAAAGAAAATGTGTAAAGCAGTACCGTAAGGTGAATCAAAAGAAGAAGAGAAATGAACTAAGTACCCTATTTCTTGTTATAACTGATATGGTTAAATAATACAAAAGAATAGTATACCTGTTACTGCTTGCAGATGGGTCCTTCCATACATGTGTTCCCGTTTATTGTGCAAGGAACTGAAGTACACATCACAGACTTTACAATGAAGCTCATCCGAGTTATCCTTTGGACAAGACAAAAATTATTTCCATTAATAAATTCCTCAGAAATTTATTTTGCAAATACAGCTTTAAGATCTCCCTAAACTGAAAAACAAAAGAAAACATTAAAAAGTGAATTTTGTTCAAGTCCTCCCCTCTTCTCCTTTCATTATGGTTCCCTCTGAACTCCTTCATAGAAACAAAAGAATCACTCAGTACAGTTGCTGAAAGGGCACTAGTTACCACATGCTCATCATTTTATCACATAATACATCTTTCAAGTACACTGCTATATCTTAAGCTTTGTTTCCATTCTTTATTCTGTGTACAACCTCTTGTTATTCTTTGTACAACCTCATGTATCAGAAACTTGAAAAAAAACCGCATACCATGTCTATGTTCACTTTACCTTAAAAAAGATATGTGTCAAATGTTTCGTAACAATGCCTCTTTGCTGGACACTACTAGACAAAATAGGCAAAAAAGAAAACCAATCTTTTTCTTGCTGAAAAATGTACAAAAGGTTTTTTTAAAGTCAAAATTATAAAATTTACTCAAGGTCTGGCACAATAAATTACTCTTGTCAAAAAAGGTCTGTTTTGTAACTCCACCGAGCGGGCTCCAGTTGGGCAAAAACCCTCATTAATAAACTGTGCCGCATCTCTGCAGCACAAGAATCAATTCCATTAATCAATATTCATACTTTTGACCAGTTGACATAGTTATTTTCTACAGTGAAAACCATATATAACAGGCCCGGTAATAACAGGGATCCGGTAATAACAGGGATTTTTTAAATCCGATTTTTCCTACTCTTTGTCTCTATTAAAAGTTATCGGCAATAACAGGGCCTCATCAGAGCCCAACCGGTTATAGCAGGGACAAAGGCTCGTTAACAATGTGGAGAGAGAGAGAGAGAGAGAGAGAGAGAGAGAGAGAGAGAGAGAGAGAGAGAGAGAGAGAGAGAGAGAGAGAGTAAGGCAGTGATGGAGCAAGGCCATGCAAGCCATGCCACTGCAAGCACAGGCAGCGTGTGAAGCGAGAGAGGGCTGCGGTGTGCTGCAGACCTCGATCTAGCCCTATACCTAGCAACACAAACGAGTAATGTGTCTACTGCCACCAACGAGGTCAAGCGCAAGAGAAAATGCCTTTCAAATTGACAAAAAATACGAAGTAATCCAGGCTGTTGACAAAAAGCAAGCTCCACTGGCAAAGATTTGTCGTTAGTTCGACACTCCACAAGGGTCGATTGACACCGTTATCAAGGATAGAGAGAAGATAGTGGCAGCATACTCCAATGGAAAGTTTGCTCCGGATCGAAAGAAGATGAGACTACCCGATGCAAATGCTGTGGACCAAGCTCTTCTGAAGTGGTTTAAGGAGGCAAGGAGAAAGTTGGTGCCAAAACCCCTGTTCGTGGGTACTTGTGGCAAAGGAAACTACTACCCGTGAATAAGTACAGCTGGTTTAGTCCACAAATGCTTACTTTCCTTGCATTTCTGATTTAACAGGGATCGGATATAACAGGACATTTTCTCTACTCCCACCATCCCTGTTATATCAGGTTTCCACTGTATTTTGAAAGCAAACATTGTTGCAGTCAAAAGAAAACTAAGTAATGGTAGCGCTAATTTCTTTCATTCACCCTGTAAAACATAGTCAATGAGAGTAAAGCATTTTTCAGTGACTTTGTGATGCATGATATAATTTGAAAAGTTTCCTTTACACTATGCTTTTTTTTAACATACGCGTTTTTACGACCCAATCAAAACAATTTAGATCATTTAGGGGGTAGGCTCCCAACCTTGCGCGTCTGGGCCAACCCGGATTGAGAGGGATGCAACATCCCAGCAGACAGCCCAAGATACTCGATAAAGATTTTTCACTACTCAAGAATCTAACTTGGGTCTCCTGCTTGCAACAGCGGAGCCCCTGTTTGCTACACCAGACCTCCGTACACAGCGCTCAGTCAATAGAATAGCATGAATTCCTTCGCAAAAAAAAAACCCAGCTTAAGTCAACAAATTGTGATAAAACAGGTGTTTACCTCATCATCCACACATGATAAAATGTCAGCATTCTCTTGGTCACTTGGTACACTGCCTGTACACAAAAATGGAAGTAAGTTGTAGACAGGTTGGCAGACAAGACATCAAAAAGGTCTAAAACAAACTGAATATGACTCGGGGTGAGGGGGGGGGGGAATCAATACTTAAGGAATAGACAATTACATTTAGGCAAGAAAGAGAATTAGTCTCAGCTATGATCTTCTATGTCTAAAAAGATTAATATCTAAATTAGACATTTATTTTTAAAGCAAAACATAAACTTCTTAAACAGCAGTTATTCCGCTTATTGATTAACTAAATCTATGAAAAAGTTTGATGACTTACATACAAATCATCTACAAAAGAAATCTGAAGACTTTTAAGTGATTGTATAACTGACTGACATTTAGATGACAAAAAACGTTAGTTTTCATACTTTTCTTGAATATTTAGTTTTACCACTACAAACAAGCCCTCGATTTATCATAATAATTAAAAACACTTGACAATCGATAATACAACTCACCACCATTCTGCAGCAAGATCTTTTTACGTATTGTTTCTTGATAAGTGTCCGAAGACTTGAATGCCTTAAGTTCCTCTCTGTATCTTTTCTTGTCTGCCTCAGCAGCTGCCAGGTATTTCTGAACAGAAGCAAACATTTGTGTAATTTTAGATATTATCTCATCCTCTTAAAAACAGTAACACCTTTACACCAAAGGGAATCAAAATATCAGTATAAAAGTCACACGTAACTCACATTTGGTAAAATTACTCTGAAATTCAAATCAGGTATTTGACAATACAACAAAACTTTCCAGTCACTACATTTCTTTCAACACACAGCTCTTTACTGACTTCATTTTGTAAGTGTAAAAGCAAAAGTGTAAATTCTTAAACAATTTTTTTATTAATAATAATACCATGCATTTTTGGTCCATGGCACTCTAGAATATGTGTTGCTTACAAAACATGATCAAATATTACCTCCTTGACATCTGGTGCCAGAGAGCTCCATTCCTGCCCAAGTATCTTTGTCACCTCTGGAAAGCTGATTTCAGGATGATTTTCCTTGATTTCTCTCCGCCGATCCATGGCATACAACACATACCTACAAGCCGGAAAGTTGGTCAAAAACAGGGTCAGTTTTTGCTCTGTGTTAATTAAACACTTTTCAAATTCAAATAAAAAGCAGGGATTCAATGTAGCCAAATAGCAGAATATTCATTTCACATACATTTCTTTTTTTTTTACGGCGCTTGCAACTGCACAAGGTCATATGAGCGTGCGGGACACATCAAACATTTTCAGTAGGTAGGATGTTTTGAATTTTGCCCGAGTGGTGGCCAAAGCCTACTCTTTTCGATTTTGGACCACCAAGGGATCTTTAACGTGCGCAACTTGCACATGGGACCTCCGAGGTTTTTCTCCCTTGTCTAAGGAGGCTAGAGGCAGACCTTTCCTACCAGAAGATCAGGGGTGTGGCTGAAAGACAGCAGTAAGAAGGAGCCAAGGAGAACCGGTGGAAAGGCTGCAGAAAGAGTCAGAAGGCCAGAGGAGGGGCAAAGGAGGTGAGGGGGTGGGGGCAGAAAATGGAGAAGAAAGCAAACAACAGACCATTGCTTGAGAGCAGGAAAGGGGGTGAAAGGAGACAATTTAGAGAAGTAAAATTTCCGTCGCTATCTGGATTCGAACCCACGACCCATGTAATGAGAGGCGAACCTTAACCTCTAGGCCACATTTTTTAATTCAGAAAAGTCTTGTAAAGCTGTAAAACATACATTACCAGTAATTAAAGCTACAAGAGGGAGGGAGGGAGACAGACAGACAGACAGACAGACAGACAGACAGACAGACAGACAGACAGACAGACAGACAGACAGACAGACAGACAGACGGACAAATTGTTAAGGAAACAGACTAGGATATCATACATGTAACATTAACTGACAATTTATGGCACATCTCACTGAGCTCATGTGAAGAAAAAGGGTTTAGCCATCAGGAAGCCTCTTGGAGACTCACACATACTTGACTCACAGACGAACTTTAATTCATTTTTAAAACTAGTTTCAGATTATAGGGAGAGATACGCTCTATAGATACACTCATCCAAACAGAAAAAAAACCCACTTTCAGTTACGAAATAACGTGCAATCTGGACAGATATTTAATTTCCTTAAAGTTCAGTGTGTTCACCAATTTTTGTTTGCTCTCCTATTGCTGAACAAAGCTTCAAAATCTTTGACAAATTCAACCATGCCATCGTTGTTCTCAGCTACTAGAAAGAAAAGTAGATGAACTATAGCTGAACTGAAAATGTTCTACAGCAAGTAAGAGGAAATAATCAGGACAATTGCATTGCATCCCATTAATAAACAGACCAGTAAGGTAAACAAAAACACGACATACCCAGTGAGTGGGGCTCTGGGTCCCATAACAACAGGCTCTTTTTTCCGTTTTTTACCTTTTGGCCAGCCACCTTTTCGTTTCTGAAAGGAGGAAGGAGCAAAAAGTCAAAAAAATATAGATATAACAAAAGTAAACAACAACAAAAAGAACTATTGGAAGAGTTTATGATGTATTTGACAAATAAAAAGTTACACTGTAAGATGTCCTTGTAAGTTTAATCACTTAGAAGATTTATTTGTTTATTTTAAAAGACCATAAAAAACCACCTGAGGGACCCATACAAAGAAGTTTCAATAAAATGAATCCAATCCCGAAAAATAGAAACACCTCAACGACAGTAAGAATAAGGCCATATGTGGTCAGCCCTTTTATACCACAGTCAAAGCTGGATATCTACTAAAGACAGTGAAAATAGTTGGTGAAATTGGGTGCTTGTAAAAATAATGAAATCTAAGAAACAGGTCATTTCCTGCTACTAGAGGAATTTTTATCAATTTTTCTTTTTTTTTGTCTTAACACCTTTAATGTCCATCTAGAAACACATTTCTGTGTGGATTTTTTACTGAAAAATGTTGACCAAAAGCACACAAAATCTACATTTGCAGTTTCCAAGGACATTACAGCCTTGGAACTCACCAAACTTTGATGGCCATTTTCTCGCTAGTTAACTTCTGAAACCAGGCAAGCCCCATATCCTGCAATCACAAATATCTTCACTTCTATTCAAGATCAATGGTTATTTTTTTCATCGTAAGCCAGATAAATTTTTAAAATTTGAAACGATACCAATAACTCCATATGCCCAAAAATTGACAAGCCCCAGAATCCACCGCGACATGATACTAAAGGCAAGGCAACTAAAATGTGGTTGCTTTGGTGACTTTAGATATTCATGGAAGGAAAAGAAATCAAACAGGTGGTGCTGAAAAAAGCCAGAGAGGGACAGTCACTATTGATACTAATTACGAAGAGACAAATGCTGTTCTTCGGACACTTGACTTGACATAAAGGCCTTACATACTTTCCTCTTACATAAAAAATAGAAGTACTAGGTAGACCAAGAATAACTTGGATAATTTGAACAGAAGGATGACGAGTAAAGACCACGATAGTATTGTTGGTTTATTTTGGAGCATCCAAACAGAGGAATGAGAAGTGAATCATAAAAGCAGATGTCTGTTTCAGCACCCGAAGAAGGAGGAGGAGGAGGAGGAGGAGGAGGAGGCGGAGGAGGATGAGGATCATCTCCATCATATTTCAAATTCTTAACTTTATGAATAAAGTTACAATGTCAAAAAAGGGAAAAAGGAATCAGTCCTGTGGTTCTTGCCTCTGATCCATGGCTGCATTAAGCAAACACTAAAATGAAGAGAGAGTCGGTGAGCACAACTCCAGCAGCAAGTAGCTAGTACATTTTATGAGATGTGGCAGAGCATCTTTAGGTGAAAATAACATACTGTTGTGCAGACTTCTGTGGTTTCATCAGTCAGAGGCATCTGTGGATCTGCAATCACACTAGACATGTCGGTCTGTAGTTGTGTTCCAACATCTGCATCACTGTGGAGTCTTTCTTGAATCCCACTGCTGTCATCCTACAGTAAAATACAAATGTGCAATTTGATGCATTTTGTATCGTCTGCCTATTATGCATGTCCTGTCAATGTCCTTTGAAAGCTAATTTTGATTTTGTTATAAAAAAAAAATTTTTACTGTCCAAATTGAAGTGGACTGTTAAAAATTTTGAAAAAAGACCCATTTCCGCTGTACATAGTTGTTGTTATCGATTCAGTTCCACTATAGTCATACATCATGAACTGCAACTGTATTTCATAGTTTGCATGGTCCTTCAAATAATTTGAAAGAAACCCAATTTCAATGTTTAATTTGAAAAATCATAATGTCATAACTGAGGTCATTTCTCCTCACTATTTTTCTTTTAATGCATAGGCTTCTAACCTGTAAATGAGAAGTCAATCCAACAGAGTCATCCTGCAGTGCACCTTTCATGTCCATGTCATTGTAACCTGATGCAGTGTCCACATCAACAGTGCTATCACAAGCACTGAATAATGACACTGAAACAAGAGTGGAGAAAGATCAATGATTTCATTAGAATATCTAGGACCCAATGTATTATTTTTGTATGTGGTCTGCGGTATTGCATGTTCTAAACAACTTGTGCGTGTTTGTCACTTTCCTGTAGACAGCCACAACAACTGAAAGATGTTCAAATGAAGAAGACAGAAATAAATAGATGATCAGGAAATGTTTGCCACTCGACATCTAGTGTGGGAAAAAAAAGAGGACATGAAGGAAGAAAACAGGGCTCAAAACTATAAATATCTACTCCAGCACCGTTTTGTGATTGTATTTAAAATCCAGAACTACATATTGTGCACTTCAAAGCACATTTCATTTCATAAAACAAACGGACCTTGAACCATGCTGAAAAAGCAACTTCGAAGAGAAAGTACAGTCGAACCTGCCCCGACAGCCATCTCTATAAGACGGCCACCTGTACAAACGGCCACTTTCCATTTCCCCCCTAGCGTTTTTTCTATATAATTTAACTGTGTAAAATGGGCACCTGTCTAATGCGGCCGGGGCCACCATATTCTAACACACAACCCCTATAACACCAAACAATAACTCCTGTCTTAGATGGCCACCTTAGTGACTCCATTACGTTTTGTTATAAATTATGCGTTGGCCCCTGGCGTTGTTGGCGAGCTGTCACAATCCAATAACCTGTCGTTGTTGTTAGGTAGTCCCTCCAACTGATCATGTTGCGTAGGCCCCTCCCACTGTTGACCAATAGGTACCAATTTACAGGTTTGACTGTAGTTTTTCTTTTAAGATTGGTTACTGGAATGTTCTGAAAATGTAACATTTTCTGAAATGACATGACAACTAAACGATTACCAGATTCTAATATAATTACATTTGTATGTTTGCTTGGATTTGAACCAACCTTCTACACATGTTTGAGCCATCATGTATAAATTTATCTTATACCCCAAGGCAACGATGGTACAGAATTCATTCCGCTGCTGTAGGATCACACTCGCAAGGAGCTCTACTAGCAACTTAAAAAATACTCTAGCATCAAGTATAAATATTCCTCACCTGGTATACATGAAAGCAACTGCCGCGAATTTCCATCATGAGGGGAATTTTCGTCATTGTACGCTAAACTCCCAATATTATCAGACACTGTTAACATCAATCTGTTTATAAGAAATATATACATGAATAAAGAATATAGAACAAACATTAAAGTAGGGGGTGATTTTTAAAAAACTGTAAAACTTTTTTTCTAAATATCTCGCACAAAATTTGTATTACAATGGTGTAATTCGGAACAGATATAATTCATTCAAAAGGAATTTGTTTGACATAAAATTTACAAAGAATAAATTTATTTTCGAAAACTGAAATCAAAGAAAACTTTGACATCAAAGAATTCCTTAAGGACACTTTAACCCTGGAAGCGCGCAGGCCCTGTATAAAGGGCATGAGCCGGGCTACCCGGGAAGCGCACAGGCCCTATATATAGGGCTGACCTACTTCAATTGGGAAGCGCGCAGGCCCCTATATAAAGGGCACAGACGCTGACCTTTTTCAAAGGAAAATTTCAGTATTCCTTACATGGAAAATGACGTAGTAAATTACAGGCCAAAGTTATAAATAGTGGAGGGCATAGACGCTGACCTTTTTCAATGGAAAATTTCAGTATTCCTTATATGGAAAATGACGTAGTAAATTACAGGCCAAAGTTATAAATAGTGGAGAGTCTCTTGGCCGAGATATCGATCGATAAAGTGACGCGGTCCAGCTGAGGGACTACACGCTATGTGTTATCACTTGTTTCGCCATGCTGAAGTACTAATTGTTGAGTTTATCGTGTTTTGCGCTTTGTTTGTATTTATTTGATCGCTTATCATTTTAGAATGGCTCATTCTATCAGCTTTAAGAAAAGATATGGTTTTATATGCCTTTTATCATCTGTTGAGCCGTAAATGGTCATTTTTCAGTAGCAGATATACATCTCGGGTATCTCAGCTGATATCCCCCTGCCAAACCCCCATGTTTACAACTGATCGGCCATGGCGGCAGGGCATTTTTGGCGGGTTACTTCCAGTGAAACGCTGAGCACTTCTAGGGTGAACATTATTTCAGTACCTTGTGCGAAACTTACGAAATGAATTAATGGTGAGGAAATGTTCAATACAAAAAGCTCTCTGATCTTTACTGATCTTAACTGTGATCTCAGCAGGCAAAGGAAACAAGAAAAACTATCTGAAAACTTCTGTTCACCTGTTAGACAGCTGTAGTTTGCCATATGATGCAATCGTTGGGATTTTTAGAGGTAAGCCAAAAGCAAACTAGTATGTCAAGCTACAAAAATGGGGACATAGCTGAAAATGGGTTGTTTTTTAACGCGTTATGTAGAGCAAAATTATTCGTTGGATTTATCAAAAATGAATATAAGGCAAATTCCTTTAGACTTCCAAATGTTGTGTACAAATTTGAGATGCAAAACTTTAGTGTGGAGGAAAATTTATTTTTTTTTAAGTTGTACAGTGTTTCTTTGGATCACCCTGTATTTTTATGAACACAAAATAACAAGTTCTAGGAGGAACAAAATTTTGAGTTTCCAGTATGGATTAATTTTCACTGAGAAAACATGATGTTCTAGCAAAGTAAAAATTTGTATCAACAGTATCAGTAAAGAAAATGAGAACAGTTTCACTAACTTTTGAGCAACATTATGCTTGCCTAAACAAGCTCGAAGAGCAAGACATTCTGAAAAGAGTACTAAAATTTGCCAACCTAATGGAATGTACTGATCTTTAATAATAACAAAACATATTGTATTGACATCTTTTGAAACTTGTTGATTATGAAATAGTGACCCTCTGTCAAAGCTTTCTGGACACAAGGCAGCTAGGTCTAGAAGAAATACATTTTGCATTTCAGAATAGAAGTATGAAAGGATAGAAAGAGAGTGGAGAATGATGAGGCACACATTATTACCCTCTTGGTGTCTCCATAAGAATAGCATTCTCTGGAATGAAAGATGAATTCAGCGTTATCTCTCCATCCTTTCCAATGGCTGACGCAGTGATATCAGTAGTGAGAGCAGGCACAGCAATTACTGGCTGGCCACAATCCTCAGAGGGTAGGGTTCCTATGATGCCATCAGCAGCTCCATTTACACCATCAGCAGTCAGGACATGAAGTCCCACAACATCTGACGATTCCTCTTCATTGTGGTTCGTCAAAGACAGACCAGCTGAGGCCACGGTAAGCAAGTCATTGTCCATAATAATGCAGCGGTCCTGCAAATGTAAAGAATTATTTGAAAATTACTCTGAAAACAAATCAAAGGATTCATAGATTAAAAAGAAAGTTCACACAATTTTCACTCACAAAAGTAGGGAAAACATGTATTGAATATCAAAATTATAATTGGAGAATATTATTGTCTCTGCAATGAACAACGTTTTATAGCGACGTTTTCAGATGGATTGGAAAACCGCACACTCACAAATACCACCCAAGACTAGGACTTAAGGGGAGACGTACACTCCCGGAAAAATTTTCTAAATGAATGACTTTTATTCACTTTCGTGTAATTGTGCAAAAAGTTCATAGGTAAATAGGATGTACTAAGGGTGAATTTGTTGATTTTTTCTGAAAAATGGGTCTCTGTGGTAGCCATCTTGGATTTTCAAACCAGTTTCTTTGTTGTTTTTTTGTTGTTGTTTTTTGGTAAGTGTTTTACGGCGCTCGCAACTGCATAAGGTCATATGAGCGCGCAGGACACACCAAATACTTTTCGTTGGTAGGAAATTTTGAATTTTGCCCTGGTGGCGGCCGAAGCCTACTCTTATCGATTTTAGACCACCAAGGGATCTTTAACGAGCGCAACTTGCACACGGGTCCTCCGAGTTTTTCCGCCCTTGTCCAAGAAGACTAGGTGTAGATCTTTCCTACCAGAAGATCAGGGGTGTGGCAGAAAGACAGCTGTAAGAAGGAGTCAAGGAGTAGCAGTAGAAAGGCTGTGTCCTTAAAATGGCTGTATCTCACCCAATCAGGCCCTGCTGCACTATCCTTCGTTCCGCTTATTACCTGCTTCACTTCCTGTATTGTGGCACCCTCTCCATACAGCACCTCTAGCACAGCAGTTTTCATAATTGCCTGGATGTTAGCATTCTCTTCCTTGTTGCCTTGGTGAGTCTGCTTGACGTATCTCTCAAGAAAAGCTCAGCCTTTTGCTTCATCTGTCTCCAGTAGCCTATCGTTCTCATCTTTAACAGACAGAGCCAACATCAGTCTTTGTCTTTAATCCCTTCATTTTCTTGCACCATTTCCAGAACCTGTGAAGTGCGTTCTCTGATGACACGTCGGTCACATACTGCTCCCACCGTTCCCATTTGGCCTCATTTGCACTTTCCCTGAAAAGCTCCCGGTCTCTTTTCATCCGCTCTCTGGGAGTATTCTTCTCCTCGTCTGTTACCTTGTCTGACTTCCTCGCCCTATGTCATGCTCTTGTTTACCTTCTCTTCTGAAGCCGCAGCTCTTCAAGTACAGGATTCCAATAAGGCGGCTGAACAAAGTTGGATTTAGTTGCGCATGATGTCCAAGCCTTTCTCCTTATTTTTTGCAGCACAGTAGAGCCTCTAACTTTTCCATATCCGATTGTTTTTTTCATCTTGCATTTTTCATCCTTTCCCTTGTGGCAATTTATCTTTAGGCCCCGCGTCCACTGCGCTTTTTTGTCACTTGCAGGCCAAGCTCACAAGCAAATGAGCTTGTTTTTGTCAGTCACTGACTGCCTTTGCCTGACTACGCAATTTTCCTGCATGCACGCTTTTTCGTCAGTCGTACAGGGGACTAAGAATGCCTCGATTCGACTCATTTTGGAAGGAAATTTGCATCTGTAAGTACATTTTTGCTTCTTCATTGTACTTTACATGATCAATAAAGTTGTATCTCATGATAATATGTTGTACAATAGCAGATTTGTGCTGAAAAGCAGCCCAAAAAAATGAAATTAAAGCACTTGACCTAGATCTAGATCATTTCGTTCCCGGGAGAGCTAAAAATAGGCCAGGTTAGACCTAGCTAGGGACGTGTCTAGATCTAGATCTACGTTCTCTAATGTTTAGTGCTTCCAATTTTCTGCCAATTTTTAGTTTTCTCCACACATTATCTGCCGGTCCACTAGATCTAGGGCTAGAGTCCAGATCTACATCTCAATATATTATGTTGCTTTGCCTTTCCTGAAACAGTGCTGTATATGAAGCTTAATTTACCCTTCTCTGATGAAAGTTCTGATGGCCGAGTGAACAGCGTGTCTGCATTTGAAGGCAAACATTATTTTGTGAGCGTGGGTTCGAACCCCAGTCCCAGCTTTTTTATTTATTTTTTCTTCGTCTCATTGTCCCAACTTACCAACAATTTTTCCCGTAATTATAATTTATTGCTTTTTAGTTTTTTAAAGTGGTAAATAAATAAATAAATCGCTTGTGCTGTCTGTTGTTCTCGTAATCATAACACACTGGGCTAAAAATAGGTTTAGCTGGTCTGACGTCGGGGGATGCGGATCTTTTTGAGTCGCTTCTACACAATGCAAAAACTTCATACATTAGCCTGGCCTGGAAATGATCTTATTTTGGTGGACGCGTAGACTTATGGAACAAGGCAGATGATCGCTTCCATGGTCTGACAGAGTCTACCATTTTGCAAGGACCTCCGAACCTGCTGTAATCAATGCCAAATCTATGTCGGAATCATCCTCTCCATTGCGCTGTGCGATCCTTGTTGTTTGTGTTCTGTTGGGGATGGAAAAGCTGCTCCTTATCAACGCCTTCTCCAGCACCTTTCCTTGAATGTTATCTTGTACATTTCCCCATGTCACACTCCTGGCGTTGAAGTCCCCAACGATCATCACCCTTTCACTCCGTTGGCAGAGCTCCTCCAGGAAGTCCCAACCTTTCTCTATCTTGGCACTGTTATTGCCCACATAGATGTTGACAAGTGCCCATTTCCTTTTCATCACCTCACACTCCATAATTTGGACCTCCTTGTCCTCCCTGTTGAACTGCTTGGCATCAATCAGTCTGTGTGTAACATCCTGTTTGACTCATATTAGTTGTCCATGATGGGTCTCACTATATATATATACATCCAAAATTGCCAGGATCTGTGTAAGTGGAGCAGGAAGAATCGTAACCTTTGCAGATGATGTGATGGTCTACGGATAAGGTCGTGATAGGCTAGCGGTCAGGCGGATGCTACAGGACGGGCTGAGCAAGGTCGCAGATTGGTGTGAGGAATACAATGTGGCCATCAATCCAGACAAAGCACCAGTCATCTGGTGCTCACTCAACAACCGTATTGTGAAAGATCCTACCCCTCCAATTGTGTTTGACCACTTTCTCATAGACAGAGAGCATGAGTTGAAGTACCTGGGAATCACTCTGGACAGGACACTTTCTTTCCCAAAACATATTGACAATATTGCTGTCAGGGCTCAGAGTGGCATTAATGTAGTGAAGACCTTGGTTTCAGTGGGAATTCAATAGAGAGTTCTTTTTCTCCTAATGAAGCTGGTTGTTTTGTCAGTTATAGACTATGGCCTGGGCATCCTCTCCCTGTCCAAGACTCAGATAGACAGGTTGGAGAGAGTACAGAATGCAGCTATGAGGGCAGACTTGGGTTGCACAAAGGACACCCATGTTGTCAGTTTGAGATACATCCTAGACCTGGCCAGCATCAGAGTGAGGCATAAAACGTTGCACAGGCAAAGTTGTACTTGAATGTTTTGGGAGACCTGAGGCACCTTTTGCATGATAACCTAAGCAGCATCAAAGGAAATAGGATCAAACGGGGCAGCTCATGAATGGCAAAAGCTGAAGACTCTTTGAGGAAAGTTTGTGGCATCGATGAAATATGCAGTGGAAAGGACTGGTTTGAACTGAGTCCCGATTGCAGAGAAGCCTGGCCAACGTTCACATCACTATGGGTCGTGAAAGATGGGAATGTGCTGCTGTCATGAACGACAATGACATAGGACAGTTAATTGAGGAGCACTTTAAGCCAGAGGACCCAGTGATATCTACATGGATGGGTCAGTCAGGAGGGGTGAGAGGAGTGGCTGGGGTTTTGTGGTGTACAGAGGGAACAAACGGGTTCATAGCATGTCAGGGGCCGTAGAAAGAACAACTTCAAGCATGAAAATGGAGATTGAGACCGTAACAAGAGCGCTTGGCTGGCTTCAAAATACAAGACCAAGATCTACCCATCTCATTATTGTCACTGACTCCAAGAGCATCTTGTGAAGTGTTGAGAAAGGGCTGCTCTTCGAAGTGAATGGATGAACCCAGTTCAACACTCATCACTTAGAGCCATCACATGGATATTCTGTTCTGGGCACTCTGGAGTGAAGGGCAATGAGGAGGCTGATAGGGTGGCAGGCAGTGCCATGGTTGATGGTAAGGTGAAATTTGACAAAGGAGAAGCGTTGAAGACCCTGGAGGAAAAGTTGCGGGATGAAGAAGACAGGGAGACAGCAGAACACCATGCAATCACCAGGATACAGGAAATGGAGACGGAGAGGGAAGAAGGAAGAAAGGAACAATTATCTGGAAAGGAAAGACGTCGCCATAATCAAACAGCCATTGGAACAACTAGTATGGATACCTTGCAGACTTTGGTGCTGAGAGGAATTGAGCCCTTTTGGACCAGTCCGGTGTGCAATGACGTTGTTGCCAAGGACAGGTAAAACAGGTAAAACATGAAGCTACAACAGGTACCTAGCACACCTCTGTGATTGGCCCAAATATCATCATCATCATCCAGTGCCAGATCTGCGACAGACATCGGCGATCATGGTTCTTCATTCATTCCTGTTACCCATTTGTTTAGGTTCCCTAAGTAGATTGTTCTGGGCCTACCTCTCCCTCGTTTGCCTTCAATTTTGTCAGTGAGAGCTAGATGTTCAAGACCCTTATTCAGGTGTCCCAAAAAACTGCATTTGTCGTTTCCTAATTGTTTTTTAAAACTGAGCGTCTCACGTGGGCTTCATAAAGCACTACCTCATTTGATTTTTTTTTCTTCCACGATACTCTTGGCAGTCTCCTAAGAAACCACATTTTTATTGCTTCTATTTTATTTTCACTGTCTTTAGTGATTGTCTTGCATTCACAGCCATAGAAAGGTTGACCATTCAGAACTTTCATTTTGGTGGTCATTGAGATGTTTCTATTTTTCAGGATTGGCCTCATTTTATTGAAACTAGCCTTAGTCATTGTAATTCTCCATTTTATTTCTGTGGAACATTTGGCATTAGATGTTATCGTATTTATCCTAGATATTTAAACTGTTGAACTTGTTTGATTTTTTCGCTTTTGCTAATGAGATTGCAACTAGGATTTGCTGCTTTTTGGGATATTACCATTCATTCTGTTTTCTTTACATTCAACAATAATCCTTTACGTTCACTTTCTGTTACAACATTATCTAGAAGCAATTGAAGAGCCTGCTATTAAAACTGTGTCATCTGCGTACCTGATGTTATTAATATTTTTTCGATTTACTTTAAGACCAGGACATTCTTCTATGTTTCTAAGGATTGTTTCACTGTACATGTTAAGAGGTCTGGTGACATTATAACACATCCTTGCTTCACTCCTCGCCTAATCTGCTTATATTCACTGTATTCTCCATTAATTGGTTCAGCAGCATTTTGGTCCCAGTACAATTTCTGATAATTCTTAGATCTGTTCATTCTATGTCTAGCTTTTCCAGTAATTTAAATAGCTCATCATGTCTAACTTAATCAAACGCCTTTGAATAATCTATGAAGCATAAATACAGATCTTTCTGTGCTTCGATACATCTTTCCATTAACATTGTTAAGATGAATATAGCATTTCTGGTGCCTTTGTCAGGAACAAAGCCAAATTGCGTTTTATATCTCTGATCTTACACTTTTTCCCATTCTTCCCATTATTATTACTCGCAGCAATAGTTTTGTAAAATGACTCATTATAAGGCTAATTGTTCTATGCATATATTCACACTCAGTGGCACCTGGTGTTTTATGTAAAGTTTCTTTTAGTCAGAACACAACGTTTTATGTTCCTTGTGTAGGTTGTACTGTATCGTAAAGCGCTCAGAGCCTGTGTGCTTTAATCGGGGTTGAGTGCTATATGTCATTTATTATTATTAAAGCTATAAAAACTGACTTCATCATATATCTTCTGGGATCTCATTGCTGTCATAAATAGCATTTAGGAACTTTGTTGTTGTTTCAGTTCCTAGTTCTCCAAGCGCGACATTCACTTCAACTGGAATATTATCAGGCCTTGCGGCTTTTCCTTGTTTCATTTTCCTAATGGCAGCTTGTACTTCTGCTTTCAGTATTGGTGGTCCATTTATTTCATATATAGATGATGTATTTCCGCCATCTATTTATGTCGTCTTCCGGTGTTTCCTCCCAAAATTCTCTTGGGTTTCCCTCGCCAGTAACTGTTGATTAAAATTTGCCGCGTTTGGTTTTTTGGGTATTAATTTGTGTTATCTTTTATAAACAATCTCAGCAATTCTCGTTCCGTAAATTTACCTCCTTCTCAAAGTTGTACACACAAACACACAAAGCGCGTGTGCTCACACACACACAAACAGCCCAAGCAGTCGGCGATGAAACCTAGTAACACAGCCCATCGCGCCCTTAGCGGGAAAAAGCGGGCCCGCCAAGGTGAGATCTAGTCAACTGGCGAGGGAAGCCTTGGAAGATGATAAAAATAGAAGGCAGACATACGTTCACCTATATTTGGGACAACCACAGAGGTGCGCTAGGTGCTCACCGTAGCTTTATGTGTGGTTAGCCACTTGGCTGACAAGTGGTTTGGCCCAAAATTTGGGGGTGCAAGCTAACCCAGTTGTTGAGAGAGAGAGAGAGAGAGAGAGAGAGAGAGGGGAGGAGAGAGAGGGGTGACTGCTCGGTTGAAATAATTATGACATTGTTCTTTTCTTCCAATTGTCTTATTCATTCCTCCAACTCCAAAACAGAGGAAAACGAGCGTTCATCGAAGACATCCCCAATCTTCATTTAGATCTAGATCTAGATCTAGATCTAGGCCTCGAAACTAGATCTTATATGAGCAATTGCCAAAACGTGAGACTCTCTTGAGACTCAGTGGTGCAAAAAAAATTTTCTTACCAATTTGACTCTCTTTTCTGTCAGTCACAGATTGACATTTAGTGCTCATATTCCTAGAGTATCAGAGCAAGGAGACGTACGGTTTTGGAGATATGGGTCTATTGGTTTGGCAACTACTGTATTTCTTGTATGTTACAGTGATGACAAAAACAGATACGCAGCAAGGCAAATAATGGACTTTAAATTCCATTTGTTTAGTAAACAAAGACTTCGTACACTATGAACTCCATTCATAATGGTAATATGAATGACAAGCTTTGTAACAATGACGCAGTGCACAGAACATGTCATCATTGTTATGTACAAGAAAGGATACACATTAGACATTATCATTAACAACACATCACAATAGTGAAAGGCTGTACAAATACAGTTATCAAAGCCTCAGTACCAGAAAAACACATGTGTAAAACAATTTTTAAACTAATATGAGGCAAAAGCACAAAATCAATTGAGCTGACCTGTACATAACAGTGATGACAAACATGACTTGTACATATAACAATGATGACACAATGTACAGGAAAAGACAAAAGTCTTGTCTCCAGAGAAAAAAGCGCACTTTAAGAATAAAAAAACCCAGGAGAGGTTTCTTTTGCTTTGAAACAGATACCAGGTCATATCAAAGACAGTAGACAATCACAATTACGTTGCTACTTATGACAAAGAGTACTCGTACATAACAGTGATGACAAAACATACTGGGAAAAGGTAAAATCATGCCTACAAAGAACAAATTTGCACTCTATGAGATACACAGATCAATAAAGGCGTATTTTGTTTCTAAATGAATCTTGCATGTATGAAATATATGTTGAAAACTTAGTGATATTAGCAATTATACAAAATATTACTTGTACATAACAATGATGACACAATGACACAATGTATTGGAAAAAGGCATATCATGCCAACAAAGAACAAATGTGTATTTTTGAGTTAGACAGATAAACAAGGACATTTCATGTTTGTCTATTTGTTTGAGTAAAAAGAGCACACATGACTTAAATAATGTTTGCTCTTAGGACAAAGTAATTTCTAGTACGTCGGTCAGTCTTGTACGGCTGCATGACGACACCCCAAACGTCATCACTAAGCACAAAAGCTAAATCTATAACCACAGAAATGATCCATCTCTCGAAGTTTGTTCACACATCACACTCTTGTTCCAGGAATCCAATGTAAACACCACAATTTCACTAAAATATTCAATAGGGTAGCCTAAAAACACGCAAAACAGTCCAGTACGTCACATTCAACGCAAGATTCTTGTGCGTAACCGGAGGGTGACGGCAATGACTACTTTCGTTTTTCTCTTTACCCCGTTGCTCCAGCTGTTCTGGGGAAGCGGGTAAGGGGAAGTCACTCAAGAAAACAATTATATCCGGGCACTGTTGATGATCCGTTCAAAACAAAAGTATGCTAAAATTCGGACTTCCGTTACGTCGCAAAGTGACGCCATTAACAGCGAATGTTAAACAGCCGACCGAAATCGTAGATCTAGGAACCCGATGTTCCTTTCACGCATCGCGGCTTTTGAACTATTGAATAAACGACGAAAAGCAAAAAGATTTAACCAGCTGTGGTGATTCTACTGAAAAATAATGGTGTTTTCTGAAACACCTAGTCCGTGACGACACCCCTGACGCACAAGTGATCCGAATTATTCGTTTATTTGCAAACAAATAAACCGATTTCTTCAGCAAGTGTACCTTTCTCGATCACAAATAGCATAGAATCAAAGCACAGGTTAAAAAAAAACACCCAAAAATACTAAATTTTTGACGTTCTTGGAAGTTTGCATTGGTGTGCTCAAAATGACACTCGAGGAATCACTAAAAAACGAACATTTTGGGCACAAAATTTACAAACTCAAGATTATAAAGCTGACATAGGGTCTGAAACTGATAATGCAGTTTCTACATCCTATATTTGACATGTGTATAAGTTTTGGAGGAATAAATACTATTGCATCACATTTTATGCACACTATTGTGAGATGTGTGTGTTTTTCCCCACGTTTTGGCAATATGGCTCATATAATATACTAGACTATAGATGATTTCTGTCTGTCTAGATCTAGGCCAAGGCCATAGATCTAGAATAACCTAAGTCTACTCTGAGCCAAGAGAGGGCGCTGAAACTTTCCGAAATCACAAAAGATTTCCCCTACCGGGTCTGTATAGATCTAAATCTAGATCTACTTCATCGTGACTTTGTTCCCGGTTACCGGGTCTGTTTTCACTCCCAATTCCCAAACCCCCAAAATCACACTAGATCTATAGTCTATACAATCTTAACATATGCTTACAAAGCTGATGAAAAACATTTTGCCTGAACACTGAAATCTACATTTCATGCTTAGCAACAAACGCTATCCTGGCATGATCTGTTCGTTATTTTATGTACACTACACTGCCGACACTGCATTTGGGCTTGGCTGCATACCTGACTCATGTGAATGAGAACTTGCTGCAAGGTCCAGTTTCAAGAAGAGATAACAAAAGCAAATTTTCCTATAGTAAAAAACGGGAGCCAGACTGTGTCTTCATGGAGTGCAGAGCATCATGCTTCAAATCCAGGACTGTGACAACAAAAGTAAAAAGAGATTTTGTGTACAGATTAGGAGGCCGACGCCCATGTCAAGAATACTTCCTGCCCTTTTTCTTTCATTGTTGATAGTTGATAATCGCATTCTTTTCGAACTCTTCCACGAAAAGATCAAAACTTTTCGCTTCGGCTTCGCAGTTTTCGCTCAAATATTAATTTTAAGCGTAAACATTAGATCAACATCGTCGAATTTTTTATATTTCAACAAAATGCTTTTTTTTACATTTATCGTATTTGTCACTTTGTGAGGGCAGTAATTGTGGTAGCTGTGATAGTATTTGGGATGAGGTGATAGTAATATAAGATTATGTGTATGTGTGTGTGTGTGTATGTGTGTGTGTGTGTGTGTGTGTGTGTGTGTGTGTGTGTGTGTGTGCGCGTGCGTGTGTAAAAAGAGTTCTATATTAGGCAAAAAAACTTTGGTTAGAAAGAGAAGATCACAGAATTCTACACTAAGTGTAGAATTCTGTGGAGGAGATGCAGTTTTCTATGGTAGGCCAACTGCGCAACTCTGTCAGTTTAGATGTGTAGTTTCTCTGGATTCTCTTGACTCCCCCATTCATTCTTAGCCTGACAGACCTCTTCCTCTACTATTATATCATTTGTATTTTAATGCAATAGCGCATTTCCAATGCTGCAGATGCCTCAAAAGAATACAAGAGTAAAAGTGATAAAGCACCTGCATGAGTGGATTTGTCTGTACCAAAGACTTATTTGTAAGATTATTATAGTCTCCTTGGTCTAGACAGACACATCAATAATAAGAATAGTTGGTTGAATTTTAAAAAATTAATATAATGGATGAAAAAAAAGTGTCAAAACAATTAACAAAATTAGTAAAAACCAACAAACAATTGGTTAAATGAACCAATGAATAGAACTTTGTTTGTTTGGGGTTTTTTGTTATCGTTTTTGTTTGTTTGTTGTTGTTTTTTTAAGTATGAGGCATTTCGCATCAATAAATTATATCAAAGTGAAGTATCGTTCTGTCGTCGTAATAGTTGTAACAAAGATAGTATCTTTGGTTGTAATTAGTAGGGTCAACTTTCCAGGCTATTCCAGAGTGATTTAAATCTAGATATATAGTACTGAACAAAAATTTGATATCTTGTTTTCTTTGGTTAAAATATATTTTGAAAATTATAAAAGACACATTAGTATTAGGGTTGAAAGAAAACGTAGCAAACAAAAAGTTTAGACTAAAATGACCGACCTAACCTAGCAAGGCTAGCTTCTTCTGGTCTTTGGCTTTTCTAAAAAATCCGGTTTGTTTTGTAAGTCCAAGACAGTCCAACTTTTGAGATCACAAATTTAGCCAAGTTTTCAACGAAGGAAGTGGGGAAGAAGTAGAAGAGAAATGAAACACTGAAAGACTTTGAGGAAAGCATAACAATGACAATCAGCAGCATGGGTTCAATGTGAAGCAAATATTGGCTTTCCAGACGGAAGCCTTAAAGTGCTTTTTAGACTCAAGTGCATGAAACTCACATAGAGTAGAAGAGCGAATGTAATGTAAAGGCGTAGATTTGTCGATTTATTGAGAAGCTGCGATTTCCTTAGCTGGCCAGAAATTTCAGTCAACAAGGGTTAGCTCCCTTCCAATTTTACTTCGCGATTCTTTGGTCCACTGCTTCTTAGGCCTATGTGAGGTGAACATTGAGAGTGATCAAGAAGACAGCGTTTTAATTTGTGTCAAGGTATTTGTCTTTTATATGGTTTCAGCCATATATACTTTAATATGTGTACTTTTACAGAGGTTTTGCAGATGCTAGATCTAGTTATTGAAAATATCTATCTATTGAGTATTGTCTAGATCTACCACCACACCACAGTGGACCACACTTCTAGAAGTCACAACACTACACAGCAGTAGCAGTAAAGTAACACACACAGTTTTAAACAGTGTGACTGAGAGAGAAGTGCACTTCAGACAGTTCTGGAGTAGATCTAGTGGGTTTCTGATGATTGACATCTTTTACATGAATTTGACTTTTATTTGTGACAATTTTTATACAAAATTGGATTGCAAAGAGAGGTTTGTTGGCAATTTTGGGCGTCATATTATATGTGGACCTACTCACTAAAACTAAACGAAGTGGCTAAGCCGTACTTAAATAGGTTTGGCCCTATCGACTCAAGCCTGTTTAGTACAGTTCTCGCAAGATCTACTCCTCCCCTCTTCTCTCTCTCTGTCTCTTTCTGAATACTGTCTATCGGTGTGGACGATCAAATTGACCAAAACAAAGTTAAAAAATGATGTTAAGACACAAAAGTAAATTAATTTGGTTGTCTACAAAGATGCTACAACGGCTATTTAACTTTTCGAATCGAGCCGAACTACGCGGGTCGCCATTTTGTTTTGTTCTCTCTCTTTCTCTCTCTCACTCTCTCTCTCTCCACTGCCCACACAGACAAAATTGTACGCTTTTAGTAGGCTACAAGTACAGTTGTAATGGAACGTTTGTTCACAGCACAGATTTCTACAATTTTTCTGTTATCACAGTGTAGAATTCTGTCGTTTAGGGTGAACGCAAAATTTGTTGGCCTAGATCTAGGCTATAAAGATGAACGCGCACCGGTTGAGAATAGCCAAAAGACTCGCCTGCACTATACTCACCCCGGGTGAGAATAGAGGTGGCCTTAGTACACAAGTCTCATTAGATCTAGATCTAGTACTTATTGAAAACTTATTCAATTCAGGTTCAAATCATGCAAGTCAGTAAGGCACCTTTTGGTTTTGTCTGAAATACAAATACTTTAGGCATTGCAAACTAAAAATTTCATTTACTATTCAGCCATCAATATTAAGTACGGCTAGCCTGACAGTCTAGCCGTCCTTAAGTACGGCTAGCCTGGCTGTCTACACGTACTAAGTACGGCTAGACTGCCAGTCTAGCCGTACTTAACTTAGGCCCTATTAACATTAGAAAACAGGAGGTTTAAAATATATGCACTGTCATTAAGGTACCTGGTTTCGTCTCAAATGCAAATACCTTAGGTACTGCACACTAAAAACGTATATTTACAATTCAGTAGGCCTATTTTTTGTAAATGGTCAGTCTAGCCATCATATCAAGAATAAGTACGGCTAGACTGCCAGTCTAGCCGTACTTAAGTACGGCTAGCCTCTTCCAAAACTAAATTTCATTTTGACTCTGCATCTCCAGGAGAGCTCTTTCAGAGTCCCCCATATAAAATATAATAAATCCTGATTTTAATTATATTTAATAATCAAGAATATGTTTCATTTAAAAGTACTGTGCATATTGTATCCATGATGCCCTCCACCTCCAGCCTACAGCCCAATAATATGTGCTTTACAGCTAGCTATTGAATCTATTGTTATTAGGGAGTATAGACCCGGTAACCGGGAACAAAATCACAAAGTATACAGACCCGGTAGAGGAACTCTTTTGTGATTTAGGAAAGTTTCAGCGCCCTCTTGGCTCAGGGAAGACACCTAGCCTAGGTTCTTCTAGATCTATGGCCTAGGTCTAGATCTAGACAGACAGACATTTAAATCATTGATCTAGTTTCGAGGTTAGTGTAGAGCTAGATCTAAATGAAGATTGCGGATTTCTCTTCGATGAACGATCGTTTTTCCTCCGTTTTTGGAGTTGGAGGAAACACAATTTGCAGAAAAGAACAATCAGTGTCATAATTTCAATTGAGCAGTCACCCCCCCCCCTCCTCTCTCTCTCTCTCTCTCTCTCTCTCTCTCTCTCTCTCTCTCTCTCTCTCTCTCTCTCCTCTCTCTCTGTGTCGATCGCATTCTCTTTTTCTTTGTTTGTCTCTGTCTTTCTTTCTCCCCACCTATTTCCCACTCTATCTTTCTCTCGTTCCCTCCTGTCAACAGGGGCATGTCATATATATATATATACATTTTGCTAGCACTTCCCCCTGCTCTCTCTCTCTCTCTCTCTCATCTCTCTCTCTCTCTCTCTCTCTCTCTCTTTCTCTCTCTCTCTCTCTCCCTCTCTCTCTCTCTCTCTCTCTCTCTCTCTCACTCACACACACACACACGCTGAAACTTTCCGACATCACAAAAAAGTTCCCCTACCGGGTCTGTATACTTCGTGACTTTGTTCCCGGTTACCGGGTCTGTATACACCCCAGGCCCCAGGAGAGCCTTGATCTCTTAGAAGCATTGTCAGCTTCCTGGAAAGCATACACACAGTGCAAGCTCCGAATGACATGTGTGTGTTAAAAACTGGAACAGACTAGATCTTTCACTGTTTATAACCAGGTGCCCATTTCCACGTGGGTGAAGTGAGGAAAATTTGTTCAAAGCACCTTTCCCAAGAACATGTCAAAATGTTGGGCCCCTGGCTGTGTTAGGATTCAAACTCATGACCTTACTTACTACCTTACAGTTTCGAATCCGAGAGCCTAACGACTTCAACTTGTCATCACTTGACCACCGACGCCATGTAGTACCGCCTAATGATTCTATAGCAGACTCATTATTCCCAAAATGATAATTCAAAATGTATTCTTGAATTGTAGACCCTAAGTATTTATGTTGTGTGATTCATAAAATGAATAAAAACACATCAAATTACCGGGCCCTGTGACCTTTGAAGATCACATGAGACTGACTTGTAAACTCTGTTAATGTGACACGCACCTCTTGGCTTTGTTTATTTGAATGTGGCCGGTCGGAGGCGTCATTCTAAATAGTATTTACGGTCCTCTCTTAATAATGTTAGATTTTGTCAGGGTGAACTTCTTATCGGAGGATATTTCTAGACCTTTGTTGTTTTGGGGGGGGGTTCCTTCTTTGGTCATGGCATGTTGATTTGTGACTTTTTTTTCACGTATTAATACAGACTATTCGCACTCGAGTCTGATTAAACAAAATTATATTCTGACTCTGAATTTGACTAATTTGAGTCCCGCGTGACGTCACTTCCGACCCTTGTTTCTCCTAAATATTTCCAGTATTTATGAAACTTTTTTCGATATTTATTATAATGATAACAATCGAGACATGAGCTTTAGATCTAATATCCAGTTACTAAATCTATCTAAACTGGCCCTCCCTGCATCATTAGTATGAACAGAACCACCAGGTTGAGTATTGACCTTGCCGGGGGGGGGGCAAAGTTAATTATGTCGACCAATGAGATTAAGCATAGTGATCACGCACTCTCAGCTTGCTGGGGGAAGAGGTGTTAGGAAGAGGCCACGGCTGTCGATTTTGTGCGATGTGAATTTTTTTTTTAAATCACCCAAAAATAGTAACAAAATATAACATGTGGAAAAACGAACGGTGGTAGAAGTAATCATGATGCTGCTGACTGGTAGTGGTGCCTGGGGCCAGTTACAGTGTATGTAGACCCTGAGTTGTTGGTTACCGTGTACATAGACACTGCCATTGGGCAATGAGAGTGCAGCCTTTTGACTTTTGACACAGACACAGTACAGTCCTAGTTGGTATTTCTAGTTCTAATTCTGGTTTTACGTAAAATCCCCCGACTACAGTACGTAGTCTAAACAGCCGTATGCACTGCTCACCGTCGAACGCTCCGTATCCCGGACTCTAGCATGGAGATCATCAGGAGAGAATGTGTCGCTGTTTCGGGCTCTTCCTCTCTACAGCTTTTCTGACGCACCGAGCCCCCTCACCGATGTGAGGTCTCCATGTTAGTTCGACTGTTTTCCTCTGCTGCCAACTTTAGGATTCATTCCAGCTTGAGTCCTCTCGCTTCAACCAGATCCAATGACTGGCTTTCTCTGCTGTCTCCTGAAGGGAGTTTGTGAGTTCGTTGCTTTTCTTTGCAGTAAGTCCTGCCACTCTCATCCACTTACGGGCGCTTGTTGCTACAAAACCTCTGCATCCTACCTCTACCGGAAAATGGGTTGCCTTCCATCCTGCCTCCTCACATTGTTCGACGAGTGCCTCGTAACGGTTTTCTTTCCGCTCATGAGCGGCATAGATATTGTCCTCGTGGGGCACCGTGAGCTCTACCAAGTGTACCTCTTTGTCTTTTTCCTCCCATAACACAATGTCTGGCTTTTTCGTAGTTGGAATGGGGAAGAATCTCTCAAAGCCTTTTAAGTCAGCAGCTACTTCCCATGTGCCTCCGCTCTGGTCTTTCATGGCTTCGTTCGCTTTCTTTCTTTTGGCAACCTTGCTTCCTTGCGGAACGAACGCAATCTTGGTGGGTCCATGCTTCTGTATCTTGGGGGCATATTTTCCTTCTTCCACCTGTTGTGTCGCCATTTTCGTGAGCACTTTCAACACCTCGTTGTGCCTCCAGGTGTATCTGTTAAGAGCTAGGTTGCAGTTTGACAAAATATGCTTCATGGTTCCTAGCTTACCGCATCTACACTTGTTGTCCTCCTGTACCTTCCATCTGACAAGGTTCACCGGTGAAGGCAGAACATCATACGTAGACCGGAGAAGAAAGCTCAGCCTTGATGTATTCCACTTCCAGATGTCACTCCACCCGACTTTTCTTTCCACTACATGCTCTTCCCATCTGGTCATTTGTCCTTGCTGGCTACACTGGATGAGATGAATTTCTCGCCTCTCTGCCTCCATCTTTTGCATATGTCTTGTTGCAGCTTTTCTTCTGTCTCGCTGAGACATTTTCCTGAAAGGTCTAAAGTGGCCATTACCTAGCCCTAATCTGTCAGGTTGCGCTGGACCGACAATGTCCCCATGCTCCAATGCAGAGATGATCTCGTTAGCTGCAACTTCTGCCTTCCACTTTCTGGCTGTTTTGACATCTGGAGGTTTTCCACTGATCTCCTTATCCCTTGATTCTCTCAACATCAAAACGGTTCTAATCTTGCCTGCTTTGTAGATCTCCACGATTGACGTGAGAGGTAGTTGAAGCGCACCTCTATGTCTGTACAGGGATGATGTGTTAATGGTACGGGGTAGCCCCAGCCACTTCCTGATGTAGCTGTTACACTTTCTTTCGATCATCTCAACTCTTGACAAAGCAACTTCATACATTGTCAGTGGCCACGCCAATCGAGGGTAGAGGGCAAACTGTAGACACCATATCTTGTGCTTTCCTGGAAGCTTTGTCTGGTCAATTGCTTTCAGCCCATTTTCAGCCTGCATCATGATTTCCACGCCTTGACTCCTATCAGACAGAGTTCCTGAGTACCACCGACCCAAACTTTTCACGGGTTGTTCTTTTACTGTGGGCATTTGCTCCCCTGCAATTGTGAACTTCAGTTGCTTCTGTTTTCCTTTGTTAATAGTCAGGCTTCTAGACTTTTTAGCTTTAAACTTCATCCTGGCCCAGGTGATAAGCTTATCAAGCCGATTCAACACACTTTGCATTGTGTCTCCATCTCTTGTCAGTAGGGTCACATCATCCATAAAGGCTTTCTTTGGTGATCTCACCTTTGCTTCTTCTTCACAGCATTCTGCAGATCTCAGTAGCATCTCCATTACCAGGATGAACCAGATGACCGATATAGAGCAGCCAGCTGCAATCCCAATCTCTAGTCGGTGCCATTCCGTTGTGAAATTTGCGGTTGAGAATCGCATCTGGAAGTTACTATAGTATTCTCTCATAATGTTTTGCACCTCTTGTGGGACGTAGAAAAAATCCATTGCCTTCATCAGCAATTTATGGGGAACAGACCCGTAGGCATTCGCCAGATCCAACCACACTACGTTTAAACTTTCCTTGTTTTTCTTGGCCTCTTGGATTGTGTCCCAAATGGTGAAAGCATGCTCGATGCAGCCTGGGATCCCTGGTACCCCGGCTTTCTGTACCGTTTCATCCACATAGCCGTTACTTTGCAAATATGCTACAGTCCTCTTTGCAAGTATTCCCATAAAGATCTTGCACGTCACGTTGATGATTGAAATAGGTCTGAACTGTCCTATCTCCTTTGCATTCTGTTCTTTGGGTAGATACACGCCCTCCGCTCTGCACCAATCTTTGACGATTTCTTTGTCTTTCCAAAGGCCTCTTAGCATCTCAAAGAGGGTGTGTCTCAGCGTGTCGCAATACTTGAACACCTTATAAGACACGCCATCTCCTCCAGGTGCACTTTTTGCTCTTGCTTTTTTTACGAACTCATCTACTTCTTTCTCTCTAATTGGTCCCAGGTAATATTTGACGACGGGGGCAGCTGGACGCTTCAGGCCTCTCATATAAGGAAGCGGTTCTTCTCTTCTTGAATCGCTGTACGTCTGCTTAACATAAGCATCGAGTTCCTCTTTCGTACATTCCAATTTACCACTCCGTGCCTCTGTGAACAGTTTTTTGGCTGCTTCATAAGGATTCTTCAGAAATTGTTCACGTTCCCTTTTTCTCTCTTTTCTCCTGGTACACCTTCTTTCGTGCCTCTGTAGGTCTCTGCTTTTTTTCTTAAGATCTTCAAACAAGATTCTTAGGCCTTCTATCTCTTCTGGTGGTGCGTACTTTTTCTGCTTTTGCAAGTCTCGTTTCTGTTTTCTTAGCTGTGCAAGTACTCTCTGCCTTCTACTCAATCCACTTTTCTTCTCCGTCTTTTTCTTTCCTTCACAAATACCAAACTCTTTTATTGCCGAGTCATAGATAATGGTCGCAAACGCACTCAATATTTCTTTAGCATCCCCTCTGTTAGAACTCTTTTTGACTTCTTTCAATTTCTTCTGGACTTCTTCTTCTAACGTCTTGTATTTTGCCTTCTCGTTAGCAGCAGGCCACAGTATTCTGGGTTTCCGTAACCCTGGTTCCGTTTGCTGTTCCATCTCTTGCTGAGACAGGGTGAAAGGAGAGTCGACTGAAGCACTAATCGCTCCGCTGTGGTTTTCATCCTGGGATGATTTGCTTCGTGTCTTACAATCTGACGATCTGCACTGTCTTCTCTTCTTTAAACAGACTTTTCCCTGGTGCACTCTCAGCCCTCGCCAGGTATCGAACTTTCTGTAGCACTGCTCGCACATAAAGCTGTTCTCTTGATTCTCTTTCTGCATTGTCCTTTTAACGCTTAGGTCATTGTCCATTGAATCCGTCCTTGTGGATCCATCCTCTACTCCCCCCTCTCGGTGGATCCCGGGGCTGTCTTTTCTATTGGTTGACGTAACTTATATTTACAGTGACCTGGGTAGTTAGCCCCTGCCACCGTCGGTCTTTCCCGACGTCCTCGGTCTTTCCCGATGTCCACCCGTCGGTTATATTAAGTTACCTTCTTACGCTCACATTGAGCTCACATAGAAGCTCTGAATTATGAACAAGACTTTTTTTTTCTGACTCGAGTCCGAATAGATAAAAAGTCTGATCGGACTGTAAGTTCTAACCTTATTTAACCACTCCCCTCTTTTTTTGAACCATACTTTTTATGTGCTTGACAGTTTCTCTCCTCTCGTACTCTCTCATTAACTCACTCTGTCCCCTCTTCCCTCCCTCCCTCTCCCTATCTCTCTCTCTCTCTCTCTCTCTCTCTCTCTCTCTCTCTCTCTCTCTCTCTCTTCCTCCTTTTCGCTCCCTCCGCCCCCCTCTCTCTCTTCTTTAGTCTCCTTCTCCTCTTCTCTTTCTCATCATAATTATTTCTGCTCTCTGGTGTTCCTACCTTTCTTTCATGACTTGTTATGCACCTGCTCCAGGGCTGCCTATTTCTACCAATTTTTCCAGTAGTTACTGTTTAGACCTGTTCCACCACCATGCTGTTAAAGTTGGGTACAGGGGGCTCTCGTGGCCTAGAGGTTAAGGTGTTGGCCTCTCATTCAAAGGTCCCAGGTTCGAATCCGGGTAGCGACCGAAAAATTTTCTTCTCTAAAATTGTTTCCTTTCACCTCCTTTCCTACTCTCTAGCAATGTTCTGTTGTCTGCTTTCATTTCCACTTTCTGCCCCCACCCCCTCACCTCCTTTGCCCCCTCCTCTGGGCTCCTGACTCTTCCTGCAGCCTTTCTACTGCTGCTCCTTGGCTCCTCCTTACTGCTGTCTTTCTGCCACACCCCTGATCTTCTGGTAGGAAAGATCTACACCTAGCCTTCTCGGACAAGGGCGAAAAATCTCGGAGGGCCCATGTGCAAGTTGCGCACGTTAAAGATCCCTTGGTGGTCTAAAATCGATAAGAGTAGTCTTCGGCCGCCACCCGGGCAAAATTCAAAATTTCCTACCAACTGAAAATATTAGGTGTGTCCCGCGCGCTCATATGACCTTATGCAGTTGCGAGCGCCGTAAAACACTTTACAAAAACAAACAAAGTTGGGTACTAAATTGACGATGGGCACTGAGATTTTTTTTAAAGATTAAAACAATTGGTACTTTCTCTTTCATTTGTCCCCACCAGCTGTAGGGTTTTTTCGTTGACCTCTTTTACACCTGCCAGGTTGACTCGTAGTTTTGGCTCACATTCTCATTCAATACCAACAATCATAATCAAATATAAAGTGGCAGAGCAGGGGTCTTATGACAGAGTGACTGCCAAGTTTATATATTTTTGTCTCCTACTTTTGCCTTTCTCTTTCCCATTACAATTCTGACCATACTCTTGTGTTCCTGCCTTCATTGACTTGTTATATAATGCCTGCTCTTGGGCTGCCTATTTCTACCGATTTTTCCAGTAGTTACTGATTTTGAACCTGTTCTACCGCCATACTGATAAAGGTGCATAAACTACCATTTACCAGTGCCCGTAGAGATTTTTTTTAAAAAGATTTTGAAAATTGGCCCATTTTGTTCCATGTGTCCCCACTGGTCAATGTGTCTTTTCGTTGATTTCTTTTAGGTCTCTGCAGTGGTAGCTCATAATTTTGGTTCGTATTCATTCAATACCATAATACAGAAACAAATACAAAGAGGTAGAGCTGGGTCTTTATGACATGTTTGTGTCCTGTGACATAATCTTACAAAATGTGAGTATCGCACGTGTCAGGGACTGGTGGTCCTCAGGTGCACCAAAAACCATTCACACTTGCTTGACTTCTGGTGTATTCTGTGTGTTGAAGCATCTTTTGACACATATTAATGGTCAAGGTCAAGACTTTGGTGATCTGTAAGAAGAAAAAACATATTTTTTGGTGCACTTTCAACTCCTTGACATGTTACTGGTGGATGATAGCTGGTTCCTACTAAGGGGATCGTGTTGCAGCTGCAGTGCACACTACAAATGCACTTGAAGACCCCTACCTTTGTTTTGTCAAATTCAAATGACCTGGAAATCTGGAAGTTAAAGCAGAGATTAGTGTACAGATCATATCCCACGCTGGACGGCATGGTTGTAGGCATAGTTAAATTCAAATAGTGATAAATGACATAGTTGATGGAGGACCAAGGTGTGTGGCATCATACATCTCTTTCTCAACAAGAACAGATATTGATTGGAAACACGTTTATTTCAGACATAGAGGAAAAGTGACGGCAGAAAGAGGGAGTCGAAAATATTTGATTCAGTTTTTATAGAATTCTTGATGGTTCTACTTTCTTTGAAGTTCTCTGCTGTTTTGGAAATCATGTCTCTTACTCTTATGATGCCCTACCCCTGCCCTCATTCATAGAATTCACCTAATTCCCACCCTATACCATAGTTCTGAGCCCTAAATCAAACCTCCTCCTATTTTTTAAAAACTGGCATGTAATGCTTCTTTTTATACTTCCACAGTGTGATGTATATTGGATAGCCTTTTGTGATGGAGTCTCTTGGATCCAAAGAGAAAACATTTTCTCGTCTATTGCATCTCAGTCCTATTGATGTGAAGGATGAACTGGATGAGGTATTTATATTTCTTGAATGTGATGAATTGAGATCTTTTGATTTTGTTATATAATTGAAGTTGTTATGAGACTGAGATAATTTTGATGTATACATGTTTACGTATTTTGAGAGATAAAGAGACAGTTTGTGCTTGTGTGTGTGTGAGTGTCAATATATGGTGTGACCAGCAGTATGACAAGGCTGCCCACCATCACAAATTTGGCAGAATCGTTTTTTGGGGGATTAAATTTTTTATTTTTTTTTATTTTACAAAAATACAATTGTAATACCGCTGATTCTGACTTTTTGAAAAATTTTGGTTACCCCAACTTACTGCCAACATTCCTGGTGTATAAGGGGGGAAAAAATAGAACTACCAGCTGTCTAACTACAGTATTAACCTCCTCTTTGCATTGAGCCGTTGTTGTAGTCACTCAGTGCCATTTTGCCCTTAGAATATTATTAGACTTTAGTAGTGCCAAAGCCAGGAGCTAGACATACATTGGACTGAGAATGTGTTAGAAAATTCCTGCCCTTTTGTATCATCACGCCTTTATTTATGTTATATTTATATTATACTGGACTACATCCCCTGTCCTTGACACTTCATTGAAGAAGATTTTCCATGACCATATTACGAATTTTTAAGCCAGTTTACTAATTTTGTATCAGTTGATTTCTAAAATATGAGCTGGTGGGTGGGCAGCCCTGACATGATGGTATACCATCAGTGTTTTGCGACCTTAGGTTGCATTGTTACTGAGTATATTATGTATATAAAAATGCAAGGTTAAGAAGTATAATGAAGTAAATATATTTTCCGACACTTTTTGTTGAAAACAACCTTCTTTCCTGACCACTCTCATGAATATGAACATGGCTGTTTCGATAGTTTCAAAAGTTATGATGAATATATAATCGAAATTGTCCAAGACGATCGGAGGAGAGAAGTTGTTTTAGACAGGTGGATGTCTCGGAAAGTGCCTTGTACATGTGGCCATTAGAGCAGGTTCGACTGTACTTTTCACTTGATTTAAAAGGGTCCAATTTATTTTTTCATGGTGCAGCTTAACCTGTTTGAACGGCTACCTTTATAAAACAATCACCTCTGTACAAACAGATATTTCCCATTTCCTCCCTTGTTTGTTTTTTACAATATAATGACATTGTGTAAAACAGACAATTTTCTCCTAAACAAAAGGTGACTGTCTTAAATAATTTTGACTAGTTGAAGTGGTTTTGAGTCCATTGTGTGTCCATTGCACATAAATTACAATTTCACTTTTCTTCTCTCTTCTATTTTGAGTATATATGTTTGACTTGTTGCATTTCAGAAACTTGAAAGATGTTACAGTGTGATTTTGGGTCTCATGACAAGTACTGACCGAGAAAACAGTGAGGCTCTGTATGCTCATGTAAGTAGTTCTCTATCTGTAATTGACATGAACAAACTCTTTAGATATTTTTTATTTGTAGAGTTGTGGTCCCCAACAAATCATTTGCTGTGAAGGAGTTCTAAAATGTTTTATTGTGGACTTTTTGTGAAAAAGTTTTAAATTGGATAGCGCGCTCATATGATCTTATGCAGTTGCGAGCACCATAAAACCCCATATTAAACTAACTAGGATAGAACGAGTTATAAGAAATTGTACTAAATACTTACTTGACTACTTGATTCCAGAACTGGGGTCTGCAGAGATGGCCATAACTCCTCACCCCTTTTCAGCAGAGTCCATCTTCAGATATTCATACTGATGGTCTCCATCGGTTACTGATTGCTGATTCATCCACCAGAGTCGCGGAGGTTGCTGAACAATTTGTACTTAATGACATAGATTTGCTTAAAGCAAAATAGCACTTTTTGAGTTGAAAGATGAAAAATTAAAATCTTCAAGAAATTGCTTTTTTGCTAGGGTATACTACTCAACTTTGAAAAATGTTTAATTGGATATGCTTATCTCGGGCAAGGTCTTAAACTGTCTCCGATTTGCTGGATATTGTTCATATGAGCATGTTGCTTTGAAAGCTTGGAGAATATTTTCTTACTTTTGAAAAGACATGTCTCTGCAGTCATCATCCATTTATTGTTGCATGTATTGCAGGTAACGAGCGCTTTAAGTACGTAGTTATGTTGTTTTGAATAATTCACTTTTCAGGTTGCGAAAGGTAACCAACAGCATGATGAGGTTCAGATGGGACTTCTGTACGCGATCTTGGCTGAACCAAAAATGCAAGTCAAGGTTAGTACTGGAGATCTCACTGTGTTCTTCGTTTTAAAATTGATAATGTTGTTATTTAAGAAAGTAAATAAATGTATTTGTCTTTATGTATCCCGAAAAGGCTCACACAACTACACATTAGCTCCCTTGACTGGGCAGTTCTTTCCATTTTACCATTTCAGTCCCAAAAAGACATAGCATTGATGCTTGTTAGGCACATACCACTATTGGGTATTGGTCACAAAGAAAGTGATCTTCTCTACCTCTGCCAGCTGTGCCACATATACCTGAGACCTGCTTGTGGATCTCAGCCTTCCTCTCTTCCTCCTCCCCGGGGTGCTTCATCTTAAGCCTTGTCTTGTCACACTGTGGACTGGCTTCCTAAGTGTGTGCTAAATCTACGGCCATCTTCTTTTATTGATCTTCCTGTTTGTTTCTCCTCTACTATTCAGCAAGTTAAACACTAAACATCTCCACAAAAAATTGTCACTTGTGATTTTTGTTGCATATAAAGAAATTGGATTACAGAGCAATATTCAAAGATTCCATTTTTGACATTGTTTCTATTTAAAATGGCATTATCTTTTGGTATTCGGGAATTAAGTTCACTAAAGGTGCTCTCTAGTAAACACCACTCTTTGGATTTTCACAAAACTCTACATGCAGCATTCTGGAGAGATAATAATAAATCATAATTCTCCAAGATCCATTGTTGTGCAACCATTCGCGTATAGTCAGGGTAAAGACTTATTGAACGCCCCTTAAATTGGATATGCTTTGAATGATGGAGAAAAATGGGGAGAGGTAGTTGTGTGAGGTTATTTCTTATGTGTGGGTGGTTTGCTCCTTTGTCCTTACGTCTCCTCTTTTTTTTCTTTTTACATGTTACTGTTTAGTGACACCTTTAGTCTTGGGCACTAATATAACCTTATTGTCTTTCAAGTGTCGTTAAACTCTTATAGTGGGTGGTTGGCAGGTGCTTTGGTGTGGTTTGCTCCTTCTTTCCTATCAAACATCTCTCCTCTTTTTTTGTGTATGTTCTCTCTTGTAGCACATCTATTCTTCAGCACTCATTTGACCTTATTGTGTTGCAAGTGCTGTAAAACTCACTTTTTTGAAACTCTTATAAAACTGAAGCAAATCTAATAATTGCATTCTTTGGAATGATTTTCCTGCTGCTGTAATCCCTCTTCCGTTTTCTCTTCCAGAGTTTTCGAGAGCTGAATCTTGTTGCAAGGGATGGTCTCACATGCCTGCTCACAAAGATCAACCAAATTGTGTATGAAAAATGGCTCAAGTTGTTAGACTCAACAAAGGCTCAGGTAATAACAGATTTTTTTATTTTATGAGACAGCTTTACACTGAATTATTTTAGTTAAGAAATGGAAATATTATTTATTGTGAATGTTTTTTCTCTACTCCTTCCTTAGTTTTCATCCCTTTGACATGAAACTTTCAGGAAACATAGATGGCAAGCAATGTAACAGAGAGATATTTGAAAAAAAAAAAAACACTTTTCCATTGGCAAGTGATTATGCAACTTAAATTTAGAAAAAGTTTTTTATACTTTGGGAAAGTTCTCTCTTTTATTTTTTTATTTTGCACTTATTGAAAAAAAACTTGATGTTACTCTGATAGAGTCTGGTTCAGGTATACTCTCACCAAATTTGGTCAGTAAATGAGAAAGCCTTAGGGATTTGAAACTCTTTGTTTATTTTCAAGATGGCAGCCGTTTCCATAGCCACCGCTGTAGCTATGCCAAAATAAAATTGCGTATCAAGAGATTTGACTATGTCTAACTTATATATATCTGTCCTTAGATTTGATCTCAGGCAACAAACATAGAAAATAGTCCTCAAGGGTAGCTCCTCCCGTTAAGAAAAAATATAATTGTATAATGATATTATTAGAAACAAGCTCTGCTTGATGTTAAATACTTGTACCAAGGTAATGTTCCTCCGACAGAATGAAGTGGAGGTTTATGATCGCCCACGCCAGTTGGCAAGGAAGGCACCGGATGATAATGAATGTTCCTCTCTTTTTTTTTTTCCTTACTTGTCAATGTGCTGCCTGGTTTTTGGCCAAATACATGAAATTGACCCTGAATCTACATAAATAGGAATTGGAGGTAGGCTGACCTGAATTTGGCAGACTTTTTAATTTATGCTACATGTATAGTCAATTGTCAAGAATTTGATATGCTGTTAGGATATCAGCAGTCATGTCATGCCCTTTTTGTTACAGTGTAGCTCAATGTTTTACATAATTCTTTCAGATGTTGTGGTTGTGTCGAGAACTTGTCAAAATGAATGCCCAAGGTGCTGACAGTGTGTGCTTAGGGATCTTGAGACAGATTGTGGGTGAGTTTATTCTCAAAGAAATGACTTCAATTTTAGTTCATAATAGTAATAATAATGATAATTGCATTTATATAGTATAGCGCATATATATCCAAGCTCTACAGCATGCTCTTTGCACTTTGCAACTTTTAGTACAACTTTACAAATATTACTTAACATTTGATGTGATTTTGTTTTTAATGTATTTTTCCATCCTGGAATACATGTTGGGCCTGTGAGGATTGATGAGGTTGGAGAAAACAAGTCTTCTTAGCTAAACTGTTTGCACTCTCTGTTTTTGATGTTTGTCTGCTTGACCTATTTGTTTTCCTTCTCAGCGGGCTCTCGTGGCCTAGAGGTTAGGGTGTTGGCCTCTCATTCAAAGGTCCCGGGTTCGAATCCGGGTAGTAACGAAAACATTTTCTTCTCTAAAATTGTCTCCTTTCACCTCCTTTCCCTCTCTCTAGCAATGTTGTATCGTCTGCTTTCGTCTCCCCTTTCTGCCCCCACCCCGTCACCTCCTTTACCCCCTCCTCTGGGCTCCTGGCTCTTTCTGCTACTCCTTGGCTCCTTCCTACTGCTGTCTTTCTGCCACACCCCTGATCTTCTGGTAGGAAAGATCTACATCTAGCCTTCTCGGACAAGGGCGAAAAATCTCGGAGGGCCCCTGTTCAAGTTGCGTACGTTAAAGATCCCTTGGTGGTCTAAAATCGATAAGAGTAGGCTTCGGCCACCATCCAGGCAAAATTCAAAATTTCCTACCTACTGAAAATATTAGGTGTGACCTTTTGCAGTTGCGAGTGCCATAAAACACTTACCAATTTCCTTCTCTTTCTCATTATTAGGAGATGCTATAGCCAACCTGTGTTTTGTGACATCATGGGTTGGAAAAGTGAAGGAAATGAAGCTCTTTTGATGTTATTTTAACTGTGTTTTCCAGCTGTACTTACACGTAATTTTGGCTCGAGTGTTTAACATGACAGGTTTGCTGTCTAGCTATTGTTTCGTACCTTAAAATTTTTCATCCTTTTTATTTTTAGGTGGAGATATATCTCAAAAGAATATCTGGTTGGCAGAGAGTATGCTTGATTTGTTTCTGGAAAACAAGTGAGTATCATGACATATATAATTAGAATGCAGCCAGAGAGAAAAAATGTTGAAAGTCATTCAAATTTGAAAGCTTTATTGAGTAGTTTTGTTGGGTTGGGGGGGGGGGGGGGGGGGGTTATCAGTTTTAAATGAGAACATGTATTAATTTATTATTTTTTTGTATTCCTTATTGTAATTCATTTATTTCCAAGATTCCAAATCAGTGCTGACAGTGACATTCTTAGATCGATTTTGTATCATTTTCAAGGATATTGACTGTTGATGATGTTTCCACCTTATTTGTGGATGATTGATGGGGTTCTTTTACTTTTTAATGTTCATTTCTTAGCTAAACTTTTTATTTTGTTAACTCGTTGAAGACGCAAGGTTTTAGGGCTGTGTTTTCCCTGGATATGATATGCAGGATTTTGCTACATTTTTAAAAAATCACCCAACAATAACCGTTGCATATTTTGCTGTATAATTTTATAGAAAGCAAGATAATCATGCCCATGAATAAAAAATGTCTACATATTTACAGAAACTGAAAAAGACAGTGTGTACTGATACATTGAAAATAGTGTGTAAATGCGAAAAAAAACAATCAACTCATCATTTTCAAAATCACCTAGATCCATCTCCTTTTCCTCCACATTCATCGTAGGTCTAGGCCTATCCTCCACCTCTCCTTTTGTTTCAGAGGCTCTGCTGACATCAGGTGTTGCCACGCCCCTCTCCTCACCTTCACCCTCGCTTTCGCTATCAATATCTTCTGCAACTGGAACGTATTCTTCATCACTACTACCTTCATGCAAAGTCTCTTCCTCCCTCTCTTCACTTTCTTGATTTGGAGCTCCATCATCAGCGGAACCTTCTTCCATCACCATTTTAATAGCCTCTTGAAAGCTGAACGAATCTCGTCTTCTCGAAGCCTTTTTTTTTAAAAACAGGAAGTAGGTCAAATAGGGCATTATGCTAATGAGGGTCAAATGACCTCCCAAACCTGTGTTCTGGTCAAAAGGATGGTACAAAGTGGTTCAGCTTTATTATAACAGTACTTTCCCTTCAATTGCTCTTATGAAAAAGGAGGAAAAAATCTGTTTCATCCGCCGGGCCTATTCGGCACATCCTCAACGTAGTTTAATACTGCCGGGCCCGGCACGTCTCCAGTGTGTTAAAAGTGCATATAAAACCATGTCCTATGGGAAATCCAGAGTTTCGGAAAGCAGTAAAAAAAATATGTTTTCTGTTAGTAGCTTGTGGTGCTGTGTAAAGACTCAATTTTGATACTGTGTTTAAATTTTTTTATTTCAGGGAAAAATTGGAAGCACAAAACTGATTATTAAGAACATCATCGTTTACTTTGTTTGAATGTTAAAATTTCATCTAGTGTATTTAAGTATTGCTCCCTATTGTACAAAGTGATGTTTTATTCAATTTTGACATATTTGTTTTTTGTCTCTTTGACAGACCATTCCTTGCAAAAAATGTCTCCTTGGTGCCGACAGTTGTATACACATATCTCAGGATCATTGTTGATCATGGCAACCCCACTTTGGCAAGGCTGAGACAAAAAGAAGTTGAACTATGTGCAAGCTTGTTGCACAGTGATGTAGGTGTTGCTTCAGTGAACAGTGATGATTTTTGAGTGGTTTGACCATTGACTTAATCATCTGTTATCAACTTTCAGGCTCTTCCCTCAGTTGTTTACAGTACCTACTTTGAAAGCTGAATGGTTATCCATAGTTGCTACATTCTGTGATAATTTGAATGTGCTCTCAGGTGCTGTCTTTTAGTTTTGTGCCAGTACAGTCTGTAAACAATTTGTTTAAAAAGATGTATATGTTCATGAAATATAGCTTTTTTGTTTAAAAATCAGCTATGTGCTTTATGAGCCAATGTTTGTTTACCTTTTTTTCTTTGTCAATAGTTCTGTTGCTCATCTTCGTGGAAATCATGAATGTTTACTGTTTTATTTGTTAATGTCATTCACTTTGTTTGTGCCAGAACTTATTTGAAAAAAGCTGTAAAGGCCTCACAGCATATTGATTTACAAATGCTCTCCCATCACCGTCTGAGCGATGATATTTGCGTTTTAGAATGTTGAATTTCTTTTGCATGCTAGTGAATAAAGGATTCTTTTTTTGTTTGTGAATACTTTTAGTGGCAAGAATGCATGAAGATAGGGAGAGACCTGGTCAGACTTCTTCAGAATGTTGCAAGAATACCTGAGTTTGAAGCACTTTGGAAAGCCATCCATCTCAACCCCACATCTTTGTCACCAAATTTCACGGGTTCGTACTTACTTTTCAAGGTGATATTAATTATGATTTAAACCATATATAGATAATGCAGGACGTCCTGGGCAAGTGGTTAAATTACAGTAACCTCGTCCTACGGTGAGACAACTGAGGTTTAGCTATACAAATTATACTTCCAATTTTGCATGGTGGAACTGCTTTTTTTCTCAGTCACAATCTAATCAAGTACCATTTCGACTGCCTTATCTAAGTAAATACTTTTGCTTTTAACAAAACATTTCACTAGGGTCGTATATTTTTTCTGAAGGGAGGTGTGTGCATAATGGAGTTCTTGTATGTGTTCTATCTGACCTCCACACTTGATCTTTGCTGACTCTTTGAATTTTCTTGACGTGCTACTTCATTCCGAGCTCCCTTGTCATGTCTACATAACGTGATGAACAGGCCCATGTTTACTGCAATGATCCATACTTTTATGTGTCTGACTGGTGTCTTGACAGCTTCTGTGGCAATATGGTTTTGAAATAGGAATGATGTGAGAAGGAGGAGTTTAATTTGATTAATTGTTCATGTTCCTGTTGTTATATGTAATCATTTACTCTTTCAGGTGTTTCCCAGCTGCTTCAGAGTCGAACAAAAACGAAATTCCTCGTGGGAAGGCTCACGCCTGACATGGAGAATAAGCTCATATTCTTGATAACCAAGGTTCGAACTTATATGTCACGTTTTTCATATTTTTCTATTAAGAAAGGAAGATGAGTTATTAAATCTTACATATTTGTGTTGTAAGTGCAACTGAAAATATCACTGTTTTTTGTTCATAATTGTCAGGGATATTTCGTCCGATGTTCAGTGTCTTTCATTCTGTAATTTCATATTGAAAGATTGTTTGCTTGTCATGTGGTAGTTTTTGGAAGAGTGTCATCCTGCACTGTACATATTTCTTATTTGTTTGGTTTCTTTTGTGTGCTGTTGACCATAATTGCTTCGCTTTTTTCTTCTCATACTTTTTGTGAAACTAAGTAGAATATGCTATTATCTATGTTTCTGTATTATTATAGATTTGTGATGTTTTAGGGTTTGTTTTTTTTCTTTTCAGGTCAGGTTTGGAAATCAAAAAAGATATCAAGACTGGTTTCAGAGACAGGTAAAGAATTTCACGATGAAGCGATTTAGACTTAATTTTATTTATTGCACATAATATGATTAAGTTCGACTTGAACACACTGGAGCTCTGAGGGGTTCATTCTTGCACTGGTAATGTGTGTTGTGGGGGGGGGGGGTGTTATAGGAAGAAAGGTATGGGTCAAGATCTGGTACAGACTGCCATTGTCATGTCGAAGAAAAATGTAGATGAATGGCAGTTTCAATTATATTTTGAATAACAAAGCTCTTACTTGTACAGCCGTTTTTTTGTTCTCTAGGACATGCAGCCCTTTTCCACACTGTGCAGCATTTATTAGATTATTTAGAGCCTTCTTTTGTACTGGAAAGGAGATGCTACAACGGAGACTATTGTTAGTACGAGTTAACATAATTCAGAATGCAATGATTGTGAATGTGAGTCATGGTGTGAAAATGTTTGTGATCTTTGAATGGGCCTTCAGATTTTGAATACAGCATTTTGTTGGAATCTTTTTTCAGTATTTGTCCACCCCAGAAAGTCAGTCTCTCCGCTGTGATCTGATTCGCTATATCTGTGCAGCATTCCATCCATCCAATGAGCTCCTATGTTCTGATATTATCCCTCGATGGGCTGTCATCGGTTGGCTGCTGACTACTTGTACTGTAAGTAATGACTCTACACAGGACTTGTAATTGCCTGCATAAGTTGTTAGATATGAGGCTAAACTTAAATTCTTGCTAGTTGTATTCGTCCAGACCTCGATGCTTAAAATACTTTAGTAACTCCTTTTCTTAACCCTCCTTCCCCTCGCACAAAGGAAAAAAAAAAAACAGTACATATAATCAAGGCCTTTATGTACTTTACAGGTCGAAAGTATGTTTTACCTGTGCTGTCCTTTTTTTTGTCTCTTGCGCTTTGACTGTGGCATAATATAGTGCATTATTGTTATTAAAGTTATAAAGGAATTGTGTCTTGGGGTTTATGGAAATTATGTTTTATTTCAACTAATTGTACCTTTGTTGATACATGTGCAAGGGCTTTTGATTTCTTGATGATGTTAAATTGTAGTGTCCTTGCAGTTTCCTAATTAAATACTCTTATTTTATTACATTTAAGTGTTATACTTGGCATCAAGTTTTGTAAAGACTTTTTCTCTATGCTTCCACAGTCCAATGTAGCTGCCTCTGATGCAAAGCTGGCACTGTTTTATGACTGGCTTTTCTTTGACCCTGAGAAGGAGATCATGAATATTGGTGTGTTGAGTAGTTGTCCTCACTGTGTGTGGGAACCCTCCCCTCCCCCCAAAAAATTGCATTTTGTTTGTGAATTGTAAAAATAAGTTCAATTTACTTGTGATTTTATTTTAATTCTGTGAGGAATATCAAACAAATTGATCTTGTCGGGTTGCATAAAAGTAATTTTAAAAATGGTGTATTTTTTATTGACATATTTTGCTTGTGGTTTGTGCCTCAACTTTTATCTAGCAAAAGGTCATGTGTTTTTGTTACTTTTGCCTCTGCCTCACCCACTGAATGCATTTTTATTGGGCATGACTATAAAAATGTTTGGGTTTGGGAACCTCAGTGGGTCTCTCGAACTTACGCAAAATATGCCTCCTGACTTGAGTGAACCTGAAATCCATTATTTAGATTCCTGCACATGAATTCCCTATGTATAGAGGATTCTGCCAAGAAATTATTATAGTCAGCAGCTTCAAAGATGGCAAATAAACTCTGTGATACCCAAAGTTCTCTTGTCTTTTGGATTTCACATGCCTAACTGGAACCTGAAACAAATTACATGTACTTCCCTAATCCCTTCTGTGCATTTTGTTTTCATTACATACTTTTTTCTGTGCACTTTATTTTCATTATATTTTGTATTTATGGACTGCCTGGATTTTTTTCCTCTGTAGAGCCTGCTGTCCTTGTGATGTTCCACTCCATGAGACCTCATCCTGCCATTACAGCAACTTTGTTAGATTTCATGTGCAGAGTAAGTAGGAGGGCTGTCATAGCCTAGAGGTTAAGGTCCCTGGTTTGAATCCGGGTAGCAAAGGAAAATTTTTCTTCTCTAAAATTGTCTCCTTTCAACTCCTTTCCTGCTCTGTAGCAATGTTCTGTCGTCTGCTTTGGTCTCCTCTTTCCGCCCCCGCCCCTTCACCCTTTTGCCCCCTCGTCTGGGCTCCTGACTCTTTCTGCAGCCTTTCTACTACTTCTCATTGGCTCCTTCTTACTGCTGTCTTTCAGCCACATCCCTGATCTTCTGGTAGGAAAGATCTACATCTAGCCTTCTTGGACAAGGGCGGAAAATCTCGGAGGTGGTGTGTGCAAGTTGCGCACATTAAAGATCCTTTAGTGGTCTAAAATCAATAAGAGTAGGCTTCAGCCGCCACCCTGAAAAAAAAATTCAATATTTCGTACCAAATGCATATGTTTATTGTGTCCTGTGCGCTCATATGACCTTATGCAGTTGCGAGTGCCGTAAAACACTTTCCAGAAAAAAAGTAAGTAGCTTGAAGAGGGTTCTCAGGTCTTCGGAATATTTGATGTTTTACTTTTTTGTGATTTAGGCAGTCTTTTGTTCATAAGCACTTGCTCGTAGTCATGACCTGAAGAAGATATGACAAGAATGTCACAGTAGTGTCTGCTTAAGATCCCATCGCTTACAGCCCGGTTTGCATAAGATCAAGCTGTTTTAAGAAAGATCACACTCTGAAAGTCTACAACGCAGGTCGTCCCAAAAGATGGACCAAGAGTGAAATTTTCCGATTATTGAAATGCCCATTATGTCACAGATCAGCCACTCTCATGAACGTGATCACATGTGCGTTGTATATTTCGTTGAAACGTTACAATATTTGCCCCTTACAGGATCACGCTGAGGTGTGAACTCGCATCCGCATAAATTGTTTTCCCGAACCATCGCACTAGCATCCGAGTTCTCCACCTAAGCTTACATCACACACTGGATGAGTTAGGCCTATAAATTCGCTCCAGGTGGGATTACATCGGTCTGAGAACTCTTTCCTTACCATTGATGCAGTTGTCTCTACTCCTGAATTTGCGAGAGAGACTGAATTTTAATTGATGTGGTCACAATGTAATGTTGCGTATCGACAGAGGCGGGGGTACTTTGTCAGAGATGAAAAGCTGTAAATTTCAGACAGATAAGGGGGATGAGCAGCTGGAAAAGCGTAGATCTTGAGACTCACGACAGAATAATAAGTGAAAATGGCATGTCTTGTGCCACTGTGATTGGTCATCATGGCTGACCACTCCTTGCTCGCCATAAGTCACAAACCCATCCAGTAGATATGTCAGTTCTTTTTAGAGTAAAGGGAAACTATTTTACCAGTTGTGGACCGAAACATGGATCATAACAGATTCTTTCCTTGGTGCATCCTGGAAGGACTCATAAAATTTGTTACCTTGAAGTACTTCCTCTTGAAGGGCAAGGTCATATAGAGCTGTTTCACTCAGACATTCTCAATTATTTACAAATTGTGTAACCACGGGAATTAACCTCGTGCTACTGAGTGATTTCTGAAAAAGATGAGTTTTGAAAGTGTGTGAAGAAGCATGTAATCAGCAATACAGAAATGATTGCCTCACAAGCGACACTTGTTTCTGTTTCTTGAGCATATGCATGAAAAAAAATTTATTTTTCATTCTTTCTACAGATAATGAACAATTTCAGTGTGACTCACTCTGCCCAGATACGAAACAGCATTTTTACAGCCTTACGCACCATCCTGGAGAAAAGAGTGTTGCCGTAAGAATTTCTGGGTTTCAATTCCCTTGGTCTAGAAATGTTGATTTATTACCATAATGTACTCCCATGTGTCTGCTCCTTCTACTTGCTTTAGTGTCACGGAAGATGCTCTTCACAACTCTGGATTAATTAATGAATCATCTTTGAGTGTGTGCGTTGGTGAGAGAAAGTTTTCGCAAGCTTGTTTGTTTTCTATGGTTTGTTTGGGGGGGGGGAGGGGGGTGTCGAAAAATGCTGTGAGTTTTTGGGAGTGTCCTTTGCCTCACCTTTTCTTAACGGAATGTTGCAATAGTCCTGTTAATATTTAGCTGTGTGTTGAAGAGGATAGACAGGAACGTATTTCCTTTGAATGGGATTGTATGTATTTGTGATACACTATGACTATGAGATATATTTCACTGTCACGAGACATTTTTTGTTTTCTCCTTCAGTTCATTGTCTCCATTGTTTGACAACCCAAAGTTGGACAAAGAGCTCAGGAATTTGTTACGAGAAAATTTTTCAGAGTTTTGCAGTCAAGAAGGTAAGAAATATTCTGTACAGGTAAAAAAAAAAATTTTCAAGCAGTGAAGAGGCCCACTTGTAATTTTCATCATCTTAAAATTAATATTAATTTAAACTATAGTTTTTGACTATCAGGAGTTTTTAAAGAGCACAATTGTAATGATATTTGTTTTCTCCATTTGATGGGTGGTCTTGTGCTGAAATGCACCTTAAATCTAAGATAGGCATCACTAATGTGGGGATTGGGGGAACAAAATCATATTTTCTTTCATATCCCATTTGCAGTCATGAAACAAGTATTTCTGTTCATAATGTACTATCTGTGGTCAAAAAAGCTATACTTGGCATTATTTCTATGGTTTAATTAACAGTGGTGGTTTCTTTACTCGGAATACCATTTTTAATGGCCTGCTCATTGAGGTCAAATTTACCCTTTTGAAGCAAGTAATTGAGTTAAGTGTTAATATGTTTTTTCTTTTCAGTGAAAGATGTGGCATCGATAAAGAGTGAGCTGGACATGGACACTGGAAACAACCACATAGGGGAGAACAATCTGTCAGATGCTTGCTTCAGTGATGATGAGGAGGACACTGTCCCAATGGGTATAATAATGATGATAATAGACTGCACTGATATAATGCTTTACCCTGTAAAATTATAAGCACAGAGTACTTTACATCGATGGCATTATTAATGAGAGTAAAACCTCCATGTATGAATTAATTATATACGGACAACAGTGAAAACAAGACACTGCTAACTCTTAACTCAAAGATCTTAATTTCATTCTTGGGGCTCTGAATTTCTTTTTGTCTGTGAATGACCATTATTGACGTGTTTCAGTATCTCTGTACAATCAGCCTTCTAAAAGTAAATCTACTTGAAAATTATTGACTTTCCATCAAATTCTGCACTTCGTTTGGAAACCATGAAAACAATAGCAAATTAAAGAAAAACAAGTTTTATTTTAAAAATGGAAATAACAAAATATCTGTCATATTGCAAGTGGCCCAAAACAACAGTGCAAGACTAGTATTGAAGACAAAGAAGAAAGATCTTGCTCTAAAGAATGTTAAAAGCTCAGCACTAGCTTCCAGGGGAAAAAGAATCAAATATAAAGTTCCTACCATCTGTCATAAATGCCTTAACAATAATGCTCCATCATATCTGTCTGCACTTTTGATACTTTGTGTTTAAACCCGTGAAAATGATTTTTATTCTAATGTGCCTGTATTCTTCCAGCTCGTTCTACTTGTTTGCATTAACAAAATTTTGTTCACATCTTGAAGCAAATCAAGCAATGATTTTACTCGTCATATTTCTTGTCTTTACAAAATTCATATAATATTTCAGGCAAAATGAAAGAGGAGGTTGGGTTCAGGCCCATTAAGGAATCTGCTGCATATGTGGCTGTTGATATCACAGAGCATCTAAACCAGTTGAGTGGTCAGATCCATGATCTCACATCAGAACTGCAAGGAGAAAGGTTGGTATATTTTAATTTTTGTTCTATGCTTTTGCATGTTCGCACCAACATGTCAAAGCGGCATCTGTTATGTAATGATAAAGGGTTTCACCGTGGCACACAGAAGATGTGATTTCAATTCTCGAGTAGAGAGAATTTTTATCAAGCATCTCCATCTGTCTGCTGGGACATTGTATCCCTTTCATCCCAATCAAAGCCCGTCTCCTGAATGATCTTAACCCCTTGACTGTGTTGTAGACATATCTCAATGTATTGATATTCCGCCACCCAGTCGGCTTTAAACATATCTTATACAACACTAAAAACCCATGGTTTGTTTTGTTGATGTTTCAGTTTTGAATAAAGAGAGTGACATCCCTCAAATGCTTATCGTTTTAGCTATGAGATCATAATATATCTATATGTGAGACAGCATGGTGAAACGAGGCGCTCGTCAATAAAATTAAAGTGAAGAAACTGGCATTTTTCTGTAGGTTTGTGTGAATTTGTATCGAATTTTTTTTTTTTCGCTCAACTCTTTTCATACCCATTAAAGAACACATTTCTGTGTGGATTTTACTATTTTAAAAAAACGTTGATTAAAAGCACAAAAAATTTAAATTTTCAGTTTCCACAGACCCTCAAGCTAAGGAAATAACTCATCTTTGGCACCCATTTTCTCGCTAATTTTACCTCTGAAACCAGGTGACCCCCACCTCCTTCGTTCGCAAATATCTCGACTTCTATTTAAGATAAATGGATATTTTTTCACCCAAAGCAAGACAAATGAACAAGCTTTAAGATGATACCAATAACTCTACATGCCCAGAACTTGACAAGAGCCTGATTCCTCCGCATTGTGACACAATGAGTGGAAGTGCGGGTGTTATAACCAATAAAAGAAACTGAGGTGTGTTATTTTACTTATCCACATCGTGGGAGACAGTCAGAGCAGACATGTTAAATGAGAACGTTTGTTCACTCTCAGTACTTTCAAATTGTTTTCCACCCCGCAGAGCAGTGCCACTGACTGAAGTGTCTTTAGGCCATTCCCAAAGGGGGGACTTTTCTCGTTTTAATGCACTGTAGAATTGTAAATGGGCTGGTCCCACAATGTCATGCTCATAACCATAACTATGCCTGACCTACAACAGGGAACTGCTGCTTTTTCTTTCCTAATCCTTACTATCATCCTTTTCCTCTACTTCTTTTGTATGTTTGTCACACTCTTGTCTTCTGCTATTTCCGGAGTGCCTTTTTAGACTTTGTGCTGTTGAAGCTAGAGAGGTGAGCAAAGTAAGCCTGATTCCCTGTAAGGACTTCTCTGTTGACATCCACCCCTTGGCACTGATGTAATCTTATGCAGTTGCAAGCGCCCTAAAACCTCTACTAAAACTTTTTTTAAATTGTTTTCATCGTTATGGTTTTTTCTACCTGGTCTTGTCAGTCGGCAAAGCCATCTCTTCATTTCTCTTTCTATTGATATATATATAGTTTGAAGGAAGGCATGAGCTTTGTGACCGCTAAAACAAAACGAAGTGTGTTATCTTACTTACACTCATCCTAGGAGGCGTGGCCAACATGTTAAATCGGAGCGCAAATTTAGTCTTTGCACTTTTAAGTTGTTTACATCATTATGGCCTGTTCTACGCAGGGTTTGTCAATGGATGAATTCATCTCTTCATTTCTCTTTCTATTGATATATTGTTTTATTGACCTGTTTCTTAATAAACGAACAAATATCAATTAAAAATTATGACCTGTCATATCTTGAGCAAGGTGGAATTTTCCTTAACTTAGCATATGGTGTGCATAAATGGTTTGCCATCAAAGCATTAATTGTGTCGATGTGGGTGTAAAACTTCTACAATAACATCGTAACTTTGTCAAAAGAAGGTCTTGAACAATAGAAATGACTACCTTAAATACACTAATACTGTACTGTAACATAGCTTCATAGGTAGCTCTATGACCCTGTCTAGGCTTTGGGGTGGGGGGGTAAAAAAGTTCAAATTGTGCCCGAACCAAATAATGGAATTCATGGTATATTAGAAGAGGATATTTAATGGATCTTGAAAATCCCATTGGAAGGTTTGCCTATCATCTCTTTTAGTCTGGAGCACAGCTGTTTGGGACAATTTTTGTGCTAACAATGAAATGTCAATTTTCTTACAGTAATCAAGAGATGCAGTGTGACCTTACTGATCAGCTGATGCAGAGAGTCATCCAAGAGGTCAGGGACTGACTGTGTTGTTTGTTTGTAAATTTGACTTGAAAGTTGCCCCAGAAAAAGAAAAAAAGGAGATTAAAAACTTCCCAAGTTTGTACGGTGTGAACATGAAGCATTACTAGTGGAACAATTAAACTCATCATAGTACTTTTGAAATGGTGAAGAAAATGAAATACGCCATATATTTTGCCCATATTTCCAAGATGGCCACCATTTCTGCTAAAGTTTCCCCGCAACTTTGGGATTACTATTTTAGAGTATGTGTTACTTACCTATCGCAAACTTTTTCCTATATTTCTTCCAAAAACGGATTACTAGTGTCGACTCTCCTTTAAAACCTTTTATTCAAGGGTTTCTGTATGAGATTCACATTATCAGCTTCACAGGAAGATATTTGTGAAAGGCAATTGATTTTGAAAGTTCAGTACATGCAAGTAGCTGCTCAATGATTTTTTTAAAAATTGAAGATGTAGAAATTGCTTAGAACATGCTGAAAGATGGCAGATTTGTGTTTTGCATGTAGTAATACTAGATGCGAGAACTTTGTTTAGGTATTAATCATGAAATCAACTCTGCTTTGCTTTACAGAAGCAAAATGTCTAGAAGATATCCTCATACTTTTCATTGTAATATTAACAAGGAGACATGTTGAAATCTATGCTTTTCTCAGTGTCTGACATTTTCTTGAGAAAGCTGTATTTCTACTAGTTCATTCACTGTTCGGTATTTATCGAGTGAGGTGTTGAAAAGAATTTGTTTTAGGTTCTGATTGGAAATTTTTTTGAAGTATTGAACATGATTTTGTTTTGCTCTTTGCAGGAGGATTTTGACCAAGACACAACTTCTACTCTGGCGATTTGCCTATGCCAGATACTTAGTCCACAGTTCAACAGTAGACTGTTCCCAGAGGAAGTGGATGAGGAGTGAGTTGCACTTCATGAAGAAGCATAACGCCTGTTATGCTGAATAAAAGATTTTATATGTTGTGCTGAATAAGAAATTTGATATGGGTTCATGGCGGGTGCTCTGGTGTGGTATGCTTCTTCTTTCCTATCAAACATCTATCATCCTTATCTACCCTTCTTCTTTTTTGTTTGTTACTCTCTTGTATCACCTCTAATCTTCTGGTGCTCATATGACCGTATGCAGTTGCGAGTGCCATAAAACCTTTCTAAAACTACCACACACAAAAAATTTATATATATTGTTAACTTTGAGCAAAGTTTCCTTACCATCCATCTTTTACCAATCTAGCCTTGTGCCTGTTGTCACTATTTTTGATATAATTTTTTGCATTCAAGTGCTTTCATTCATAAAACTTTTCCTTTGACAAGACATTCATCATTTCTATTTCTATATTTTCCATGCATGTGTTGAGGACTTTTATGCAATATGTTTTTGAGACTTTGAAATACATTGAACTATAGCTATTATTAAAATTATAGTTTTGTAACAGGGAAAGGTCAGGGAAATATAGCTTTTTTGAGAACATCCGAGCAAAGGAATGAATGGAGAACCATGATCGCCGATGTCTGTCGCAGATCTGGCACTGGATGATGATGAGTGTGTCTGTGTTTGTGTTTGTTTTACTCAGTATGCAACTGATTGTACATGATCTGCTCTCACCAGTGATTTTTTATTTTGCTCCTCCCCTAGGTCAATAGAGGATTCAATAGGGTCACCACTGTTTGTAATATTCAGGTAAATGTTTCTTGTCTTTTATTTGTGGTTAATATCATTTGATATGAAAACCAAAACTGTATTATAGCTTCTTAAGGTTTGAATTATTTTATTCCGAAATAAGGAATAAATGTGCAACAACTGATATTTACCTTTTTTACTGACGGATGGTTTATAATTAATGTTTGTTGACCTCTTTTACAATGACAGAAAGCTGTCGCAATTCTTTTGCCCTTTTTAATCTTTTGATCCATTTAAGATCTGGTGTCATACTTTGTTGACATGCTTACACCATGATGTACTGGAGGTTTTCAATGTGTGCTCCTGTCATTCTTTTCACTATACCGAGCCACCCCATGAGTGGTTAGAAGCAAAGATCGTGCATAACAAGATTGTTCACTCTGCCAAAAAAGTGTCCGTGGAAGTCCGCTCATTGATTCAGATGGCGCTACAGTCTTTGTTTTAAAGCTCTCTTTCGTTTCTCTAGAAGAAGAATAGGAATAGCACCCCCTTGCGTACGCAGATCAACTGCTGTTCATCAGCTGTTTGGATTCGTTCTGTGCGGAGTTTTAGGGTTTTTTATTCTAATGACCTCTCGCCGCTCATTCTAAAGTCAAATTAAACTAAGAAAACAGTCGCCACCGGAAGAGGTTTTTTATCAGCGTAGCCATTTTAAAAAAGCGTTCTTCCTGAATTTTAATTTTAATTTATTCAAAAACTTGTTAGTTTCACTTTTATTTTTTCTCACAAGTAAGGTAACTGTTCACAAAGGGTGCACTCTTTCGAAGAGGTCGCCACGGGATTTTGAGGACGCTTTTGTAATTGGCTCAAAGAGAGGAATGAACTATATTTATTACAGGATACCACCTGTGTACCCCTGATTCTAACCATCCCATTGTGGCCTCTGTCTGTTTGCTTCTTCAAAGGTCTAAATGATCATTACTGTTTCAATGTGCCTCTCTGTAAATGAAAGGACCAAGACATTTGGGAAAGAGGATGTTCAAACCAGCCTTTGTTCTCAATAGATTTCTCAGCCAGATGTCAGAAGAAGACCCCCGGCGCCAACCCTTGTTGCAGTTGTTAGCTGAGATGTACATGAAGCAACCACGTGTGGGCTATATGATGTTGTATTTCCTCAAAGTCAGGTAATTAATTCCTGAGATAGTAAACAAGAGTTTCTCTTAGAAAAAACAGCATAACAACTGACACCACATTCCCCCAAAATGTTATATCTGGCTTTTATTCTAGTAAGGTGAAAATGAACATACAAAAGTCCAGTTCCTACATAATTTATCTGTCGCTTTGGCTTTATGGTGGTCGCCAGTAGTAAAAGCCTGTCATTACGGCCTTAAGCTCAGTTGTGGCTCCAACTTAACCTTTCTCTGTTTTTCGGTGGACAGGATGTGTGATACTTTTGAATTTCAATAGCCTCATCTTGCTTCTTGTATATGCAGTAGTCTGTGTATAGATATAGATTCCTTACCTGTATTTCTTGTATCTTTTATCTATCCAATAACCCATTGCTTGCATTGTCAGTGTGTTTTGAAATGAACTGACAGAAGTTAATGTGTCTCAAAAGTACCATTTTTATTGACAGGCGTAATCAGCATCAAGGTTGATACAGAATTTGTGTAAGGTGTTGACTCGCATTGATCATAATACAGATTTTCACAATGGGAAATGAAATAAGTTTTTAAATAAAAAGTGACAAAATGTGCCATGCTTTGCCAAGTTTAATTCTCTTGCACTTGTTGATTGCTCATGGATCAGTGCATTAGTTATTTGTGTCCTGTTACTTGTTTTCAGCAAAGGGAGTGATGAAAAAATGGGTACCTACAAAGACTTCTGTCAAAATGTTGATGGGAAAGATTTGAAGTCGTGTCTGACCAGTGATCTCAAGGTATTATTTGTGTTGTCATTAGAGTTGGCTGTTGTGTAGTGTTGTGTCATTTATAAAGCTGTCGTTTTGGCAAAATGTGATGTCATGTATACACTTGTTTTAATTGATTCGTCCGTTTGGTCTTTCTCTATTGTAATGAGTTTGTTGTCCTGAAGGATTTTCTGAACATTAACGAAAGTGTTCGGGAGACACATTCATAGTTATTGATGGGATGTGGGGTTTTGCTGCTGTTTTCTTCTTTCTTTTTTTTTACATGTAATTCTTTCTATGTTGGTAATATCTCGTATCTCGTACTCTATTTTAGTAGCTTTACAGATTTTATTAGGCTTTTTTTTTTCAATCATTACAATGTACTTTAAAACAGGACATGCAGAGACTATTTTGTTGTTGTCTATGTTTACTTTGGTAAATGGGAAAGTCTTATTATTTTTACACGTAACCTATGGAGCACTTTTCCATGAGATTTGGAGATGTTTTATTGGTGGTTTCAGCTGTGCCAGGTGGACGATGTGAGATTATTCACGTTTCTGATTCCAGACGTCTACACACATGTAAGTAGCACTTTTCTTCTTTCTGTATTTCAATTTTTGATGGAATCCTGTCAAACATTTGTGTTTTGGGGGGTTTTTTGTGCAGCTGCTTGGTATTTACTACTTGTCTCTATGTAAGAGAGCAGTCCTTTGCACTGTGCTACATTTCTGTGTTTGTATTTTGATTCTGCTCTGAAATAATCAAATTTGACTCTTTTGAATTGTTGAACTCATGCCTACCTCTGGTTGTTTTAATAAGAATTTAGTACTCCGGTCTTATTGATTTCGTTGCCAGCTGTTCCGATGTACTCAGCCCAAAATTTATATTTAAAACATTTTATATATTTGCAGTTTCTTATCTGTGGTATCAGGTGCTTGTGCTCATGAAATATTTTGTCCAATTTCAATCCCTAAGTATTAAAAGAAGGAAGTAAAGTTACACAAAGTAGATACAAATTTTTAAAGAATGAAATGGTTTTTCCTCTCTTGTGAAAAATTTTGCTTTATGGGCTTAGAAAACTGAACAGCTTGCAGACTTATGTATTTGTTGTCATGAGATTGATGTAAAATTATGACTTTTTCAGTTTCCAAGCATTGCATCTGGGGACGCCACTATCCTGAACTTGATTGTCTCAAGTATTGATGGCACACAGGTAAAGACATATTTGTTCAAAATTGTACTTTTCTCTCAAAATACTTGGTTTCATCCTAATAACAAAAAATGTATGCATATGTGGTTGTATATATATAAAATACTAATAAAAATGTCATGTGGACAAATAACATTCTCCTTTTAAAGTGTACTTGAGGGCCTTTTCATTATCCTCTTGTTTTGCCTTTTTATGTTAAATCTTTTCTGACATTTTTATTTTAATGACACTGTATTGAGGTTGCTTCCTCTTGTCTTTTTGTATTTCAGCTGCAAGACCTGATTTGTCAGATTCTACAAGGCCACCTGATGATGTTCAAAAACAAAGAGACATTTTTGTCAGTGTTGAGTAAGTCCATTTTTGCAACTTTGGACACTGGTTGATAATACTCTACTTTAGTATGTTACTCTACATTTCTCAAGCTTCTGGAACTGTGCTCATATGTGCTCCTCACACCCATTTATGGAGAGCACAAATCTAAGCTTTTTCAAGTTATACGTTTGAAGTGTGAAGTTTCAAGGGGGGCTCTCATGGCCTAGAGGTTAAAGTGTTCTCCTCTCATTCAAAGGTCGCGAGTTCGAATCCGGGTAGGGGCGGAAAAATTTTCTTCTCTAAAAATTGTCTACTTTCACCTCCTTTCGTGCTCTCTAGCAATGCATTGTCGTCTGCTTTCGTTTCTTCTTTCCGCCCCCATCCCCTCACTCCTTTGCCCCCTCCTCTGGGCTCTTGACTCTTTCTGCAGCCTTTCAGCTGCTACTATTTGGCTCCTTCCTACTGCTGTCTTTCTGCCACACCCCTGATCTTCTGGTAGGAAAGATCTACCCCTAGCCTTCTCGGACAAGGGCAAAAAATCTCGGAGGTCCCGTGTGCAAATTGCGCATGTTAAAGATCCCTTGGTGGTCTACAATTGATAAGAGTAGGCTTCGGCCGCCACGCAAGCAAAATTCAAAATTTCCTACCAACTGAAAATGTTTAATGTGTCCCGCATGCTCAAATGGCCTTATGCAGTTGTGAGTGCCGTAAAACACTTGCAGTAAAAAAAATAATTAATTAAAAGCAAAAAGTTTCCAGGACTGAGCAATGATGGGAAATTCCCCTCAACGGTGGCCTGTTATTCCCATATGAAACTGTCCAACATGCGCTCTTCTATTAACCCGACCCATCAGGCCTTTGGCCACAATTTTTTCCTCCCACACCCAGCTTAAACGACTCCTTTTACTGTTGGGGATTCCAATATCACATACCAGAAAACTTATGTTTATTATATCAACTTTAACTGTGACCTTTTACTGTTGAAGATATCTCTTCTTTCATTTTTTCTTTTGACAGGAGGGATATATAATATGTCTGAGTTGATTTGTGTGCATTTTCTTTATCCTTCCTTTGTGTGTGCAGATGCCAGCTTAGAGTGGGAGACGATTGAGCAGTACTTCCTGTGGCAGTTGGTCATGGCTCACAACATCCCTGTAGAACACATCCTCCCCATCTTGCCAAAGCTAGAATTTACTGGTAAGTTTGCTCTGATGAGGCTGCTGGTGGTGAACTTTAGATGAGACTGTTGTGCTTTTATGATGAAAAATTATTTTTCCCCCCTTTTTTTAAATAGTAAAATTGATCCTCAGTGTTTTCATGGTTTGTTGCTAGTGAAAAGTACCCATACCAAGTGTCAAATCCATTGTTGTCTGTAAGAGTAAATCCTCAATGAAGAGCTGGTACTATACCTTTTTGGGGTACTTTTGGCTTGCACCTCAACTACAGGAAAAGGGCATTTACTTTAACAATCAAGATAGTACTGGACCAAAAAAAAGATCACATTCTTCGGTTCCACATTCTGCACAAGAAAGCTTTTCAATTGATTGCACAATTTGATCTCTGGTATTGACCGTTTTGTTTAGTTTGACTGCAAAATTATTTTTTATGTGCGTTTTTTTTAACATACATGTTAAGGAAAGCATTAGCTTCCAACAATGTGGGAAATAACAATTTTTACAATGATTAGACAGAGTACAAACCAGTAGTCCATGTTCTTTTTTTTCCTCCTTTCCTTACAGCCAATGCAGAGGCCCTTACAAGCTTGATGGTTCTCCTCAAACAAGTCAGGTGAGTAAGGTTAACGCATCCTTTGTGTGCTAAAGGGTCTCCAGGTAGGATGCTTGCTACTTATGTCAAAAGTGGCAGGGTGGAGGGGGGTTGATAAGATTTTATTTCATCCCTTCATCTTAGAATTGAAAGAAGAGGGCACTCAGTCCATTCAGAAAGGGACAAACACTTTGATGGTCACTTGTGCATACTGGATACATTAAAGTTGGAATGAATCATTTTATGTATATAAGAGTACTTTTACAAAAAGTGAGTGTGGCTGCACGAATGACAAAGAACAATATTTTTGTTGGAAAGGGTATATATTATGTTTTAGTTACTCATTCTCTGGATTGAAGATGCTGCCAGGGGAACAGTGAGAAAGTGGGATTATGAATTGACATTATAATTGTCAGTGTAGCATGAAAATAGATTAGAAAGGGTTTATCAAGAACTTTTACATACATGTTTGCTTATTATGTGTCCCCCAAGCCGTATATTTTTACTACTTTTCAATATGGTACCCCGAAGAATACTGTTTAGAAATTGCTTTTCCGTCACAGGTTTTGTTTGATATATAAGGTTCATTGGGTGTGTTAATGCAGGTAAAAGTTTATTATTTGTTAATCATTTCGAATTTTTAAAAAATAGAAGTTGTTTGATTTGAAGGATAAGGATAATTTCTTTGAGCACTGCAGCTTTGAGAAATAATTATAGTGAAACACTGAAAGTGTATATTTTTCGTTGAAATCTATATGTAAGAATTGTATTATGTCAGTTCTGTAACCACCATTCTGACTGAATTAATATGAGTACAGTTAGGGATGTGCATTTCTCTCTCTCTCTCTCTCTCTCTCTCTCTCTCTCTCTCTCTCTCTCTCTCTCTCTCTCTCTCTCTCTCTCTCTCTCTCTCTCCCTCTCCCTCTCCCTCTCCCTCTCCCTCCCTCCCTCCCTCCCTCCCTCTCTCTCTCTCTCTCTCTCTCCCTCTCTCTCTCTCTCTCTCTCTCTCTCTCTCTCTCTCTCTCTCTCTCTCTCTCTCTCTCTCTCTCTCTCATGGGTATCTACTGAAACAAAAAGAATAAGACGAGAGGAAAGACCTTCATTCATTGTTTATGTATTTATTTCAGTCCAAACTGGGACCTGTTGCGGCCAGTGCTGTCTCGGGAGTGCAAAAAGTCTGACTTCTTCACTGTCTCCATTCTGAAGTACTGGGCACAAGAGCATGAGGATCGCTTAGCAGAACTCATCAACTTTCAACTCACAAAGCTCAATGGAACACCAAAGAAAAGACAGAGGTATTGTTACCTTCATCTTTTTGTAGCCTCTTTACTTATTTATTCCGTAAATTTAACCTGTCAGCATACACACTGTCTGTTTTGTCTATTCTGATAAGAGCACTGTCTCTGTAGTTGGTCAGTATGGCAGAGAGGAAGGGGTTTTTTCTGCGCTAAAACTGCACCTCCAGTCTGTGGGAGACGCATTGGACTAAACAAACCACTAACAAACTACGAGGTCTGTCTCAGAATAAAGTTTCCCTGTCATGCTGTCCTCACATATAATTATAAATCACCTTGTATTTGGTATCAACAGAAAGCTTATTCAAATACCTATTCAACGTAGCAACCACCAAGTTCAAGACATTTCTCCATTTGATGTACCCAGCGGTCAAAGACAGTGGTCAGTGATCATTTGTCCAAGGTCCCGGGTGCTTTTACTCAATTATGCATTGGACACACCTCTCTAACGCATAAGAACCTCCTATAGGGAGATGAAAAACCGTTTTGTGTTGGATGCGACACAGATTTTACCATTAGACACATTTCAACAGAATGTCTAGACTTCAGAGAGACCCGAGGGAAATATTTAAAATGCAAAAAATTGTAAGATCTGTTTTCCATCGTTCATCCCGACAGAATATGTGATTTTATAAAGGTCATTGGCCTTTACGGAAAATAGTAAATACAGTTATTTTGATTTTAAACAGGTTATCAGTTTTATATAGTTATTTTACCTCAAGTTTTTAACATTTTAAAATCTGATCGTTGGCCCGAACCAAGCTGTGCAATGAACTACTGTGAATGCAGCCAACTTATGTTTTGCGCACTCATATGACCTTAAGCAGTTGCGAGCGCCGTAAAACTCTTACTACTACTGCTACTACTCTTCCGCACTTATTTTTTACACCAGCTATCAAAAGAGTCAGTATCATTTTTTAAAGGCATTTTTAGCTTTGTGGGTTTTCTTTTCTTTTCTTTTTTAAAACAATTTTATTGATTTTATGGGACAGAATTCTCTGTAGACATACTTTTGGAAGAGAATACATGTTGACTGTGACACATCTGTATGTGTATTGTTTTAGAAAAAGAAATGTTTCAGACTGGTTAGAAAGTAATGCAGTTTTACAATAATGACGTTTTCTACATTGTTTGATTTCATTACCTTTCTGTGTTTCTGTCTGTCTTCCTTGCCATTTCCCTGCACTAAATGGTCATTATCATGCCTTTATTCTTCTTCTCTTAACTCAAATTCAACTAACCTCATTGTGTTGCAGAACTGGTGGTGGCATTAAGAAAGATCATCCAACAGTTGATCAGATCCTTGCTCACCTAGATCACATGCGACAAGTTTGTCGGAATATTTCATGTAAGTAAAATGTCAGCCTCTCGTGTAAAAGCACTTGGTTTGTCTCCGGATTATTCAGGCTTGACAAGTTGGAATCATGGATAATAACAACAGATTTCGTTTATGTGAAGTGTGTACTGTTTTTGTCATGTGCTTAGAGCTGTTTTCTTCCAGCTGTGTTATTTTCATTGATAAAGGGAAATAGATTGTGTGTGCAGAGTTCCATCTTCAACCGTTTCGAAGTTTTTTCTTTACTTTTCATTTCTCTAGAAATGAATTGATGTCTCAGAGACTGGAGAAAACATCAGCTTCATTTGTTATCTCAAGACCAATATTTAAATTTTCTTCCTTCTTTATGGTTTCATCTAACAGACCAAAACTGAATGTCTGCAGAGTTCATCTGCCATTGTTTTTGCTTTGTTTTAGGGTTGTTGTTGTTTTTTGGGATTTTTTGTTTGTTTGTTTGTTTTGTTTGCTGGTTGTTGGTTTTTTTGGGGGGAATGCTTGTCTTTGTAGCTCATAGATCCACTTTAATGTGGTACTCCTGACTTTGAAGTACTGATGGGAAGATCTTAATCTTCACTAAGTCTTGGGCTGTGTGATTTTAAAATAGGAGGACTTCTGTTCTTGCCACCAAGAATAGATCTCCAATACCCTTTGACTTTTTAACAGTTCACTATACATATGTGACCTCTCTCTTCCCTTCAACACTTTATTGTTTCTTATATCCTCCACCTTTGTTGTTACGGGTTTGTTTGATTACAGAACTTTGCTTTCATAACTTTTTGTTTCTCATTGCAGTTTTGAATCATGAAAATATCCAGCATGCTCTACAACAAGTGCAGATTACCGAGGCACAGAAAGCAAAGTGAGTCATGTTTGCTTTCCTTTCTATGTATTTTGTTTGCTTTTCATCATGCTTTACTATTGTACCACGTTACCACCATTGTCTTGGTCGAGGTTTTCTTTTCAAGGTGAACATAAGTAACAGTTGGAGTTGGTTGATTTCGGCTTGTAGAATTCTGTTCTTTTGAGAACTTGTACATTGTGATCACCTGTAAGAAGAACAAAACCGTCTCACACAAATTCTTCTTGTACACCAACTTGCAGCCCCTCCGGCAACAACTTTTTCCTTTCGCCCTTTGCCAAAACAACACTCTGTACTATATTGTTAGGGAGATAATTTTTCAAGGAATCTTCCATCTACAACATTGCACTGAGCTGAAAGGCACAAGCCCAACAACAAAATTAGTGAAAGGGTTTTGGTTTGTTTGTTTTTTGTCTTGTTTTAGTGGGTTGCTTGGATAGAGGTCTTTACTTTGAGGGACCTCTGTTTATTTCATATAAATGTCAAAGTTCTTTTCAATCAGATATTTGTCTTTTTCTCTTTCTTTGGTTAATGAAGCAGGTAGTTTATGAGGGCTTAACTTCTTGCCTTTGTTTATTATTATAGTCTGTTTCTGATGAACAGTCACAGTTGTTAGTTGACTTGCCAAATAAGCTATCTTTTGACATACAGTCAAAATTGTCCAAGACAAGCTACCTATTGTTAAGGGGACAAATGGTTGTCTTAGACCGGTGGACGCCTTGGACAGTGTCAATATGTTAAATACAAAAGGTGGGAAATGGTTATTTGTACACAGGGGATTGTCTTGGACAGGTGGCGGGTAGAGTAGGTTCGACTATACTTTAATATCTTGTAGAGTGCCATCAAGTTTTCACTTGACCTCCAGGTACAGTGACCTCCTGGCCCTGGCCGAGGACATCGATGACATGAAGATTGTGCGAGTGCTCCGTGGAAGGAAGGCCTCCAACGCCAGCGGGCTCAGCCCCAAGCACACAAAGAACAAAAAGTCTGCAGAGAGTGACAGCGGGGGCAGCGACTCTTCAGATGTGAGTACATTATGAGCAGAGATATATTTTTCAGGTGTTTTGTCTTCAGGTAACTTGTCTGCAGGGTTCTGTTTGTTGCTACAGTAGTCTACGTCTAAATGCACGGTGCTCGGGAGGGCTCCTTATCGTGTGTTTATACGGAGTGTGCGTTTACATGAACCTTTGCAAAGGGAGGAATGGACGCAGTCATTTCATTGCCTTGATATTTTAGTGACCTCCCTTTGGGGTGGGGGTCACTTTGGCCGATAATGTGACGACACGTGACTGTTTTGTTAAGAATTCTCCGGCTGAGGTTAGGAATACTAAAGGCGTTAAATGGGGTGGGATGGGGGGAGAGAGAAAGACAGACACAATGTAATGAATGCACTATAAAATGTCGGGAACAGATAGCCTAAGAGGAAACTGTTAGAGATAGTCATAGAGGCAACGGCTCAGCCCCATGGCTTCCCAAGCCATAAATTCATGGACAGCAACAAAATTATAGATCTCTACATTCAGAGAAACATTTCTCTTGTGATTCATTGAACAAGTACATTATAAGTCCTTCGAACACAGCTGATTAGGCTAACTTGACTAATCTTAACAATCCTATAGAGGCCTGCCTTGTGTTTTACGGCATTGATGCGTGTCGCGCATCAGGCCTAGGTCTAACTGAACATTACATGCAGTCACCCAAACACCAGTCAGAAACCTTCTCTCAAAGATGCATTCCCACAGTGACCGATCAAAAAACAGGTCAGTCTCCTTCCCCCCCTCCATTTCACCGACCAGCCATAGACCGGGACCTAAACCTGTGTGTCTGTGGAAAGTTGGGTGTGAAAACGCTGTCCATCGCTCTCTTTGTTGGCCATGAGGGGCAGTCTCACCAAATACTCGGTTTTCTAAGTTCGTCTCATGCAAGCTGTGCAGGTGTTAGTGAAAATTTCCCATTGTCAAGCTTTACCTGTCAGTGTGTTTCGCGGATCGGAGCGTGCATTTAGAGGGAGTAACCGTGCGTTTGTACGTCTAAAGCATTTGTACGTCTAAATAATATAGTTTTAAAAACAGGTCAGGTGACGAAAGCGTGTGCTTGAGCAGAGCGTGCTTTTGTATGGCTTACGTTCAGGCGGAGACTACTGTACTATTCTCTGTCTTCTCTTGCTTCTGGTTTTTTTACTTCTGGGGTCTGGTACGAGGATATTTGTGCCGGCCTCAGATTCAAGCCACATCAGAACTTTTTTTCCTCTTTCTTTCCCTTGACTACTCCAATCTTTTTAATTCATTGCAATAATGACATAGCAAATTGCAAAGTTGTGTCCTTTATAGAATTTTTAGAGGTACCACATGAACTTTTCAGACTGAATGTGAGAAATTATGTATTGCCGTATATATGAGCCTTTGCCATGAGGTGGGTACCTAAAATGCAGCACCGAGGGTTGATGATAGCAGTTTTTAATATTTCGTTTTTACTTGAATTTTTCTATTCATGTATATCTCCTCCTACTAAAACATGTATTTTTACAGACCTACAGATGACATGCTAAGCTATGTTACGCCACATTACATAACATCAAGTCAAATTCTTTCGGACATAACTATGATGACACATTTTTTAGAATTTGATCATACAAAATTATTTTAACAGTTGTCTTATTGCTTTAATTTTCAAACATAAGCATGAAGAGCATATAAAATGGTGACGATCACAGAAAAGAGAAATTCTGAATGCCTTTGTGTTTGCATTTGTGTTATCATAGTTATGTCCAAATGAAATGAAAAACTTTCCGTTTTCATATCTTAATTTCTTTTGTGAAAATTTGAGCAAACGATTCAGAAGGTTCAATTTGAATGTTAATGATGAAAAAATGCCACTTTATTTGCATTTTCCTATTAATCTCTGCAAAATATTAAATCTTTCGAACATAACCATGATGACACAAAATGAAAAATACCCTGAAAAGTAATTGATAGAATGTAAAATTATTTTGAAAGTTTTCTAATTGCTTTACTTTTCAAACATAACAATGAAGAGCATATAAAATCACAGAAAAAAGAAATTCTGAATGTCTTTGTGTTCGCAGTAGTGTCATCATAGTTATGTCGAAAAGAAATGAAAAATTTCCATTTTCATATTTTAATTCATTTTTTGACAATTTTGGCAAACAAAGATTCAGGAGATTCAGTTTGACTCATAAGGCATGCTAATGGTGAAAAAATGCCAACTAATTCATGTTTTACTATGCAAAATACCAAATATCTTTCGAACATAACCACGATGACACATAATGGATAAATGCTTGTCTTCATTTTTGAACATATCATCAATTTACATCAAATTTTTCCCTCTGGTTGACATCTAGCCAAGCACATGTGGTCGCATCTAGATCTACAACTACTTGACCATTAGAACACAGTGCAATGTTAATCATTACTTGGTTTAAATTTAATTAAATTTTTCAGACATAACAGCTTTTTTTAAACTTGACATGTTAAGAGTCAATGACGACTTCAATGGATTCGTCTCATCCATCGTTATTCTTCTCGCCGTCTTGCATCGCACAACAATACGCTTTGAATGGATTGACAGGAACAATGCACATTCCACAAGCCCTATTATTTCTCTTTCTGATTGGTTCTTTCGAGCATAACAAATGATGGCTGAGCATGAGGCGTCGCGGGGTTTCCGTTTACTGCAAAATTATGCGCAGTCACAGCTTCGGATTCAGTCAGGACCGAGAGTAAACATTGAACGATATTATGCTCATTCCAGGGCCCCAAAATGGCCAATAGAAATGAAGTCACGTGGAATCGAAGTTACCTTGCGAAAAGACTACGCGAGTTATGCTCAGAAATGAAAATCTAGACGGCTCACAAAGAAAAAATAGCGACAGATATCATTATTCCTGATATAGCACCACAAATAATGTAGTGATAGTAGTTAAAGTGTAGAAGGACGAGTTTCTCAGCAATTATTTCATTGTTGAACTTGATGACAGAAAAAATATGAACTCGACGCGTCACGTTTTGCATTCTAAAAATACATCGATTTCAGAACTAAAAATATTTGTAAGATTTCTTCTGATGGCCCAACTACTATTTCTCTGCTCCCGTAGCTGAAACATCATATTATTTATTAAGACCAACATATACAAATTTCAAAGCTGTAGTACCATTTTTATTGGAATAGGAAAGGATTTTGTATGGTATATGAAAAAAAAACCCTCCTATTGGCAAAGGCTCATATACAGATGAGAAATTTAGTCTGCACACTGCTTTGTCTTTCTGGCTCTTCTGATGCACATTGTACCGTTGTACTTCATTCATTTTGCTTTTATTTAGAAGATTTCTTTACTGCGGAACAGTTCTATATAAGGGAAAGATCTCTTATCCGCAATGATTTGACTCTAAGTCTAAGGTGCATCTGATTCCAATGCAAGCTCCTTTCTGGTATTTATTTTCAGGATGAAATCAAACCTCAGACAAAGAAAAGGAAGAAGATGGCGGCTGCAAATGTGGAAGAAGACAGCGACTGAATAATGCATACATATTTGAATCATTCGTAAATATCCATTGAGTCATTATCACATTTTACTTGTTACTTGTTTTATAAGTCAATATATTATGACCATTCATCTAGGACTTAATGGGCTTATCGCCTCTGTGTTTTCATCAAAGTCACATTTACATATTGTAAAAAGTTTTCATTCAGACACAACTGCAGCAGGTTTACTTCATCATGTACATGTATGTACCACTTTTCATTTGCCACCCCGAGATTTACATGCTATCATTCAGACCAGAATGTTTTTAAAATTGTTCATTGCACGGAGATGAAATGCATAAAAATGAAATGTCATGAAGCAAAACGTGTTTGATTTGTTTTCTTATATTCTTTAACTGTTATTTATAAATGAACTGATCTGTTCTTCGCAGACAGTACAGTAGTCTCCGCCTAAGATCCTGGTGCTTGGGAGGACGGAAAATGTGGGATCTTAGGCAAAGTGGGATCTTACCCGAATGGCCAGGGGGAAGAATCCACAGTAACTCATGGTCAGGTTCATAATCTGTACAATGATCTTCCCTTACTTTAAAATGAACTGACGTGACTCCAGGGCACTTAAAGTTCTTCTCAGAAGTTTGACTTAGTGGATGAGATCGGCTCGGGATGATCGCCCGACTCGTTGGCCTGAAAACAACACGTTTGTTTTTGAGGCAACAAGTCGGGCGCGATCGATTTGTGCCACGATAGCCGTTTTGCGCCATCAGTCTGTCGAGCAAACCGTCCCGACCTGACCTCCCCAATAGTCCTGTTTGGACTGAATCATCTTTTACTTCTTCTAAATCTAGCTAAATCTAGACTCTAGATCTAGATAGGTATAGAGTAAACTCAATCATAAACACGAACTTCTGATTACATAGCTTGCTTGGTTCCGTAGATAGATAGATCTAGTATAAAAATTTGTGAAAGACTTAAAATCTTACACCAGGAGGGTAGATCTAGACGGATCGATTCATCCAGAAAACCACTAAAGGGGTCGTTCAAATATAATCTTATGCCTGGAAAAGGCCTAAATATGGGGGGGGGGGGGGGGGGATGTCTTGACTCCTGTATAAGAAAGGGGGGTTCCTGAACCAATGTAATATTACACTTTTGTCAGGTGAAAAAATAAGTAGAAAAATAATTTATGATAACATAAATTTTTTTTAACGAAACATGACTTAAAAAAGAGTAAACTCTGCTATTCGCTTAGATGTTTTTCCTGAAAAGTTCCTCTTATACCATATTTAATTATTATGTCATGTGTGTATGCATGTTTTTCATGAATACTATTATGTAAAAGTAAAGCGCATAGACCAATGATTGTAAAACAGATTTGCGCAATATAAATGTCATATTATTTATAAGCGAATAAATATTAGTATTACGGGATTTGGTGGGGGGGGGGGGGGAGGAAAATGTAAGAAAGGTGTGGGAAGGGGGGGGGGGCAAAAAAACCCCAAAAAGGTGTAGGATTATATTTGAACAGCCCCAAAACCACGCTGGTCACACCTGCCCAACGTCAGCGGGAGTTTAAGTTTAAGGACCTGACACATGTACACTATGCAACTTCCATGCAGTTGGGTTGGGGTTTTTTTGGTACGGTAGACATTCACATTTAATTTTTGATTTTGAGCTAACAAAACTCACGTGGGTTACTTTGATTGCAATGAGAATACTACAATGTATTCCATTACTTCCATGACATTTTAGCTATACATGTCTTGCAACTTTTGTTGATTTTTCTTACAACTTTTTGCAACTTTTGCTATTTTCAAATGCAACTTTCTCTGAGGACAGATTTTAAAAAAAAAAATAAAATGAAAGGCAGGTTCACTGCCAGCAGATGATCCCTTTACGCAGCGGCGATCGGACTGTCCACGAGTATGGGCGACAGTCTGTCAAGGAAGTTAGAGCACAAAACTGAAAGACGAGAGCGATGGTCGGGAAAACGTAAGCGTCCTCGAGTTCATAGTTTGATGGAATGCAGTCTGACGCTTGCTTGTAGGCCCTCCATACCTTGTGTGTGATGTAAGATCAGGCGGACAGCTCAGGTGATTGGGGAAAGCAAGGCATTTATGAGTTCACTCCTTGGTGCGATCCCGTCTGGGGCGAACATTGTAAACGCTTACGGAGATGTGATTGCATTCATGAAATCGAGAGTGAATGATCCATGACGCAACGGACCGTACAATGATTGCACATTTTCGCTACTTGGTTGATGAGCTGAGCGCGCCCAGGTTCCTTTTTCTTTTTTCTTAATTCTTAATTAAATACAGGAGAAAAATAACCAAAAGTGGGATCTTAGCCGAATGTTGATCCTTCAGTGCGGGATCTTAGGGGTGACTATCATATAGTAAAAATTCTGTTTTTCCAAAACAGCAGGATCTTGGGCGAACCGGGACCATAAGCCGTGGGATATTAGGCGGAGACTACTGTATTGCCCGTGTTTTTCAAGCTTGTAAAGGGAAAATTACATGGGCGTAGGGATTGAAGTGTCTGCTTACAACTCATATATATGCAAGTTTGAACATGGGTTGATCCAGCTGAATGACGGTGGATTTTTGGTTTTCTATGAACACAATGATGCTTTGTCTGACTCAATGTGGAGGGCTGACTCGACCAACAACTCTCTGTTACAGAAATTTTGACAGGTGCGAAGTATTTGTACATGTTGAGCAAAGCCGTGTGCCACAACACAGCTTTCTCCCCCATAGGCACAATGGACACAGTTTACATAATATATTGTGACATCAGGCATGTTTTTCTTTTGTAACCCCCCCCTAAATTTTACTAGGTTGAACATGGACATTACAGGATCATGCAAGATTAAGAAATGGTTTTGTCATAAAGGGCATATGTCAGGTTCTATAAATACTGTGCTAATTAGCAAGTAATAAATGCTGTCGCTTCAAAATGATAGCAAGTAGTAAGTGGTTGGCGGGTGCTCTGGTGTGGCTTGTTCCTTCTTTCCTATCAAACATCTATCGTCCTTTTCTCTCCGCCTCCTTTCTTTGTATGTTGCTGTTACTCTCTAGTAAAAACTCTAATCTTCGGCAATTTTTATGTTGCAAGTGCAAGATCAGCTCTTACCAAAAAGTGATAGTCAGGAAACATGTTCATGTGGCAAATGAATAGAGTCAACCACTTGGTCTGCACCGCCAACTTATCCAACCATAAAATATATAGTTTATAGTTTCTACCTGCTCTACACTAATATCTTTCTCCCCGTCTTGTTCACCTGGAGCCTGTCGCTTAGAAAAATGAATGCATGTTGTAATGTGTGGGACCAGAAGTGAAAAGCTAAGACTATTATAATAGTATTCAAATGTATGTGGTCAAGTCAGAAAAAAGAGCATCTTGCCCTTGGGTTTGATTATGTTTACCACCACATGAACATAATTGTTGTACTCGTTTGTTGGAATACAGTACATGTAGACAGTTTGAACGAGTTGTTTTCTTCCTGTGATGGGAAGTTTTGACAAGATTAGACCCTTACACTTACAGTGAACCATATGTGTCACGACGCGGTGGAATCAGGCGCTCGTCAATTTTTGGGTATATGGAGTTATTGGTATGATCTTAAAGGTTTTTCATTTGCCTTGCTTTCGGTTTCTTAAAAAACCATTTAAATTTATCTTGAATAGAAGTCGAGATATTTGCGATTGAAAGATGTGGGGTCACCTGCTTTCAGAAGTAAAATTTGCGAGAAAATGGCCGCCCAAGTTTGGTGACTTCCATAGATTTAGAAACCTTGGAAACTGCATATTTACTTTTTTGTACCTTTTATCAATGTTTTCCATAAAATCCACACTTAAAAGTAAAAGTGTTTTTGAATGGATATGCAAGGTGTTGAGCCAAAAAGAAAAAAATTTAATGTCCAGACTGGCCAAAAAATGCCTGATTTCTTGGATTTAATTATTTTGACGAGCGCCTGATTTCACAACGATGTCTCACATATATGGTTTTTTTAGATTTCCATAAATTACCTGGTGCCATCTAGCATCCATTCCATATATGCATGTCAGTGTTTACATAAAAGAACTTCGCCACTCATAGTCAAAGGGTATGTGAAGCTACTAGTGCATTGTAAACCAAACCCACAAAGAAATAAAAATCTGGTTTTCACTGTTTCAGGAGGATATAGAAAAGTGATTGTCAGAGTAGTCAGACAAACAATTTTATCGAACTTGTGAATGTCTTTTCCATAATTGTGTTTCATGCGTTTTGTTAGGATTTTTCACATACTAGGATCAGGGTAGTGTCTTTCTAAACACAGCTTAGCGTGCTCCTTCAGCTGATCACCGCGCCCCTTTTTTTAAGCACTATTTGGGTACCATTGTGAGAGTTTGACCGTGGACTAATTGAGACATAACCAGCTTTTTATAGGTAGAACCCACAGGTACACAGTGATGTGTGGATTTGAGACTCAACAAATTCAGATGTACGCCATGCTCTTATTGATGACCAACGGATCAACTATAAATAATACTGATACCAGTAACCTGCCACAAACACACAAACACTTTGCACATACCCCAAGCTCAGCACATCTTGGATCCTAAAATGAAAAAGCTCCATTTTGCTATGTATATATATATATAGTGGAAACCTGATATAACAGGGACGGTGGGACCAAAGAAAAAGTCCTGTTAAATCAGAAATGCAGTGGAAGTAAGTATTTGTGGACTAATCCAGCTGTATTTAATCATGGGTAGTTTCCCTTGCCACAAGTACCCATGAACAGCACACTGAGTGGTCATGTGGTAGGCCAGTGAAAAGACACATTATGCGTGCGCGTAGCGAGGCTTGGGGCTAGATCGAAGTCTGCAGCACACCACAGCCCTCTCTCGCTTCATCCACTGCGTATGGTTGCAGTGGCGTGGCTTGTGTACTCTCTCTCTCTCCCTCCCTCCCTCCCTCCCTCTCTTTCTCTCTCTCTCCCTCCCTCCCTCTCTCTCTCTCTCTCTCTCTCTCTCCATTGTTAACAAGCCTTTGTCCCTGCTATATCCGATTGAGCTCCGATGGGGCCGTTATTGCCTATAATAACTTTTAGTAGAGACACAGAGTAGAAAAAAACGGGGACTTAAAAAATCCCTGTTACATGTATTACCGGTCCTGTTATATGCCGTTTCCACTGTATCATTCTTTGGATGTAGGTGGAACATTTGAACTCAGTCCTAAGACATAAAGATGGTAAGTTGTATAAAGGTCGGCAGCTGTGAACAAAACGGGACAACAAATGCAATAAAAGGAAAAGCAAATTTTATTTCTTAAAATCCACACTCAAACTTTGAATGCCATTCTTTTATTTTTTCCCACATCCTGGAGCCTTGACCTTGACTACAAAGATCAAGATTTGAAAGCACTTCAATCAATGAATTATTAAAGAATTAACAGATATACATTAAAAAAAAGGTAATGCAGTTTGATATGATACTTCTACACAGACCATAGTACATCCGATTCCTGATCTGTAGGTCTCTGCAGACCCTGTGGCTGTAGGGCAATGATGTGAATTCTCATGGAGGGAGGTGGGTTTGTTTGTTTTTTTACATTACCACCAATTTGTAACCTCTATTGATTCAAACGATACTAATAGTAGGCCTACTATAAAAGTTGTTGCTTAGAACTTGGCGAGATGGGTGAGCATTAAATACAACTGCAAACCTTTTCATGAGGTTAGATATTTTTTATATATATATATATATATATATATATATATACAATTTTTTTTCAAACGGCAGACTTATAAAAATTTTAATTACGAGCAGCAACAAGAAACCCGAGACTTTCAATGCAGAACACGTGTGCATCTGAAGAGCATGAAGTGTTGCCAGATATCTGCAACAAACACAAATAAATAAAAGGCATATTTCGTGTCAGTAAAGAGTTAGCTAGTACTAGTACTTGCAGATGTCTTGTTTAGGTAGGCCTACTTGGGTTTTTACCTCTTTCAGCCCTGGTCTGATTTTAAAGAGTTGAATCTTTTTGGCTGGCAATACTGACATGTCAAAGATAGAGGTTTTTTTAAAAATCTCCAATTTCAGAACAAACCAGTCGGCTTCAGATCTATGAAATCAAGTACGCTAACACTACTTTCACTAACAATGTAAAAGCAACATCAGCATTTTTCCAAATTTCTCATGGATCAATAAAGTTTTTCTCAAATTATTAGTATTAGTAGAAAGTCCCGAGTCTCTTGTTCTGGGAGACACAAGTACTTGCTTGTTTTCACAACAAAAACTGGCACATGACATTTCGGCAATAACTCAATTATAATTTATTGACGAGTAGACAAATAAAAATTACAAACACACAATGATGTGTAGGACCCACCACTGGAATATTCAATGCACACTACTACCAGTTTTTACTTAAACAGCCACCCAAAGTAGTTCAGCTACTGCCATACACTCACACAATCAGTCTGCATGGGGGGGGGAGGGGGGGTGTGAAACAATTTCAGACAAAAAGCACCAGTTCATAAGGCATCTACGTTTACATACTTTTTCCATTGCTTTTTGTCCATGGCAGTGCTATGTGATTAGTACTAAGAAAGCAGATTTTTCAATTATTTCAACGTAATACAGTCAAACCTCGTACCGCCAGCCCTGCTTACCGGTACCACCAGATTTTGCCAATGTTTGAAAATTCAACGCCCTATATAAACATAGTACAGTATAACATGGATAGGTCAAACACAGAGGACTCGAAATCACGCATCCGCCTAGGTAGCGTAAACACGGCCTCGCGGGCACTCATGGCCTTCCGACCGCGTGGTATCGGTGAAATCGGGGTAATTCCGATCGCTGTTTCTTTGCTCTTTCGCAATAAAACACCAAGCGCCGTACACCTTGTAAAAGTTCAGCTTTTCCTCGTTACAATGGTGTAAGTTGTTTTTATGTCCGATTAGTAGGAGCTGGAGAATCGCCGACGAAAGCGAAGCCCCTCGCGGTCGGAATGCGTGGTCGGCCGGTTGAAAAATTGACACGGGTGCATTCAAATGCTTCGTGGAACGAGGAATGATTAAATACCGTCTTTTCATTGGCGGAGAACTGTAGAGCTCTAAACGGGCTTTCCCGTGATATGTGTTTTGCCTTTGGCGTCTAAATAGAAAGCTTTTAAAAATACTGTCAAAATGTTTAAAGATCTCTTTTTACCCCTAATATGTAAAAATACCGGCTTAAAAAATAAATTTAATAAAAGATCAGCTTATTTCCTATTAGAATAAAGTAATCAGTTTGGAATTATTTTTCATCAATCCTTCCGCGAGACTCAGAAAGCATGTGACCCCGCACGCGAGGTACACTACAGTATAGAGCCGACTCGCTCGCCGCGGGGCCCGGTGCGGCGCCGGCCGGGTCAACGTTTGGTGTTTTTGTCGAAATAACGACAGATCTAGCTTACGATTATTATCGTTTATATTGCTGCTCATTTATATTATGTATGTGATTGTAAGCCTACTTGTGTGTGCATGTGCGTGCACGTGTGTGTGTGTTTGTGTGTGTGTGCGTGTGTGTGCGTGTACTCGTGGTGGAACACCAAACCAATGTGCCAGGATCTGGACAATAAAGATGTATCTTATCTTATCTTATCTTATCATCGTGTTTGAGGCAATAAAGTACTGATTTGTAATGATCTCAGTCTTGAAAAAAATTATGCTCCATATATTTGTTATAGTGATTGTACTCTGTTAATGTGGAGATGTTTAGTGCTCTTGGTACTTTTTTATTGTCTGTCAAACATGGGGTTGCAGCCAGTGACTGACTTTAACAAATTTGATCAAATTTTAAACAACTACCATTTTCTTAAAAATTGACCGAGAGGTTAACGAATGGTACCAAAATGCTCAGTGGATATAAGCCTTTCAAATGGAACTGATAAATTTGGCATAAAACTACTTTGAAAATTTAGTTTCTGGTACCTAATCCGCCAAACTGTGCCTGCAGTCCCATTTTTTTCTTCTTCTTTAGTTTTGTAAGATCTCCCTCTAACTACAGATCCATCGAACTACCGAGGCTGGTCCCAACGAATTCGAGCTATCCATGTTACACTGTACTTAGTACCTGTGCCTTCACACTGCCATCCGCTGTCTGTTTTGTAGGGAACTTACCAATTTGCCCCATTCTATCACCAGCAAACTGGCAACCTACCTACACAGTATATGTCACACAGCACCCATCATTGGCTGCTTGATAATCTCTTTCCCACACACGTCTCTGTGAGTTCAGCCTATTTCTAGCGGTTTTTTGCCGATTTATGAAAATACTATTATTTTTAATAAGCTTTGGAAAAAAAAAATTTCTTTAAAAACTTTTAATGAAATTTTAAAGTCGCCTGCAAAACCACCAAAAGAACTGCGCCACCTCTGCCTGTCGGCAAAAAAAATTGGCATCGCCAGATATCCGCCCTGGCACGCACCAGTGAGGTTTTTTGTATTGTGAGGAATCAGGCTCAAGTCTTAGTGAAAGGTCTGAGACGGTCCTGGTCCAAGCACTGATGAGTATCATGTAAAAAAAAAAAAAACACCAAAAAATTGTACATCTACAGGGTCTTTAACTCATTCGCTACGCCGAGCCGTGGAGGGCGGCGCGGCTCAAGTGCCGTCAGTACGTTAAGCCGCCCCCGGCGGCTCGAGAACCGACGTTCAATTTTAGCTTGGTTTCTATTCCAATCCACTTATCCATGTTAAAATAAAGGTCATAATATAATGTTGACTTCCGGGTCAAGCGTTTCCACCGAAAATCGGAAGTTTTGATTCAGTTTTGAAACATGATTTCGTAGTTTATTCGACTTTGTTTTATCGCGAAGCCCAAATTATATCCCAGAAACCAGTCTTAGTACTTTTACACAACAAAATGTATAATTATTTTGCTCACTAAAGAAGTGTAGGTCTCTTCTTTATAATATTGATACTATTGGACGCAAATTGCCGGTGCATTGTAATTGAGAAATCAATATTTTTGAGTGCTAGATCTAGGCCTAGATCTAAATAGTCAAAATGTCTTTTTCTCCCCAAAATCACTACTTTTGGGTGAAATATATCAAAAAGTACCACTCAAGACATGTATAGGTTTATTTCAAATGCAATTCTGAATAATTCCATATAAGTTACGCATATTTTTTTCTGTTTGTGATCCTTTTTCCAAAATTATTTAAAAAATTTTTTTTTTTCAATATCGGATGTTATGATCCAAATGTACAAATATTATGGAATGTATGTAAATAACTGCACATTTTTCAATATTTTCCTGTTCTATATACAGTTATGGTTATTTTGAGGTATCATTTGACTAGGTGCAAACATGTTTTTTTAGTTTCACCTGAGATTATTTTTTTTTTTTTTTTCCAATTTTATCCGCATCCAATCACAATTGTGTTGCATAATCGCCTCTTACAGGAACCAAAGTTGAAAAATACGAAAAATAAATAATGCAGGTGTATTCTACAAACCATACTGAAAATGTTGGTATATAATATGTTGATATTTATTTGAATTTATGGCCCCCAAGACCTGTGAACTGCGCACTAGTCATCATCTCATTTCGCCCTCCCGAAAAGAATTCGTCCACAAGCCGAAAATAATACGTAGCGAATGAGTTAAAATATATAGATTAGCTTATGATCTGGCAGATCTGAATTAACGTAAAGGGTAAAGGTCAACTGAAGCTGCACATGTAACTAGTTGCTACTCGTTTTTTCCCTGCGAATTGCAATCTCAGGAGCCAGATCGACTCACAGTTAGTTTGTCTCTGGTCTCTACCAGTCTGCCACGAATCAAGTTGGCAATCGGTGCTATCCTGTTATACCACCAGCCCTGATGTACCACGGACTTCATGCTTGTTCATAGGTAGGCCGTATCACGGGGTTTGACTGTAATTCACCATAGAGAGCATAACTTCAGTTCAACCAAAGCAAGATTTAAAGATATATACTTCATTAATCTTCCTTTTTGAAGAAAAGAACAATAATAATGACACGTTTGTAGCAATCTGTCCTGTAAACTACAACTACAATTTCAATACCTGGTTCATTTCTTCACGCATAATTAAACACATCTTTTTACTATAGGCCTAACTGCTATAAATGTCTTCGTCTCACTTGCATTTTCAACAAACCTTTAAATGAAAGAAAACCTTTGATTTAACTAATATTTCTAATTTTAAAAACTTTCACCAGAAACTATTAATGCAGGCCACCCTGACAGATCATTCAGAAGTTCTAGGAAGCACTTATCCACACATATAAGGGCTTTGAATTTAAAGCAGCTCTAAAAGGGAAGGGAACGGAGGAGAAAAAAGAGATGAACTTTACTCAATACGCAGAAAGTAAGAAGTTTTCCCCCTACTCTAACATTATTTTACAAAATACAAGTACCACAGTACTCAAAAAGTACTTGCAGAATCTTGTAAAAAGTATTTATCTAACACATAATCAAAACTTTAAATTAAAGGACACATGGGTGGTTGTTACAATGCCATTCAACAGTGGCACTTCATTTTAAACAGCATTTCCCTGAGGCAAAAATTGACTAAAATAATAGAGGCAATTATGCATCATCCTGGATCATTGATCAGCAATCATTGTCATGGGAAGAAAATCATATAAAAATTTGTCAATATTAATCTTAAATTAAAAAGAATACGGTAGTCTCCACTTAAGACCCCAAATTCCTAAAACCTGTTCACTTGAAATCACATTAAGCTTTTACCCCCCTAAAAAGTATCTCCTTAGATTCTGCTTTTGACTGATCAAAATTTTCTATAGAGAGAGAAAAACATGAGAGCCTCTGCACTGCTGAACCAACGTCTCTCAGATTCACAAAAGTTTCCACTTCACTAAATACTGTGACCCCACATTGCTGTGCCCCAATTGCCTTACCCAATGTGAAGCTCTGAAATTCACTTGGCACAGTGGTGTAACTTTTTACTCTGACAAATGCCTTAATAATGCCCACAGGTCAACTACCTCAATGCTGGAATGTTAGAGACTTTATGGGAGAACGTGGAGAAGGGAGGAAAGAAGAATAGCAGAAAATAATTTTGCCCTCGTTAAAGTGGTACCCCAAGTAGCTCTTTGTAATCCAGATGAGACTGAGACCATATTCACTTTACATCCTCCATTTTGATAATTCTTGAAAACTGGAACCTTTGAGGTGATAACTGTTGTGTAGATCTGTGATATAACAATTGATGCTGTCTTAATGTATCACAGTACAGCCAAGTCTACCCATTGGATTTATCTACATATTCTCTTCCTGTTCATCAACTGAAGAGAGGTTTGAGAGAGTGATGGACTTGGCGTTGGGGCAGTTGGTCTGGATCACACTGAGTGCGTACGGATGAACACGAGTGCAGTCTAAGTTCAAGAGCTGAAGGTATGGCACCTTGAGTTCTGCTATTCCTATGAAAACAAGATAAACAGTAATTTCAGTTTTTTTGTTTCCTTTTAAAGCTGTCATATAAAATGATTTTTACAAAGGAATAAGTAGAACTACATCATGTGGGGGGAAAAAGGGGGAGGGGCACTACAAATAAACACCAATCTCTAATCAACAGGACAGCTTCAATGGGTTTCACATATTCTTCTGTTAAAAAATGAAAGAAAACAAAAATCCACTTAGAAACTAAAATTGATGCTTTTAGACTATCAATCTAAGGGTGCCCCCCCACCCCCACCAAGGGTGCCCCCACCCCTTCCTTTCCACGCTGAGGTAATCCCATAAAGTGAATAAATTAACTTACTCTGTAACCTCCGCTGTTACCACCATTTAAACATTTTTTTTTGGCTAATACATGCAAAACGGTGAGTCCAAAGAGAATACATTATACTGAGATTTTACTGTCATCGATTTCAAAATTTTAACTGCATGAAAGAAATACACATTGTAATATTGTAATACAGAAATTATTTTACGGTAACCAAAAATAAAGTATATCAAATTAAAAAACTGCGAAGACTGATTGCAAAGACTGGTATCAACGACCAGGTGTTTAAAAAGTTTAAACTGTACTAAGCATAAGATTAAAATTAACTGTCAATGGACATTTGTACATACCTTTGTCACCAATGATAGTTCTGCTTAAATTCAACTTGGTAAGGTTTAAACATTTGTTCAGAATTCCTTGCTTCAGAAAGTCACCTGTCACACTGACCAGAAAGGACAAAAATTGACAGCATTATGATTTTGACAATTGGCAAATCCTGTCAATTGAAGTTATTCACAATTCTGAAATCTATCAACACTATTTTAATTTACTGAGGATAAAAAAGGAGTAATCTCAATCTTTTCAGCTCTACAGAGGGACTGTCACAGACAATCTTTCAAAATTTATCGTCTTTTTTAATCTACAATAACAATAAAATAGGTGGCACGCATGATAAGTTACTTTCCCTAACCATAAAATGAGTGAAGAACATTATATCATCAAAGCACTACCATAATAGAGTATGTCTAACTTAACCTGAATTCAAACTGAACTAACATGGCATTCATATACAATGACATTCCACCTATTCATAAAACTAGGTACCCCACACCCCCGCCTCTGCGCAGTTGAAAGCGTGTAGGAAGCTCGAAATTTGATCATTTTTAATCAATCATAATTCATCTCCTTTGACACCAATCTTCACCCCGTTTCAAACTAAGTCAGTCCAACTATTGTTTTTAGCTAAAAATCAAACTATTGTGAACGGCACGGAACGATATATTGTATAGTAAGCTATCTAAAAAGATCACCAAAATGCTCGGGAATGCGCTTTCCGCGTCCATTTTCATGCCGGTTGTTGACCAAGAAATATGGGGAGTTTTGGAACCTATTTTTAGAATGGAAATCTCAAAGTCTGACCAACGATTGGTCGAAAGCGGAAGCTTCTGCCCAATTTTATATTTTTGGAAAATAATCATCGTTTTGAAACGAAAATGGGCTCTGCCCGGGCGGGAGCTTCTGCCCAGTTTTGTATTTTTGATTAAAAAATCGTTTTAAGATTCTTTCCAATTAAAAAAAAGGAATTAGAATTAGGGAGTTTTTGTGTGTGTTAGTGTATCTGATCTGTCATTGTTGAATATTTACTTTATTAATAATTAATGCCTCATTTTATCACAGATTTGATTGCAGAAATGGATTCCTGGCCCAAAAACACATTCAAAAACAGAAAAAGAGTACAGTAGCCATTTGACATCATGTTCAAGAATGTCTGAAATACAGTAAAAGACATTCATACTATGAGACACGATGCAGTGGAATCAGGTGTCCGTCATATTTTTCGGCATATAGAGTTATTGGTATCATTTAATAGGTTGTTCATTTGCCTTGCTTTCCATGAAAAAATTATCCATTTATCTTGAATAGAAGTCAAGATATTTGCGATTGAAGGAGGTGGGGTCGGCTGGTTTCAGAGGTAAAATTAGCTAGAAAATGGCCGCCAAAGTTTGGTGACTTCCATAGCTTAAGAGTCTTTGGAAACTGCAAATTAAAATTTGTTGTGCTTTTAATCAACGTTTTTCCATAAAATCCACACATAAAGGTGTTTTTGAATAGCCATACAAGGTGTTGCACCAAAAAACAAAAATTTGACAAAAATTTCCAAGCTGCCCGAAAAATGCCGCCGATTTCTTTAATTATTTTGACAAGCGCTTGATTTCACCACGAGGCCTCACCTATTTTGATTTTAACAACAAAAAAGTCATTTACCTTGTACCAGACAAACTGAGTTCAGTCAAATTCTTGAAATCTGAGAAATTACAACAAAGTGAGAGTGATTAACAAGTAACATGAATTAAAAACTTTTTTTTGGAACAAAATGTAGATGAGAAAATTCAAGAACCACAGGCACAATATAATGTTTCCACAGAACCATACTACCTCCATTGGTGAGAAGAATATTTTCACAACAGTAGTCTTCACCTAGACGCATGCCACACAAAAGCACGCTCCGCTCAAACGCATGCTTTCATCACTTGACAGGTTTTTTTTACAAGTATACAATTTAGACGTAAAAACACGCGGTCAGTTCTTCTAAACGCATGCTTCGATTCGCGAAACACGCTGACAGGTAAAGCTTGACAGGGAAATTTTCACTGCAGCCTCCACAGCTTCAATTTAATAAGACAAGCCTAGACACCTAGACAACAGGACAGCCTACCTGTATTTAGCCAGACTGACCCTCACGCAGAACAAAGAGAGATAGAGTTTTCACGCCCAACTTTCCACGGACGCATACGTCTAGGACTGGTCAGGTGATATGATGGGCAGGGGAGGATGGACTGAAATGTCTTCTGATTGGTCACTCAAAATGAGTCTTTGAGAGTAGGTTTCTGAATGGTCTTTTAGTGTCAGCATTTGTAATGTTTAGTTAGATATATAACGCGCAACACACTTGAAAGCTGTAAAACACTAGATAGGCCTCTTATAAAAGTTTAGTAAAGTAATCAACTGTGCTCGAAGAACTTATAATGTACTTGTTCAACAAATCACAAGAAAAAAGTCTGATGTCATCCATGCATTTACCGAATTGCAATAGATGACTACAGTCGGGATTGGTCCCTTGGAATTGGAAAGCCGCATGGCTGAGAGCTTTTCCCTATATGACTAGATCAATCATGAACAGTTTTCTCTTATCTGCTCCCGACATTTTATAGTGCATATCAGTACAGTGAGTCCGTTTTTTGCACCTATTGACATGCCAAATGACTTGATGTTCCAGAAACAAAACAAGAAATACTTACTGGCCACAACACTTGCCCCAGCACCTGTGACCAGAGTACGGTCCAGAAACAATACCTCCAAATGTACAAGATCTGTCAAATACAAAAAGAGGTTGTGCAAAATAATTACAGTGGAAGTTCCTTATTAAAAGATACACTACTCATATTCCCATTCACCTCAATTATACATAAAAATTTTACATAATAGCTGTTGAGAAAATAATTATATAACACTTTGAACAATAAAATTACCTTTTAAGCGAGAACAAAGGTATGCTTCCTCAGAAATCTTCATGGAATACTTTTTCCATACGGGACCCCTGTAAGTAAGATCACAAAGACTCTTCTAGGGTCTCCCTAAATGAGCTATATGTGTCACGATGCAGTGGAATCAGGCGCTCGTCAATTTTGAGACATATGGAGTTATTGGTATCACCTTAACACATTACACCCTAAGGGCCTGGACGGGAAGTCCATTGTTAGATCCTAAGCAAGGGGAAAGAACCCACCTCCCGTGAATACAAGCCTTTAAAAAACACATTTTAAAAATACTAAACAGATTCCCCAAATCCTGAAAAAATAAAACTTAAGAAGAAAACTGAATGTGGTTTCAGAAAAATATAACTTAATGTATGCGCAAACTGTTGGAAATGTTTTAACTTTAATTCAATCGGGGTGTCCGACCCGTCACTCTCACTCTCAGCCTCGCGGTCGGGCCCTAGAATCTAGATCTAAATTCTAGATTTTCTCCGTCTAATCAATCGGAATCGCCCCAAACTCTTCCTACAACGTTTTCATCAAAATCTGAGCCATCTGATTTGTCACATGTTCGTTTTTGCTCAAATCCATCGTTATTTCCGTTTTCGAACTCGATTGTGTCGCTTTTCAACAAGTCGAGACACTTTCGAAGTGTCGGTAACGCGATCGCACTTCGATCAGCTCTAATACTAAAACTACTAGCCTGAAAAATTTCGTTTCGGTATTAAGCATGGGCGAAGTCAAGTCGAGATTCGGAATTCGACGAATTCGTGGGGTCTGAGTCGGAGATCGAACATTGGGCAGGAGGACGAGTCCGAACACGAATTCCCGAACTAGGGCAGCCAAGGGGAAAATAGATCACGAGGAGCGAAAACATATTTAATTTGTTTAAAACTGTGAATAATTTTACGTAAAACTGCACCCAAGAAACATTTTTGGACGCTCAAAATTTAGATTTACCAATAAATGAATAAAAATGCATAAGTATCATAAAACACGATGTCTGATATCTATTTCCCCTCGCTGTGTGCAGAAGGAAGCGGCGAGTTCGAATTGGACCGTCCCACGATTCCATCGACTCAATGAAAGTCACATGAGCCTTTTAGAACGCGCTGATTCGCTAGCAGTTACAAATCCCTTCTGCTGGTGGTTATGCCCTAAGAGGCCAAGGTCAACTTTACGCACTACGGTGACGGACGAGCATTGCATCTCTGGTTGGACCAATCACAATTGCAAGCCATCTTCACGTCAAATTCAAATCCCGTGATTATCCCAGCCTCCTTCTTTCTTTGGCTTTCACTGCGATCACACACATTTCACTGCTTTTCTTCTCTTCATTGTACTATCTACATGTATTTTCTTACGACCTGTCTGGCACTTACATTTACATTGTCACATTTCTTGTCTCTTTTGCATTACTCCATGTTTGTTTTCAACCTTGTATGTTTCATCTTGTCATAATAAATGTTGATTATGATATAGATCTAGATCTAGATCTATTACTGTTATTTTTTATAAACTTCTGTCTTGCTGACTGTTGCTTTGATTAATGCATGGTCTGACTTTAGAGTTCGAGACTGCTGGATTTTATGCTTTGATTTTTATTATGACCTGTTTGCATCCATTATCCTCGCACATGAAAGCGGCTGTACTGTCAACGAGGGGCAAATAACTTTCAAAACAAACTGGTGCCCTCCCCTGATGTCAATGAAAACATTGCCTGCCTCAATCCCGACCTCTGTGACCTCTTCCCTGCTCCTTCCCCCTCCCCCTCCCCGCCCCCTTTGTCTACACCGGTCCGTGGCGTCGGGATTTTCTACAGCGTGTTCGACTCGACGGCTGTAGGGAGAACGACTTGACTTGACTTGACTTGACACGAATCCCACCGAATTGACCTTGCCTCTCCTCAAATTTGATTGGCTGCTATCTTGACCTGAATTCGAATTCAGAGTCGAAGTCGACGAATTCGCGCCCAAAAATGTTCGGAGTCGAAAGTTCTCGGAGTCGGCCCACCCTTATTAGGTATCAAACGAAAGAAGAAACTTTTTGCTATACTATGCAAATCAAAATCCGGCCCCAAAGTCTCGTCAAGGCGAGACTTTCGTTTCTAAAGACGCTGGGCCGGCGCGGGCGGTTCCGGGCGAGTCAGGGTGGAGCGCGTAAGGGAATTCCCGGGCGATCCCGGGCGAGTTAGGGTGTAATGTGTTAAAGCTTGTCCACTTGCCCTGCTTTTGACGAAAAAAATATCCATTTATCTTGGATACAAGTCAAGATATTGGCGATTCAAGGAGACGGGGGTCGCCTGGTATCAGAGGTAAGAATTAGCGAGAAAATGGCCACCAAAGTTGAGTTACTTCCTTAGCTTGAGAGTCCAGGGAAGTTGAAAATTTACATCTTTTATGCCTTTAACTCTATCCGTACATTGTGTTTTACTGTCGTGTCAAAACGATGTGGGGAACTCTGTGTCACCACTTCCAAAGACGAAATTTACTCGTTAATCCGATCCGTACATTTTGCATAGCAGTCTGTCAAAAACATTTTTTGGGGGGAAAAAAATTAAAGTTTCAAAGAGATCTTCGTACTAGAAGTATTCTAAAATGTGAAGAATACAACCCCAGGGGTACAAAATGACCCCAGGGCGTACGGATAGGGTTAATCAACGTTTTTCAGTACAATCCACACAAAAATGTGTTCTTTAAGGGGCACGAAAGGTGTTGAGCCAAAAAACAAAAATTCAATAAAAATTCCCAAACCTGCAGAAAAATGCCAGTTTCTCGATTTTCATTATTTTGACGAGCACCTGATTTCACCATGTTGCCTCACAAATGTCCTTTTTCGCGAAAGCAAAGGTATGTTTCCTCAGAAATCTTCATGGAACACTAGTTTCCATAAAGAGCCCACTGTAAGTGAGATCACAAAGACTTTTCTTGGGTCTCCCTAAATGAGCAATATATTTCAAGAAAAATACACCCCTCACAGTCCTGGTTCAAACATGTCCGCTTGCATAAAGCAGGCAAACCCATAATACATCAAACCAAGAGACACAGATATGTTAAACACAAGAATATCTGCTCACAAAGAGATGATAACAACTTCTCACTATTCATCGTAAAACTTCATACTGTCCAGTACATAGTTTAACTTTATCAAAAATTTGTTAAAAAGACCTTAGTCACAACAACTGTAAGTGAATATGAAATATTTCTCTGCTTCATCAAAAGCAGACAATATACAAAAACAAAACCCTGGCACAGAAAGAAGGAACCTTACCTTTCAAATGTAGTACTCCTTCATCTGACACTTTGGTATTGGTGAGAAGTAATTTTTTCAGGCTGTGGGTACAAAATTGAAATTTTATTCAGATACAATGGTATCAATATAAGGTGCTTACTTATGCAAGTTTTCCCTTATCAAATTCTTTAGCGACTAAGCTTTGTTTAAAAAAAAGTAGAACAAGTATATCACTTGATCCTTAAGACAGAATTCCAAGTGCAGACATAATAATATAAGGCTCATCAAACACTAAAATCACATTGAAAAATAAAAGTGACAGGATTTCCCCTTTCTGTATTTGGACATGAAGCATTCTGTCTCACCTGATTATCTTACCAACATGCACCATTCCCTCATTGCTGATGTTAGTGTAATTTGTCAAGTCAAGGGTGCTAAGGTGAAATCCTGAAAAGAAAAATAAAGTAAGACAGGATTTTTTAAAAAGCAATAAATAATTGAAAGAACACACAGAATTCAAATACGACAACATTTCATTGACACAAATTTTAAACCTCTTGACACACTTGCATACTATCTCTACCCAAATTAAAAACATCTCACTCAGAAAGGCATTCCCCCCCCCCTCAAACCCATCACAACCACTTCCACAAACAGAGCAGTTAAGATGTCTCAAAACTATGTCCACTTCGAATTTGCTTCATCTCATTTCTGCAGATAGTATGAAAATCATCCTAAACTTTGTTAAACTTTAGCTATTTCAATATCCTTTACATAAATTGAAGGATATTTTTTCTTGCACTTCTCTAAAACAGCAACAATGAATAAAGATTTGTCAATATTGACATATTTCGGTTTCCTTTAGTTCACTCATGACAACGTAGATAGAAAAGACGTAGGTATATAAATGCAATCTATGGCCACTTTTTACACATCCCCACTATATTAATGCTGAAGTTATAATAAAAAGAAGACCACAAACTATTAGATTTCTTTCACTTGCCTTTTAATTTTGGATTCTAAAACATGAATCTACACTTTAGCGAATAAACAGAACACATTGTGTACAGAAAAGAGCAACAGACACTACACGAATTACTTTTCACAGGACTTCGTAGTTTTCTCTATTCCCGAGTTTGTGAGACAGACTGAACTTTAATTTATGAGATCACAACGTAATGGTGCACAACGACAAAGGCGAGTGAACTTGATCAGAGAAGGAAAGCTATAAATTTTCAGCAGGAAAAGGGGAGGGGCAACTGGATAAACGTAGTTGGATAATAAGTGAAAATGGCACGCTTCATGCCACTACGCACTGTGATAGGTCATCAAGGTTAACCACTCTTAGCTCGCCATATGTCATAAACCCATCCAGGAGGGACCGTCAATTCTTTTTAGAGTGGAGGGAGACCATTTTACAGATTATGAGCCTAAACATGGGTCACCGAGGATTCTTCCCTGGGTTCGTCGGTTAAGATCCTGGTTTGCCTAAGATCCCGCATTTTCCTTGCTCCCAAGCACCGGGATCTTAGGCGGAGACTACTGTATAACAAGTACTTAACATAAGAAACAGAATTACTTTGCAAATACAAAACTAAAGCACCAGATATAAAAAAAAGAAGCTTTTTATAAATTTTTTTAACATACCTGAAATATAAGACAAGCCAATATTGGAAGTTGAGCTTCGGGAGGGCAGGAGAAGTGAAGTCAGCTTCATGTCTGGAAATAGATACCGATATATTTTTTTTATGCAATGGATCAGAGTCATTACACTTTCAAGAAAGAATGGAAGTTGCAGCATACTAACCACAACCAGGTTCACAGCTACTACAAATTTGTCATATTGGAACAGGTTGTACTTGAGACTATGGGTAGCACTGGCTGAATCCACATACTGGAAGCTGACTGATGAGAGACATGTCAGTACAGCACAGCATCTGGTCTATGACCACAGATTACTTGCTTGAGGAATGCCTGGTACAGAACAGACCCAAAGCGGATGCATGGCCAGGGTCAGCCCCATTTAGAGACCGAACTTTCGTCAACTAGAAGGCTTTTGATGGGCCACTGTATTTGAGAGTATGTCTTGAAACACAATATGAAGAATGACTGAATGTCATATCAACTGAATCTTGTTCCAACGCTGTCTCCAAAATCTCAGTATTCCAGTCAGAAGAGATCAGATGCTAGGAGACATCATGATCATCACTGTGTCATAATGTCTGGGATTGTGAAACGTAGAAAGTGGCCAATGAAGCCTATAAAAATGAGTAGTAAACGATGGTAGGTACAAAAAAAAGTATGCACAACACACCACTGTGTGTAGGGATAAGCAAAGTACAGTTTGAGACACTGTTTTCTCCACCGGCACCAAACTCTCTCCCAACTCACTTTTTTATTTTTTTTTATTTTCAACATTATCAGTATACTTCATAACAAAATTTATAGACATTTCCTGTCCCTACTACTGACTTCTTGTTCTTTGTTCTGTCATCACCTCTAAGGCACTGCTTTATGGAGCATCTATGTGTTGACTTGCTCGTACAATACCAAATACCAAATCTACAGCAACAGATACTTTATCCAATTACGATATACTGACTTTTTTCATTTGCTGCTAACCAGTGTTCTTTAAAAATAGAAGGGCAAGGCCAGGAACCAGTTGAACAACCCAAACACACTTTTCCTATTTCCTTTTTTACCACATCTAAAGATGCATTTCTCTTCTTGAATTAACTCCTTGCCAGCTCTGTGGCCGTACCTGGTACGCCCTAACAATTCACTACCGTGTATGCAGTGGGCATATCTGGTACGCCTGAAAACTCCCTGTTTTGTTTCGTGCAAATATCTTCACTTTAACACAGTTTTGAATAACAAGAGTCACATCCCTGTATTCTCTGACCACTTTCTGATGCGATCATGCCTATTTTTAGGCTATCAGTCCCAGGATTCGAATGTAGTAGCTAAGACAAAGAGACATGGTGTGTAGTGTATTGTGCGCCAATGACGAAGTCAGTCTGCCTCTTTGAGGTTTTTGCATGCAGTCTACATTCACCACGCTGTTTCGCAAAGGTTGACTAGGTCTACAGATCAGGTTATTGCAGAAATTTATCGAGCTGCAGACAGTGATAACGAAGACTTCAATTCATCTGAAGAAAGTTTTTGTCATAGATCTAATCTCCGAGACGACAGGGATCTCGAATATGGAGACCGAATTTTTTAAAATCTCACTTTCACCAGCCAAATTCTTCTACAGAATAGTTATAATTATACCTAAAAATGAATAAAACCAATAGATTGTAAGTTCATTTCTCTTTTATCTGACATATACTTTGCTATATCTAACCCTTATAGTAAGTGAGCTATAGCCATTTAAAAAGCAGACTGTGTCATACACAGCCATTGTGGAAATTTCCTTAGCACACGAGGTGGATTTATGGTTAGCAGTCAAGGGGATAAAGCAGCAACAAACCTTTCAAATAATTGAGAGCTCTGTCTCCGTGCACATCCAAGGTCCCTGCTAAGCTAATGTTACACAGACGAGGGTGACGGGTGATGCATAAAATAGAATCTGTCACAATCTGTGTCTCGGACACATCCAAATTCTCCAGACTGACAATGCCTTCTACTCCAGACAAGCTTGATATCTGCAGGGATGAAAGTAGCATAAACTCCATTGAGATTCAAACTCAAAATACATTCAAACAGGTGATTCTTGGTGCTACCATGTACCGGTTGGCCCTCTGAAACTAATCCCCCTCACCCCTCCCCCATAAGTCCCTTGTCTAAGACAAAGACTGTTTCTGGCTCCCATGCAACTCCATCTTGAACAAATTCAACTGTACAAATGGATTTGAATAGAACTATTGCTTAATCTAATTTCTCTTCATAGCACAACAGTTACATGTCACTGGTCATGTGATACGACAACAAAACAGCACCAAGAGCTCTATATTCCTTACCTTGCTTTGCTTCAAAATGAGAGACTTGAGCATTTTAAAATCTGCAACAGAAAAAATGTAAGTTGATTATTGATGCAGACCAAAGATAAAAAAATACTTTTATTTTCATTATTACTACTTATTTTCCGCCTTTATCAGTTTCTGATCTTACTGTTTTTTTGTAACGAAAAGACCCTCTTTCAAAGTCAAGTTACACATTATTAGTAACAACCAACAAATTCAAATATGTAGCCTCTCACTTACCGACATGCTGGTTCTAAAGGATTCTATTAAAGAGGAAAGGGTCATTTGGATTTGTTCATATGATTAGAGTACAATAAATGCTTGCTATCCTGTCTTAAAAACCACTGCCCCCTTTTGTCCTCTGAAATGATAATAAAGGAGGTAAAGTGAAAAAAATGAGAACAAACAAGGTAAAGTTAATAAATGAGAATAAGGAAGGTGAAGTGAATCTAAATAAATCCAAAGCCATAAAACAAAATCTCACTTTGGAGAGAGGTAAAAATGTCATGTGTGACATTTGTCCTGCTGAGATCCAGATGTAACAAGTGGAGATTTTGTGCTGACTGTGAGAATTGTATGACACCAGCGTTAGTGACTCTTGTGCCATCAAGACTTAAAGTTTGCAAGGACCCCAGATCTGTTGATAAAAAATAATCCAGAATCATCATTATTACACTTAACATCACTACTATTAACTACTAAAGGACATCTTAACAATAAACATATTGTCTGTTACATATAATGAGTGGTAGACAAACTTACATAAGTGACTGAATTTATGTTGCTGGCTCAGGACTCTCTTGACCACCCACGACTTGTTCCAAAAGAAATGAGCAAGAGCTTTTAGAGAACTCACATATCTCTACATAATCCAGGTGAAATTTACATATGCCGGACAGTAGGTAATCACACAGATTATCTCCTTTGCTCAATCAAGCAGCAAAGTATGAAATGGAAAACAGATTTACGTCTCACAGAACACAAATAAGGATGTTCTTTGCCATTTTCAAAATTCGAATAAATGTTGAAATATTAGTCCAATCAAAACATTGCTAGACATTTCTGAAAATATCACTTGAAGAGTACTAGAAGACCCAACACCCCCCCCCCCCCCCTCCCCTTTCCTTTATAAAAAAACAACTTGCAAATCTTAACTTGCTCAGACAAAAAGAAACTGGTAACATTGCAAAAGACTTCTTTGAGGGAACAGTTCTAGGAAATAACTGACTTACTTTTCACAATAGCAAAACAGGCATCTGTGATTTGGCTGCACGAGCACAAGTTCAATACCTTGAGAGCCTTCATCCCTGAGATGAACATAGGAACAGGTAAAATAGGGATTGTACAATGAACTTCAAAAAAGACTATCTTAATAGGACAGCAAAAAACAAAAACAGTGATTGACCAGAAGTCTAAATTTATCTGAATGGACAAAAATAAAGATGAAAAGTATGCCTCCAGTATTTGAGTCAGACTACGACTTATGACAACAAGAAGCTCCACTAAAAGATTGGTCATTCCTTTCAAGTAAAAAAAAGTCCGGTCTTTCTTGAAAAACTATGATAATGAGCAGACTATGCATTTATACAAACTGCTCATAAAGCACTGGAACTACAAGTACATAGTTTTTACTAAGGCAATAAAAAAGCATCTCCAGCAAAAGCAAAAACAAACCCTGCTTTTTTTTTAAAGAACCTACAATTGGTCCACTTCAGGCTGTTTGGGAAACTTTCACACCACAGACAATAACTAGTTTTTATTGTGTTGTTCCTATTAGGAATCATGAAAAGCAAGAAAGCTGTAAGCTTTGACCTCAGCAAGCTGCATTTTGCTGATGTCGAAAGGTGCATCTTTGATAGAGCTTTGGGAGTGTGTAAAAATTGAAAATTTTCAAAACTTGGACTATAATGGATTGCTTGCGACAATGACAGAATCCCTGTCGACCATTATATAATAACAAAAAATCTAATTATCAAAACAGCAGTCCTACTGCTATTTAGTGCTCCAGAATAAAAAAGCAACAGTAGCTTCAGTATGATTAAAAAATAATATAAAGTTCACTCATTTCTGGCACATAATTACCTTTGATGCAATTAAGCCCCGTATCTGTGATCAGTGAGCAGGAATTGAGACTCAGGATGTGCAAATGAACAAATATCCTAAGAAGAAAAAAGAAAGAACAGCCAATATTACCTACAAAAATAAATAAGGTCTCTTGAAATGGGCAACAAGAATCATGGCACTCACATCCTTAGTGCTGTACACAATTAGTGTCTCCCAAAACCATGTAACATATCTTTTTACGACCCCACTAAAAATTGACCTCTTCAGACCCTCCTTTACCTTCCTATGGAGATATTTTCACCATACAGAAACAATTATTTTATCATAATCAGAATGAATAACCCATGTCTCCCACTAAAAACAATGACTGTATAAAACTGGCAACGGATTACTTTCAACACTAACAATACTTTGGGGGGAGGGGACTTTAAAAAGCATTGTATAGACAAACACAATGAAGATTACTGTTCAGAATCATATAGAACTTAAAACTCTATTACTCCCATTATTCTGACATGTAAAACAGACAGTGGCCTAAAGCCATAACCAGCAAAGCAAAGACGTTTAAATGACACTGCCTCTTTTAGAACTATAATTTTCTAACTATAACACATGCTAGTTATCATTTCCATTTTAATTGTTTTAAAATAAAGCAAACAAAATAATATATATCTAATGGAAAAAGAGAAAGATTACAACACTCAATGATTTTATAACAAAGAGACGCACCTAGCTGTATGAAGCAGCTCATTGGTTGTGTACGGGTAGTAATCCAAGTCCAACTTCAACAAGTAACTGGAATAAAAATGTTTCTTTTTAAAAACCAGCAAGGGTATGAGCAGTTTAAGTTAATAAATGTAACAAAGCTAAAACATGAGCATGAGCAACACGACCTTACAGAGACAAAGCTCACTTTACTGAACCATTTTATATGTAACTCAAATGCCATGAAGACAATCATTCGATGCTTTTGCAGAAACAATCTATGAATAAAAGACTAAAATTCTTTTGACATGTAAAGGCTACTGACTGACTCAGCACCATTTCCATAACTAAAGTACCAACAAATACAGGCGTTATTACCAACCACAATTAATTCAGATACTACTCATATACCTAAAAGAAAACTCAAAAGAGCATCAAACCATACAAAAAACATAAACTGTACTTGTAAGCATACATTCATTCAATGCCAAAAATACCTACAGAATGTATGAGATCATGAAACTATCTTAACAAATCTTGTAAGAGTCCACCAATTATTTACATACCTAGGAATGAGATGCATAATTTTTGGTTTAAGAAGTCTCTCTTTCTTCAAGTAAGCCAGAAAAGCTTGCAGTAAATGCTCAGGAAGTCCAGATACAGAAAAGATTGGTTGGCGTGGGTCTGTTAGTCGATGAGCAAGGAGATTCATGGCAGAATTTTGCAAGGTTGATACATTGTAGACCAGCTCTGAATGAGAACTAGACTCTTCTGCTGGGGCACGAGGGAGGGCAAATCTTTGGGCAGCGGCCTCAGCTAAAGATAGAAAAGAGTCAAAACTTGGACAAAAGTGGGGGGTTCTTAATTTCTAATAAGATCAAGAGCAAAAATATGTCAGCAAGCTCCTCCTCCCCTCACCTCAGCAATCTGCCATACAGATATGACTTGGATGATAAAGCATGTACAGTTATTGTTGAGACATTTCTCAACAATTTCATTGTATTCAATATCTTCATTATTTGTTCACAACAAAGAAATAGAAACAACCTGTTGGGTGTGAAATTATCAACTTTCGGGTCTCTTCCATGCTGCTTTGACAAAACAATTTTTAAAAATAAATAAATAAATAAATAAATAAACAAAGCCAAAGCCTTGATGGTCTCACCAACACAACCTATCAGCCATCTTGTCATGTGCTCATCTTCTTCTTCACTAGTTACTAATAATGTACAATCATTCTTTTAGAAAAAGGGAACTTTAAAATCCTATGAAAGAGACAAGATCATACATTCACACACTCAACAACAGTATTGTTTAAAACACAAGACACTGTACTGAACTCATTTATCAGGTTCCTGCTGAAATTAGTGATAGCATTTATACCTGCCATTTCAGAGGCCCTTCTGTTAAGGTGGTTGCCATGATCGCCAGGAACACCTTCAGGAACCAAACGATTTCCGAATCCTTCAAACGCACCACCTGGATTATGTCCTGAAATATCAAAATATTCATATTCATATTTCCACTGTAAGAAATGTTGCACAAATGGTTAATTTCATTAACTCCTCTCAGTGCGCCCAGCAGCTTCATAGCAGTCCATTATCAGATGTTATCCTCCCATCTCTCCTTCTGTCTGCCTCTCCTTCATTCTACTTGCAGTGCCTTGTAGAATGGTTTTAGCAAGGCCTGAAGAACGGGTGACATGGCCATACCATTTCAGCTTGCGTTGTTTGACCAATGATAGAGAGGTCTGAGTAAGATTCGATTACATTTCTTATTTGTCTTTTCGCATCCTCATTGGTGACATGGTCTCTGTATGAGATGTTAAGTAGTTTACAGAAGCATCTCATCTCAACAGCTCTTACTCTTTTCTCAACGTCTGCTGTCAGGGTCCAGGACTCACATATAGAAGTATTGATGCCACTGAGGAGTGCAAAAGCCTGACCTTTGAGCTTAGGGCAACGTTTCGGTTTCTCCAGATATGTTTGAGTCTAGCTAGCACCGCTGTGATCTGTGCTATTCTGGAGAGTATTTCGGGCTTTGCTTCTTCATCTGAAATAATTGTTACAATAACCAAAATAGCACAATCAAAAATCTTAAAAACTGAAACATACACACAAAGAGAACGTTGGTGTATTTCTACTTTGGCAGAAAATTGTAAATAATTTGGGGTACTACAGTAAACCTACCAAGCTTAAAATGTAAAACATAACTCGTACCTGGTCCTCCCATGAGGTGATTTCCCAAAATAGGATTATCCCCCAAACCTGGTATGTGTTCAAAAGGATTGTATCCACCAGCTCCATCTGTAAATACAGAAAAAATGAGACTTGCTTGTTAACACACATATGAAACATTATTTCAGCCACAGGGGGGCAGTCATTGCAAAAGTCGGAAAAGAAGATCAGAATCTAAAGAGTGATTTTACTCAGAATATTTGAGTACTCATCATTACACACCTCAAGTTCATTGCAAACTTAAGTTACTAAATTTGTGAATGGTTTTTAAATGATTATGCTATAAGGAAAGTAATGATCCCATAGACTATCATGAATTTTGCTTCCGTAAATTTTAGAAATCTGGCATGGAAAAATCCATTACATTTACAAACATTTGTTTCTGCTTTACTTCTGCTAAAGAGTTTGGGGTATTATGCACCGACTCCATATTATGGAAAAAAAATGAAAGAGCCCATCCTTGGAAGGAGGAAAAGTGAATGAACACAGAAAAATGACGCACATTTTCATTTAGCACCCAAAACCACGGATGTGAACGGATCTGCACGCAACTAGCAACAGCATAGGTCATAAGTAGACTTGAACAGTAGAGGGTTAGTACTTTTGACACAGCTGGAGCCTCATGTGTTCAAATAATGAAGAAGAATTATAAAGAATAGGGATGCTGTATGAGAATATGATACCCCTAATTTATCATACTTGCTGTATTGTTTTTTTAATATTTCTTTACCCTTAGATCCAGACCTGCCTAGTTTGAATTTCCAAATTCTGTAATTGGTGCTTAATTTTCTGTAATCTGAAAGAAAAATCTGTAATGAAGCAGTGAGAAAAACTATGGGTACACTTACTCGAGCTAGCCGCTGAATTCGCTAGATCTAGATCTGCTCACAAAAACAATTAATCCAATCACCAAACAACTAACAATACACACTGAGATCTAGACTAGATCTAGACCCAAAACTGAAAAATAACCAAGGAAAAGTCACAAGGAATGAAGTCAAGCGTCCAGAGTGCCGAATGAACAGTATGAGCTGGACCTAGGCTAATGACAATGCACAAGATCCAGATCGTGACGAAATTGATAACAGTTCTACTCAATACCGCGCATGCACAGACGAGGCCGTAATTTGTGCTCTCACAAAGAAAAGTTAGCCTTGGCCTTATCAGGCATTGAGAACTGTTCGATTTTTGTTTCATTCATAAAATTATAATCGCTATTTTTTTCTCAAAATCTGTAATCTGCCGACAATTTCTGTACTCCCGTAATCGGACCTGGTTTTCCGTAATGATTACGGGATATTCGTAATACTAAGCAGGTCTGTGGATCTTAATTAAGCATGGAATATGAGCATGTGAAATCACAATTTATTGATCGGCTAATAATATAACATACGTTGTTCAACCATGTCCTCCCCAACCACCTCCTCTCCTCCCTCAACACGATTTCCACGCCCCCAATTATGGCCATCGTCCTCCACCTCCATTGCTTCATCATCTGCCTCCTGCTGCTCTCGTTCTGCTTGATCCAAAGCCATCATCACAGCAGGAGGCTGAGCCACTTCTTCCGCTGAACACAGGAAATGGGCAGAATAAAAAGAAGATGTACATATAAAAGAAACAAAATTTGAATGTGTTGAAACTCTGCATTTAGATGGCAGAGATCCAAAAACACACTTTAAAAAAATGAAACAGCACAGGTATTGAAAATGCAAGCGGGTTCAAAGAAACTTCAATCCCACAATTGTTTTGAATTGATAATCCAGATAATTACTTACAGAATTATTAACACATAGGTATTTAAAGTACGAAAATATAGCAGAACTCTGCATTTTGATATCATGACTTTTCGTGTCAGCAGTATACTAAAAATTAGAAATTAAAGTATTTTCCATTTATTGATCCCCTTAGAAAATTTGTTTTACAATGGCGTACATAAATACAAAATTACATTAATCAATACCAAAATTAATAAAATACAACAATCAACGAAATATGATGGACAAGACATCTTCTAAACAACCAAAAAGAACACAAAGGATCAAACTCACGTGATGCTTGATTCACATCCCTCTTCTTCAACACTAAAGAACCAGACGGAACCAAACCCAATTCCTTCAGACTCTGGCCCATTTCAGGTTTAGAAAATTCCCGTCTGGGGAAAGGCTGCAAAGAAACAGGAAATTTTGTAAAGAGAACTGGTGCACAAAATTTTAGTTTCCTTTCTGCAGGAATAGCGGGTACTCTCAAAATGTGAGATAAGCAAGGTTCTTAACTTCCTGACAGGTACTTTAAAGAATGATCCTATACAATATATCCAATTTAGAATAAAATGAAATACTGGAACCATTCAGCTATACACACAAACATACACACTCACAGACACACATCACCCAGAGGCCACTATACCCTGATTGGTTAACCTCAATACGATTACCACACCCAAGTTTTCCTTGCTGTTATAACAATTTTCATACATAAGAAAAAGTCAAATATGACCAAAATGTTGAGTCAAATCAATTTTGTTGAAACACTTTCCTCTCTCTTTTTTGGGGGGGAGTGGAGGGGCAACCACTGCATACCACAGATACTTCTAGAACAGGAAAAAGTCTCATTTTTGTAACTGTAAGGAAAGTCAAAAATCACATATTCACACTTTCATTCCTCAATCCCCACAAAAGTCTACAAACCATGAAAAATTACCTGAATAAAACCTGAATAAGCATTCATTGCAGTCTTGATTTTGCTGTAGACACTATCCCACACAGTGTTCAGGGAGGTAGAGGCTGGATAAGTCTGTCGGAACATCTGACCAGAAGGAAGCCTGACCTGTAATTCGTAAAAGATTTTCCAAACATGACAAAGCACACAAATCTTTTTCTTAAGGAGTCACCAGACAGACCTGAGACCTCAGGGATAGAGAACAGATTTTTCCATCAGAAGCAAAATCTTTAATTTTACAGATAGGGCTGTTTTTTCACATAGGATCTGAGAAACAGAAAACCTGAAAATAATTAAAGGTAATAAATCTGAGTACTGACCAACTCGCGATATTAACACTAAATAATCAAATGCAAAAAGTGTAAGTGAAAAAAAAATTAATTCAATTTTTTAAATGCAAATCTAAAGCAATGATCACCTGTATATTGGCTGTATCAGATACATTCTCTGTCCCCTGTTTAGCTGCCAATTCATCCTTTGGCTGTTCAGTAGGCCCTGCAGTGGCACCACTGAGAGCTCCCCCAGCTTGAGATTTTGTTACCTTTTGTTTCTCTCTGTCCTCTTGAATCTCTTTCAGAATTCTCTCCCGTTCCTTGATAGGGAAAAAATACTCAGTCTGAATGTAATGCATACATAGAGAGTGGTCTGCTTAAACCGAACACGGTTAGTCCAAAAACAGTAGTAAACTGAAATAAAATAAAATCATCCACTTTTTCCGTTCTATACGAGGCAACCTTTCTAAACAAAACATTTGGCTAAACCAAAGAAAATCCAGGGGTCCTGCAGATTTCAGTTTAAGCAGAATCCACTGTATTTAAGTTTAAAGTATATCAGTTTGTTTGTTTTTTAAAGTTATTAATTTAGAGTAATGAGTCGATCTAAAAGCATCACTGGCTAATTGAGCTAAACCAAAATGTTCCTTTCTTGCGACTTCTCAATTTCAACAAGTTACCAGTGACAGACAGAGTAAATTCTACATTCTCATCCATTGAAAGAAAAACACCCAAAATGTGGTCACATCTTATCATGCTTTCATGAATATTTGTATTTAAGTCACTGATAGCAATAATTATCTACCTTTTTCTTTTTTAGCTTTTCCTCAGCTACTTTTCTTCGGGCTTCCTGTCTCTCTTTCTCTTCAAAGTCCTGCTTAATCTGCTGCTGCTTTTCAGAAAGATGAGATCTGCTGACTATAGGGTCATCTTCCTGATCAAGACCCATAGCAAAAGAGGAGGACGACTGGCTCACTTCTGACGAGCCTACAAAAGTATCAGTGTTTCCTGGGACAAATGGGTTACTCTGGTTGCTCAACGGGAGGCCTGTGTTCCGACCCTGAAAGTAAATCAAGTAAAAAACAATTAAAAAGAGTTTCAAGTTGTTGAGAGTTAAACTGTAATCTTCCAAATATAATTATTGTTATTTTCTTTTTGGAAGAGGAAAACGGGAGGGGGGGGGGGGTGGTGGTGTCTTGGAATTAAACTTTTTTCCACTTTATAATCTAACATTCTTCCTTGTTCATTTTAATGTGCCCTCCTACAAAATCTCAACCAAGCTCACAGTTTTACAGCAGGGGCATTTGTGCTTGTTGGCACATGGTTGCGAAGTTTGAGCATGTCTTGCCAGTCATCTCAGAAAGTGAGCTTATACTGAATGTCCCCTAATGACTTATGAGGAATAGCTGGGCCTTCACATCCACCGATTTTCTTCCTGGTCACATCATTAAGTATTCTTACACTGATGAGTATTTGCTGAGGAAAGTGTAGTCAAAAGATTTGACTCTGTATGTCCGAGGGCTTCAAATCTGACAAACCATTCTGAAGGTGTTAACATAATGAGAACTATTACTAAATATTTCTCTGTTATTTTCAGACATTTTTTCTGTTTTTGAGTGTGAAAGAGGTGTTCCAATTTCCATAAAGCACATAGCTTCTGATAACAGTCAGGCAACTGGAATGCCAGTGCGTCAAGTAAAGGCCAGTGCTTCCACCAGTTGAAGCTGAAAAGTAAGGAAAATTCTGCGGGGGAGCCTGTTTGAAGAGATTGCCTGCAAACCACATTACATTTATTTTTTCACCAACATTTTGTCTTGTTTGATTTCTTCACCAAGATCTACATAATATATTTCCATTGATGGTAATGTTTAAAAGTAGGTTTCCCTTCCATTGCTACTATAATTCAATTAATTTGTCATAGCACCATTGATAGAAGGCAAACCTGGGAATAATGAATAGATATATACCTTCACAATACAGTTACCCGGCGTATACCCTTATTTTCCTTAAATTTCATGCCTGAATGTCGCATGTCACAACCTCGGAACACCACTTCAAATTATTCTTGACTTTAGTAGTTTTGGGACGGTTTTAGTATACATTTCTTTCATCGCGGCCCTTGTCGCATTCCCGTGCCGTAGAATCTTCGTATTGATCATTTCTCGAGGTCTAGACAAATTTGTAAAAAAGTTTCTTTCTGACAGTAATTTTCTGTCTAAGATCACAAGTCAATTTACTTGATCAACGCGCAGATTTTCCAGCCGCGGCAACAATCCGAAGATAGACAGACTGAATGAGTGAATGATAGAAAGGAGGAAATTGGCACAAAAAGTTCGCCAGATTTTGATCAATCCACAGGTAAAAATGTAATGCCGACCAACCCGCAATGAATGCATGGGGCATAGTGGAATAATGGCCAATTGCAGGAAAAGCGCAATCTGGCAGGTTTCTATAACATTAACTTATTGCCGAGAGAATTACTGTAAACATCCGTAACTTGTACTAGTACTAGAAGATACGAAGGCGAGTATTGATCTTTTGCTACGGAATTTCGGGAGTCCTACGCAGTCCCAGCTTTTTACGGAGGGAGTTGATAATGATGGAGGAACAAGTACGGAACTGGCAGAAAGTACGGATTTCCATAAAAATACGAAAGAGAGGAAGCACTGAAAGGCACAATAAGAAGAATATTTTAAATGTCTCCAGGGTGCAAACTTTTGTGTATGATAGATCTGGCCATCATGCCACATGACTGTGTTGTGGTCATAAATCTAAGTTGTCTAGGAGAGGATAGCTATAAATACAACATTTAGGACTTGAATTTCAACAAAAAATTTCTGAAGCACACGCTATCAATACCGCAGTTTAAAAAACTGTAATTTAAAAATGCTTTAAAATTGTGGGTTTAGTACATCTGAATAGTTGGCCCATGATAGATATCTTTTGTTTTCAGAGAGATCTCAACAAAATGAAAGCAAATGTGACAGAAAAAAACAAATGCACGGTTGAGTGTTGTTTGGGTGTGTTAAGTCATACAAAGTGTGCGTTCCAGTCCTCCAGTCTATGAGTGTGTAAGCAGAAAGAGGAGGGCTAATAACAAATAAATCCAGCTCGAATGAATGATACTTTTGTCATTTAATGATACATTCATGATCATGCGAATAGAGAAAGTTCATACTGTCCTAAATCTCATAAGCGTCAGAAACCTTATATCAAGATCACACATGGACCACCTTAAAAACCTCAGACTAGTGGCATTCAATCTATTTCAAATATATACTTAGTTATAATCAGACCACAGTAAGTGCGAGCGGCCATCACTAACTTTTTTTTTAACATAGCATATTGCTATATTTCGTCTTAATTTAACAGAAAACTGGTTTAGCGGCAAGCTAAAAAGTACAATTAACTTTGCTGGCTACAGTCTCTACCAACATCTGGTTTCAAAACAAAAAAGTACTGACTTGAGTCAAATTCAGTGACGGGGCTGGTCTCGCATTGACATTTCCAGGTTTCCCAGCCAAGATCCTGTGGAGTGAAAAGCATTGATTTTCTATTGCAAGATTAGAAGTCAGAGTTTTTAAACTTCTTTTTTCTATTTTGTACACATTGTGGACTGGGGTGTCTTTGTGTCATGGCATACTTTGTACACATAATATAGATCTAACTGCTGTCTTGCAAATCATAAGTAAATGCTAGTTACCAAAAACATAATGAAAAGTTTGGTTAACATAATCAAGAAGCCATAAGAAGTAATTGCAGAAAAATAATATCAAATCGGAAGTAATGGGTAATGGCGGTGAGAATTGCACTCTATTTCCTACTTTTAGAGTCAATAATGAACCCCATGGGTTTAGCTCACTGAAGTGAGAACACTAGAGCATTCAGATATATGATCTTACCTTGACATTAACCTGAATACAGCAAATATTTTGTTCTTTTTATAAAGTTGTGACATTATTTGCACTTTTTCTGTGAATAACTGAGCACAATTGTCTGTTGTCCATGAAAGAGAAAATCTTTTGATCTTTAAAGATGTTGTAAGTGTCAGAAGACAAGAGACAAGAAAGTTCTGGGGACAATCTCAGGATTACATTTTTTTTCAGAAACGTAAGGATTCTAAAAGATGCAGCAAAGAACCACGATCCAACAAAATTCTCTTTAAAAAAATTGTTTCTCCAAACCACTCACTGTAATAAAAAGAAGATAAACACCTGCTATAGTAGCAGCTTACCAATCAATTGCTGCTTGCACAGTGAGTTTGCCATTTGTTACTGCCTCTTGACAGTCTTGAAATTCAAATCCCATCGACAGCATCGTAGCAATGATATCATCGAGGCCAATGCTCTGCAACAAATTAAGATGATAACTATAGGTCAGGTTAAACTTCACCCAAAAACTATTGTCAAAGTTTTCATTTGCTATGAAAAAAAATATATTTTTAAAAAACCAGAATTTTAAACAAATACAAGTGAACCTCCTCTGACAGCCATCAGTCTGAGACAATCACCTGTACAGATGACCGCTTCCACTTTGTATTTCTTCTTACCATAACTATAATGGTACTGTTCAAGATCTCCACACTGTCATCAGTAGTGAAGCAGTTAGACACCTCACGGCTGCAAGCAGGAGACTTAAGTTCAATTCCTGCGTGGGGAGAAATTTTTATTAAATATCTCTGTCTTTCCACTAGAATACTGTATCCTTCTCAGCCCAAGTTGGCCCTAACAGGCAGGGTCGCAAATCTACCTCTATAATAATCGAAATTGTAAGAATGAGGGGACATAAAAATGTCTACATTAAAGATTTTAAAATCAAAATGTCAACCTATCTAAGACAATCACTTTTCTCCTCGACAAGGAGAGGCTATCTACGTTTTGGACAAAATCGACTGTACTCACCAAAAGTATATATATGTATACATGAATGTGAATCGTAACTTTCACATTACTCATTCAGTGCTATTGACAAGAATTCTCACACGGCTAGTTTCTGTCCATGTGGGTTTGATGACTCCTATTCTCACAAAACCCCTATAGTCCCTTTGCAAAACTAAGAGTTCAATAAAGAGTCTCTTTGTCTTTATATAATATAAAGTCACATGAGTAACGGGAAAGCAATGAGATATGCTTAGGGTTCTTTTATAATGTCATTTTGACAAATAACATGTAATATTTTTGCTTTTGGGTGAGTGTTTCTTTGTAAGTTGGAGTTTAGCTATTTGCAAAGGCGTCCAGAAGTCAGAAGTGGAAAACCAACAATCCTACTGCCAAAACTATGTTCCTGATCTGGATCCAACGGTTTTTATTGGATATTGATCAAGGGTATGTTCAAATATCTGGTTCATCAAGTTGCAATGCTGACAGTGGCTTTAACTTTGGTGGCAACAGGGAGACGGCACTTGCAACACAATACGGTCATATAGGTGCCGAAGATTAGAGGTGTTACAAGACAGTAACAAATACAAAAAAAGGAGAGGAGATAGATTTAGGTTTCTTTAGTAGAGATCTTACGGCGCTCACAACTGCATAAGGCTAGCCTCTTCCAAATTTATCAAATTTATGATTTAACGCAAAATACAACTTGAACTTGAAAGCAAGATCAGATGATCATTTACCCATAGTGGGCCATAGTAGTAAGTACTAGTAGGCCCAGAGCTGTTAAAGTACTTTTTAAAAAGTACTTAAGTACAAATTTAAGTACAATCTAAAAAGTACAGTATAAAAGTACTTTCCTGTAAAATCTACTTGAATACAAGTACTTTTTTAAAAAGTACTTGAATATGAGTACATTTTAAGTACTTTCTGCTAATATGCTAAAGCACTTCAGTGCTTATAATGCAAAACATCATATTGAAGAACATATCCAGTATATTTGACAAATTAGGCTATTTATTACTAAAAATGTCAACAGTATTCCAAGCGTTTGAATACAATGTACGCACTGGACCTAGGGGGAAATGGTCCGTAAAATTGAAAAAAAAAACACAAAAAACAGATGCAACTAGTGGGAAAGTGATATTATAAATAGAACTTGTTAGAGCAAGACAATGTGATCAAATGTAAGTCAGTCCAAGAGGTCGGAAAGTTCTACAGTTGTAGGAAAAGTATCCAAATTGGAATTTGTAGATACAAAGTTGCTCTAAGAAAACATAAAATTGATGAAAATGGCCAGCATTGAAATGGAAAAGTGAATTGAATTCTTCATTAACAATTCCTCAAGGAATCAATGTAGCCTTAAGCAATAAAAACCACCCAAAAAAAAAGTTCAAAAGAAATTTAGGTAGCTTAAAACATTTTTGTTCTTAGATATATATACAATGAGAACACAGTTTCAGTTTCAATTGATTATAGAAAAAGCAGTAAAACAGATTTTGGTCACACTCCGTGGACAATGGCGCCCACGGCAAACCCTTAGAGTCTGGTAAGAGTAGTGTAACCAAAGATTCTCTACTACAGTAGTCTCCGCCTAAGATCCCAGTGCTCAGAAGCAAGGAAAATATATATATATGGGATCTTAGCCGACGAAGCCAAGGAAGAATCTACAGTGACCCATGAACTGACGTGACCTCTGGGTGGATTTATGACATACGGCGAGCAAAGAGTGGCCAACCTTGACGACCAATCACAGTGGCATGAGGCATGCCATATACATTGTATATACACTCACTAGCCTATCGTGAGTCTTGATATCTTTTCTACGTTTACCCAGTTGCCCCTCCCCTTTACCTGTCCAACAATTTTAGCTTTTCATCTCTGATTGAGTCCCCCCCCCCCAACCCCCACCTTTGTCGTTACGTACCATTACGTTGTGACCACACAAATTAAAATTCAGGCTGTCTCGCAAAGAGAAAAACTGCTTTCAATGGTCTGGCAAGTGTTCTCAGTTTGATGTGATCCCACCTGGAGCGAACTTGTAGGCCATACCCACCCAGCGAGTGATGTAAGTTTAGGTGGCGAGATGAGATGCGAGTGCGATGTGTGGGGAAAAAAACCGCATCGGTCAGTTCACACCTTGGGGTGATCCCGTCTCGAGCAAACATTGTACCGTTTCATGGAGTTTTACAATGCTTGTGATCACATTCACGAGAGTGGCTGATCTTTGACGCGACGGGCCGCTCTTTGATCTCAACTTTGTGCCCGCCCAGGTGTTTGTTCCGTAAATTATGATCAGGAATGCAGGCATTTACCCTGTCATTAAGCTTCAAAAGTACTCAAAATGTACTTTAAAAATACTCAAAAGTACTTTTATAAAAAGTATCGGAGTACAGTAAAAGTACTGGTTCTCAAAAATGTACTGGAGTACAGTAAAAGTACCAAAAATTGTAACGTACTAGTACTCTGTTACAACCAGCTCTGAGTAGGCCTCCCATAGTAATTTAATCTAGACAATCTTTTACGTGTGTATGAACTGGTCTGGACAACTTTGTGTTGCAAGTGCTGTAAAACATCGACAAAAACTTTTTTTAAACTCACTTCAGACGGGTCACACAACAGTTGCGTGACCCCTGCCACGACGCTCGCGACGGGTCTCACAAGCCCTGCCTGATCAACTTTGGAATTGTTTTTTTCGCTCTACAAATCACGCACGGATCGCGAGACCCGCCTCGTACCCTTGTTTGGCCAAGCCTGAGCTACTTAGACTTCGTTTCGTATCTCTGGGGTCGGTAGTTTTTAAGTTATTGAAGGTGAAGGACAGTGACCCCAACTGGGGTTGAACAGACCGGAACTCGCGCTTTGTTTTTTTCTATACAGCTGATAGTAATCTGACAGTTGCGTCGTAGTAACAGTCGAAGAAGTCGCATGAACAAGAATCACATAATTTCGCCGTTTTCTATACTTCTGTGCGTTTTACTAGTTCTAGTTAGTGTCTCAGAATATGTGTCTGATAGTTAGGATCCTGGATATGTACCCGAACACGGCCCGAGTCGTAGTTCTAGGGCTAGATCTAGCACTAGTACCGGTGTTGTTTTTCGCGCAACGAAATCACAACGTCGTGACGTAACATCTGTCTCATGTAATTCAGTGTATTGGTCTGAATCAATGCACAGACCAGCTTTTATATTTTCACCAAACACTCGCACATGTACACAAATCAAACCAGAACACTTTGAACTTTTATTTTTGTTGTTGTAGTGAATTTCATTCTACTTGTCACGTCTCTGGAAATTTTTCGGAAAATCAAATTCATGCCAATTTTTTAAAAATCATACAAATTAAAGTATTAGACTTAGACAACTTTAGTTTTTTGTATTAGATTAAGCTTGAATGTTACTTTACTGTGTCAAAAAATTATTACAATAGGGTAATTCTGAGAGTTGTGGTGATTTATTGAAATACCCCCAAAAACGCCAGTCTTCAACGCTTGTGACTGGTGAAAGGGCCCAGTTGCAAGTGAGTTAAGCCTTGCATCTCAACAAGGCAACAGGTAATTTAATGATTAGAAACACTGTGTACTTCTGTGTACGGTTGCGTTGCACGGATTCATATTGGACAGGCCACTTTTACACACACGCTGTGTAGTGTAGTACAAGTACTGCACATAGTGTAGGCTAATACAATGGAACTTTTGGATTCAACAAGAACTCGTATTCAACGAGATGAGATAGATTCCCTGTTTTTTTCTTCTTTAAAATCAATAAAAATAACCCGGATTCAACGAGCACTTAAATCAGCGAGCTCGGATTCAACAAGATCGCTTCCAGGGTGAACAGTCCCCGAAGACGTGGCTTTGCTCATTTTTCTCCCACAACCAACTTTATTAACGGAAACCATCCATTGCACCTGCATCATGAACCTTTATTCACTTAGCTGATTGCATGCGACCTATCAACGGCCTTTTTTCATACCAACCAAAAGTTGCCGTACGCTAGGCTCTACGCAGTAACACAACTTTTAAATTTTTAAGTAAACAATCGAGATGACACTAGGCGTGTGCATTTGAACGAATCTGTCTTTTTTTTACACAGCTTATAATCAGGTATTTCAGGCACTACCTGTGACTTCTCTTTTTACATTACTTGCTCAGTGCCTGTAATTATCGACACAAAACCTCGCGTTTGCTATAACGAACACTTGGATTCAATTAGATTTTAGGTCAGGCCTGGTGACCTCAGTACATGTACGAGTTCCACTGTACTGGGTGCCCATTATAACGGCTGGATCAGGCCGATCTCCCGACTAGGTCATCTGAAACTGAAAACAAACACGTTTGTTTTTGAGGCGACAGAGTCGGCGAACGGCCCGATCTGCTGATCCCATCCGCAGTGGGCAGCCCGCTATAACCAATTTGTCCACAGAGCGGGTACACACTTCATTTGCTGACTCTCCTACTCGGTGATCTTGTAGTTCCGTTCGTTAAAGAAAAAGAAAGTGGCTATTCTCACCCGCCCGGAAGTTCTCGCAAGATCTACTCCTCCCCTCTTCTCTCTCTCTCTGTCTCTTTCTGAATACTGTCTATCGGTGAGGACGATCAAATTGACCAAAACAAAGTTAAAAAATGATGTTAAAACACAAAAGTAAATTAATTTGGTTGTCTACAAAGATGCTACGGCTATTTAACTTTTCAAATCGAGCCGAACTACGCGGGTCGCCATTTTGTTTTGTTCTCTCTCTTTCTCTCTCTCACTCTCTCTCTCCACTGCCCACAGACAAAATTGTACGCTTTTAGTAGGCTACAAGTAGGCCTACAGTT